CATGGGTTAGCACAGATTGTCATCATCTGAATCCCTTGCTGCTACAGATAATGTTTTCTCCGTAGTTGCGTGACACAATCCTTCTAAGACTCTTCAGTAATCTCTTCAATTCAGATCTGAGTTTTCACAGCACTATCCAGGCATCCTCCAGCATGTTCTATTTTGCCATGGCCACAAGCTAAGAAAAACACAGTGAAAGATCTGCCCTGCTGCTTTGTTTCCGCAGTCTGTCCCCAGTGATTTATTTTAAGTCTCTTGAACTGCTTATCAGCAAAGATAGAGGAGAGCAGACCTGATGCCTACCTGTTTATTCTAGGCGTTTTTCTCCATTGTTCTGTCATGGTTTCTTCAGAAGACTTTGTCGATGTTTGACCTTGGCCAGGGAACAATCCATGATCGCAAAAGTCACACCAGTACTGCTTCAGGTTACATTGATGAAAAATGGGTTACAGTGATTTACAGTTGGTGATTTGCATGTCTGTCCTAAAAATTCCTATTCGGTTTATATCACTTTCTTTGTTGCAGTTGTTTTGCACATCATCTGCTCCAGATTGATAGCCAGCTCTAATAAAAATGATGAACTCCATAAAGAAAACTTAAATAAGATGTTAGGTTTAAAAAAAAGAACTGAACACATTTTTTTTCCAATATGGATACAGTAGAATTCTAAACATATAGGTAGACTTTAAAGATGAAGTCCCACTCCATCCCACCGTAATAAATGGTCAAAGTTTGTGGGACTAGTCACAGATACAAAAATAATGATTGGACAAATGTTATGAGACAAATGATAAAAAAGGGCCAAGAGGGATAGATAGAACTAGTTGTTTTAAAGATAGACAGAACTAACACTTTTCTATACATTTTTTATTGAAGGAGTTTTAACATACCATTTTATCTGTTAGTTTGGTAATATCAATATACGTACATGTACTTTACAGGACAAGGGGTCTAAAGACGGCCAACAGCATTACGGAGCATTTGGTACACCATCTCCACTGTACATTACTCCCATTTGGGAGATGCCACTATGTCCCCAAGGTGTAATGGTGCTAGGTGTGAATAATGTACAGTACAATAATTTTGTCTTCACTTGCCAGAAATCTTATGTAGCCTGTCCCCTTTGTTGTTGTTCTCTTCAAAATTTTTAATGGATAATTAAAAAAACATGCAGATATAAGGCTTGTTACGGAGCTGGATAAGAAATATTTCTATTAATTGTGGGCATCATAAGATATCGTGTGTGGCATTTGAAGTGCTCTGTCATAAGGAGCTCTGTATATAAAAGTATAAAGCTAAAGATTGCACAAGTGTGGTCACCTTGGGCCACTACAATGCAGGGTACAATAACATAGTGCGCACATTCCTCACTGCAGACTTCCTGCATTAGTGCGGTTCTGCCCTGAACTGAAATGTGTATTCCCTCAGGACTTCATGCTCTCAAGTCCTCATGCCAGCTAGGGGCTGAGCCTTCCCTGGGCAGATGCTTCCTGATGGGCCAGATTTAAGCTTTGTGTGACTGACGATGAAGTCAATGATTCTCCTCTTGGGACTGAACTCGCTCTGCATTTCTTATTTAGTTTAGGTGCTGAGGTCATTTTCCAATCATAGCCTCATTCCTGACATTCACTGCTTCACCCTCAGAGATTGATGACTCAACAGTCTAAGCACCTTCTTCATTGTTGCCATGTAGCTCAAATTTCAATAGGAAATATCAAACAGTTTCAGACTTTTTTTCCACAAAACATATTGCCTTGTGTATTAACACACTTTCATTTCTCAACAACCTGAAATTGTTTAAATACATCATTTTAATAAGAAATGAGGGGATTAAAAATTGAAGCATATTCCACAGCCATATGGTAAGTGTTTATCTCATTGTAATCTGAAGTACTGAGCTCAGATCACATACTGAGACATTTTTAAATTATGGATAAGCTTCAGTTTTTTATTATATTTCCTAAATATCTTTATGTGTGGGACTCAAAATGTAGGTGCATTACTATGTTTTGCTTTCAAATTATCTTATATTTTCTTTAAAAAAATAATAATTTAACAAACTATTGTGGGGGCAATGGTCAGTATTGTTGCCTCTCAGTATTGGCCCCTGGGTTCAATTCCTGGGGTGCTTTCTGTTTGGAGTTTGTAGGTTTTCCCTCTGTTTGTGTGGGTTTCCTCCCACAGTCTAAAGACATACTGGTAGGTTAATTGGCTTCTGGGAAAACTTGCCCTGCTTTGAGCGTGTGTTTGTGTCTGTCTGTGTCCTGTGTTGGATTTGTGTCCCTTCCAGTGTGTATCCTGCCTTGTATCATCACTTGTTGGGATTGGCTCCATCTCCTCCATAACACTGATTTGGATATAGCTCTTAGAAAACCAATGGATTAATTATTTAAACATATTCACATTTATTAACTGTTGATCCAGTGAATTCCTTTTGTATGCTTTTACTATTTTTAATTAAAATAAAAAATGGGTTAAGCGTTCAATGGTTGCAGGGACATTTCCACACACTGTACCACTACACTTTCTGCCTACTCTGTACACACAGTGACTAGAGTAAGTATATTACACCTCACATTTATATATTTTAGACACTGTAATCAAACAGTTGTAACATGTTTCAGCTTTATTTGTGGTTCTTCATGGATCATTAGGATTACTAAAGCTGGAAGGGGCTACAAAATTAGCTCAATCATCTCAAAATAGAATGTGGTCATAGCTTTAGGCATTGCAGCTGGTTACATAATGGAAATTACCTATGAGAAGCTAAAACTGAAGTTGTATTTAAGAGATATACTTCCATTTTTTATGGAACTTTATTTTTTGTACTCGGTAAATGTTGTGGATACTATATTCATGAATGGTAGCCAGTGTTTTTAGGGTAACTAATATTTTATATAATTCAAGACTATTTTGCTTTCAGTTATTGTTTTAAGATATTAAATTATTAAGGCAGTATTGACAGAGTTTGTTTATATAGTAGGTGAAATTTAGAATTAAATATGGACCCAGCACTCTGTCACTCTGCTGTAAATAACACACATAAATAAAAAGATACCTTATCCAAATCTGCAATACTGCTATGATTTTTAGCATAGTACTGAACACAATATTCAATTCCTGAAGATATATCATTAAACATAAGAACTGTAACAAATGAGAGGAGGCTGTTGAACCCATCTAACTTATCGTGTGCATAGTAACCAATTGATTCAATGATGATATGAAATCTTATAAGTTTCAACGATACAATCAGATAACTTGTCCCATCCCCATACAACCATCTGGGTGGTGCCTTCTGATCTCAGTTTTAATTGCACTTCTACATATTTTTCACTTTTGTTCTGTGTTTTGTGTTTCACCATTTCATGTCTACAATAAAAGTCAGTTTCCAAGTGTTTGCCCAGTCTTGACAAACATACAACCATTTGCCTACCTTAATTTACACATATTTATTTTTAGTTTTGCATGGCTATTTATTTCTCTGACAGTGGGGTAGTCTGAGATGTGTATGAGGCCTCAGGCCAAGTTGACTTTTTTCATTAAGTCTGTTATGATTACAGTATGTTCTTGTTTGCAATATAATATAATATAATATATGTATAGGTTAAACAAAAGTAAGGTTAGTTTTTAAATTTTCATTTTTAAATTTGTATTTAAGGCATTAAAACACCATACTCTCTGATGTAGATTAACCTTAAATTGCCTATTTTCCAGTTTCCCCAATGGTGAATGTGATTGAGATCAGGAGACATGGATATCTAATGTAGTTCTCCACTATGATTATCAGGGAACCTGTCTGCAAGACTTCATGTCATATGTTTAATGGAAAAACCTTATAGGAACCACCACAACAGAATTCCATCACAGGCAATATTCCTTATCCTTTTTGGAACTTCATGAAAAAAATCTGTTCATCTATTTTCTTACGTTAACGAAGTGTCAGATGGCTACCTGTTAAGAAATAACATTGTAAATGTGGACATAGTTTTTCTTAAAATGCCTCGTAAGAACTAACTCTCAAAGACAACAGCAGGAGTAAATCACAAAGAAGAATGCTCTGCCAAACCAGTAGCATTTGTACGTTTGTACGAAATGCGGGATGGAGATGCATGGACCAAAATTTTACACCTCAGTTTATTTAGCTACTATTAGTGATGGTGGTTTGAGTGAAGGCTTGGCAGATTTATCCAAAAATATCAAGATGTTGTGCACCACGTGCTTCACATAAGCGGCATCAAGTTCAGACACACTCTAATGTAGATACTGTATAATAGATGGATAGAATATTTATTCCACATTGCAAGGTAGGCAGTAATCCAGCAAAGATTTCACATGCAGTATCAGCGCAAGCACAACAATCAGAGACGTTTCCTGAATCCTGGTCAGGAATTTAAATAAATTAATCTGTTTTGTACAAGCCAATCAGAAAAGTGTACATGCTGTGAATTAGGTGGTTCTTACCAGGCACCTTCCTTCACAGTGCCAGTTAATATTTAAAATCTCTTCTAATCCTTATTACCTAAAGACTTTTCAAATCAGATTACACCTGTGTTAGAAAATTAGAAACAGTACAGGCCATCTGGGTCCTGTTAACTTAACAAATGTGATGTTTATGTGAAGTAGGAAATCTACGCAGTATGAATTAAAAGTAAAGCATGGAGCACTGAGAAACGAACTAGGTGCCATTCAGTGAAACATTGTCTTAGTTTAGAATCTGCACCGCTTTGTAAATGGCATTAATATGTAAATCTCTGATTTTATTGTAAATGTGTGAAGGAGAGTTCCTTGTTTTCCAATTTAATTTTACTTAATCTGAAAAATTTTAAGGACCAAAACAAAGATGACATCTGTTATATTATCATGGAATCTACACAGCTCAGCTCACAGTCCTAACACACAGTACCACAGTGACATTGATTAACTGTGAGCAAAGATTAAGCAAATTGACCCTGATGCTCCCTCTCTCGAAATAAACCTGCCAAGTCCATCTAATTGTGCTTCTGTATCTGAGGTTACTTACAAAGACTATGGACTGTGTACTTCTGCTGGTCCCGGTTTTCTTAAAATATAAAAGTAGGTAAGTCATTCGTATTTTGTTACTTGCAAATTTTGTTGGTCTTGTGGATTTGTAAATCATTGAGAGTACAATAATGATAGGTAGGTGAATAAAAAAGGACAGATTATATTCTCTCTATCTGTATTTCAACTGAAAGATATTACAATATTATTCTAATATACCTGAAGTTCTGAAACTGAAAACTAATAAAACTAATAAAATGAAACATGTAAGTAATGTATTTACTGAAACATATGTTAGAGAAATTTCGTCTTTGGAATTTTACTAAAAAGGCATAATGTGGTTCAGAGGTTCAGAGGAATAAAAAAAATATTTATTAATTTTGTTTTTTCACTGTCCTCCCTTCAGAAAACACCCAAGAAAAATGTCTTTCAGTGGGTGTTTTCAGGTTAGAAAATATGCGATAATTACTTCTACAGTATGTTGACAAAAAAAAAATCATGACTTTTTCTTTGGGTAAGCCGTATTAATAGTTTTACGTCTTCATTTTTATCAGCTCACAATTGAAGTGGTTTTATTTATGTATGAGAGATTATGTACGTGCTTATTTATTTTACAGAGATACTATTGTACTCTGATTAGTCAAATATTAAGCTTTCTTTTTAGCACTTTTCTTGTGTCCTGTCCAGTAGCAATTTAGTTTAAAAAAAGAGTGGAAACATAACAATAGAATAGCATCTCACAGAAATCAAATTCACACTGAAAGAGGATATGAAAGTCAACTAATGACAATTTTTCAGAAAATGGCAGAGATTAATTTTCTGTTTTTATGGGAGTTTGAGGCATTTTAACTTGTGTGTTTACTTTGGATAGGAGCCTGTCACTCAGAGGAGTGAAATGGATCAAAGATGCTATATCCAGTAATATAAGAGTAATGATTACAGTTTTCACAAATTCTTTGGCACAAGAAATTATTTACACAGAAAAGTGAAGGCTTGTCCCATTCTTTCTTGTGAGTATGTTATTGTAAGCATCTAAATATGCAAGACTGAAGGTGACAAGATCATTCAACAGGTTTCTATGTCACTGATTCACAAAATATTTTAAACTGTAGTAGACAACTGTCACTTAAATCCAATGTGATCAAATGTCAGATAAATCCAGCGGCAAAGAGTCAGGAAATCCTGGACAGGATGACATAAAGTAAACAAGATTTGTGGTTACAGAATGCATCAGGTAGCGAGTATCATAATGAGTTCCAAAGAAAGGTCCATGAGAAAGGCCTTTTCAAATTGACTTGTGATGTTAGGTTACGTGATGATGGGATACATTGGATTGGATTAACTAGTTCAGAGAAAATGTCCTCAATGGAGAAGCCTTTTTCCTAATATAATCAATAATTGTTTTGGAATCTGACACACAGTACATTCACTTACAAAACTCACTTTTGGATCTGTGATCCAAAAAAATAATACAATTGTGATTAAAACAATTGTGTCGTTTCAAAGAGCTCAAATGTTGTTTGTCGACCTGCTTCTTTCAATATAGATCACATTCAGCAGGTACTTACAAAGAGCTAGGCCTTTGTTAGCACAACATGTGGCAATATGGCACTTGACCATCATATTGTTAATTGCTTTCTGGTTTTGTAATTCTTCATTGGAACTAAAACTATTTTTTTATTATCTAATCACATTCTTTGATTTATTAAGCAGATATTTACTCAGATAAAGGATGCCTGTCTAATAGAACCAAATTTTAAACATTCTCTGCCATTTATAAATAATAATGATGAAATAAAGCAGGGCATCACTTTAGAGAATGAAGGTCACAACTACTGTATTTTAATGTAGGAGAGGACAACAATTTATGTATTCTTTATATATGCATGATCTCTTTCTCATCTTTTTTCTGTTTTTCAGTTGATGGGCAAACATGAGTGATATTGACCCCAGAAACCCCTCACAGCCACCGGATCATTTCTCTGAGAGTGGGCAGACAATGATCCCCCGTCACCCTCAAATCACGGACCCCATTTCGTCGAAACACGTCTGCTTCTATAAGAGCGGCGACCCCCAGTTCAGTGGGCTAAAGATGGTCATCAACAATCGGACTTTTAAATCGTTTGATGCCCTGTTGGATACCTTATCTAAGAAAGTTCCTTTGCCCTTCGGGGTTCGAAACATCACCACCCCTCGTGGAATCCATGGTATCAACCATCTTGACGAGCTAGAGGACGGGAAGTCATACATTTGCTCAGATCAAAAGAAAGTCAAGCCTATAGATTTGGATGTGGCGAGTAAGAAGCCAGTACCCTGGTATACCACCAGGCCAGTGAGCGCCCGCCGCCGTGCGGTACACCTGGCCAGGCAAAATGACAGCAGGATTATGAAACGTGAAAACTCACTGGTGGTGCGCACACCCAAAAAACTTGTTGTCTTCAAAAACGGAGACTCTGGAATCAAGCACACCATAATGCTGCAAAAGAAAACATCACAGACGTTTGAGTCACTTCTCGGTCACGTGACAGAGGTGATGCAGTTTCCTGTAGTAAAGCTGTATACTCCAGATGGCAGAAGGGTAAGCATCTGTTTATGATCCTCTCCATACAGCAGTTACAGAAGTCACGAGGCAAGAACACCAAGACATTGGAAGTAAAGCAAAGACCCATACAATTTTGTTTTTGTGAACCGGGTTTGAAATTTAGAAATCAGAACACCACAGCATCTCCCAGCATTAATGGACTTAATCCAAGTTTTCAGCCAGAGAACCCTCGAGCAATTGGACAACTTCAAGCTGTCTAGACAGCATAGTCCACTATGTAAGAAGAATTCAGCCCTATCAGCAATAGCCCACCAAAACCCCACTTTCTCCACCACCCTCCCCTCCCCCCCCACACAGCACAAAGTTGCAAAAAACTACAGTAATATCAAGACAGGGCAGATTCCAGGAATTCTGGGAGAACAAAAGCTGAGTGTCAATGCGCTGCCAAGTTTTTTAGTTGTGGTGAGACCAGTCAACCAGATATGTTCCTATTGCTTCTAGAAGCCAAGATCCAAGTAATCTTTCAGTAAAAGAACTCCTGAGGAAAAACAAAATCCATAATTTGAATACTAAACATCTTTACCATTTTTTAGGAATATATATTTTTTCTATTATCGTGCCACCGACAATGGCTATAGGACATTAGCAACATACAGCATTTATAATGAATATCTGTTTCTCAAGCCTGAGAACTTTAGTGAACAGAGTGAACTCTAAAAAAAAGCAAAGTAAGCCTGACTTTTTCTTAGGGGACATTAGAGGAAATGTATTGATAGAAGCAATGATTTTAATTTAGTCTCTACTACTATGATGGTGAGGATAACCATCGATACTACATACTGTAGATACACAAGTGTTAATCCTTTCTAGTTTGCTGTTTTTTGGACTTCCCAGAAAAAAGAGTGTGGTCCTGTATTAAATGCAAATACCACACTGTGAGATTACATTTTCATTGCTTGGAAAAAAATAGCTTAATATAAACCTATGTGGTTCGTCCACAAGTTCCTTAGAAATAACTGTTAGAAACCCATTTGCCAGAATATCATCTTACTGTTTCTGTTGGCAGAAAAATGGTTGCACTTCTTTAACTGAAGATTGTCAGTCTTATTTTAAAAATAGTAGATTTGTAGTGAATAGAAGAAAAGTGGATGTGTTACTGCCTCACCTGAACTGTGTACAAAAAGACTTGTAAACATGTAAAAACTGTACAAAAACTTTCGAGAAGGCCTAAGTAGATTTATTCTGTGGTTAAGTTATGAGTCTGATGAACACATTTGTAAATTTTTTTAGATAAGTAGACAGTGTCCCAGTATGACTGAATACTATGTATTAAACAGTTCATCCACTAGAAAGTAGAGATATAATGGGAGGATAGTAAAAGACACAGAAATATACTTTGTATACAAAAAGTGGTTAATGCTTAGTACAGTTTACCTTATTAAGTTGAAATCATAATGGTAGGGTTAATCAAGATATTGTTAGGTGTTGCATTGGAATGATTTTGACTGCAGGATTCAATCTCTTGTGGGCCACAAGTTTTTGTTTGAATAGAATTACCTGTGCTGTGATCGTATGTTTATTTAAGAAATGGAAGCGGAATGAGGTCACACATTACCTGAGAGCCCCATTGTATGATGTCAGGCCAGGAACTAGGGTCAAAGCCATTTAATGAGCACTACCTAGTGACTGATCCAAAAATAACTTGTAGGAGAGGGAACAAAATCTAAGCTTCTTAGCTAGAATCCCATTAAATCAGCTGACTAACAGCATTAGCCAAGGCTGGGGAGATATTTCAAATAACTAACACGAAAGCATACAGTAAGCCTCATATTTCATACCCACACTGGCCAGTATCTTGGTAATGTGCCGTTATTGGATTTCTGTGTGGTGCCCTCTTTTGAGATGTAAGTCAAAACTAATGTGTGGCTTTCTTCAGCCTATAAGAATATATTTTAAAGAGTACACCAAGTTTACAATTTCGTCTGTTTCTTTTGTGTTTGAGAGAAATGTCTGAAAGTGTTCAAGGATATTCAGAGACACTGCTGAAAGATACCAATGATAAACTGAAAATCAGTTCTCTACCCACATTTTTAATCAAAAATGAAAGTATAGAGCAAAATACGTTTTCATTATCTTCAATGTTCCAGACATAAAATAAGTTTTAAATCAGTTTAAATTTAATCTTTAAGGTTCTGGTAGAACAATTTCTTGAACACATCTGATCTAAAATGATGGTTTAAAAATGTTCTAGAATATTAAAAAAAACATTTTATTGACACCTTAAGAATATTCTGGGCACCTTCTGATTTGCATTCAAAATAAACAGGAGTGCTGCCAAAACGACTGGTCTAAGCACCCTATAGCAATTTTAAGGTCAGTTTCAAAGCTAGTATGTGAGCAGCACACAGAGCCTTGGCTTTGTAGTGTCAATTAGTTGTCGTAACTCTGGACTCATAAAGGAAAAGTTATGGATTAATATTCCAGGTAGGGTACACTGTTGTATCCAAGCAAGATGCTTCACTAAGATTTCACTAAGATTCACTAAAAAATATATTCTAAAAACAATACATTTACTGTAATTAGTACATGTATATCAGCAGGAAACCAAAATATTTTTTTAAATTAAAATACAAGTACTGAAACAAAAAAGCAAAAAAAAAAAAAACTACAGCCCCTTTGTAAAGTTGCATTCAAAACCATCATTGGGTATGACATTTTATCAAGAAATCTGCTAAATACGAGAGAAAAACATCTACTGGATAATTAATAAATAATTATTAAATTATTTAGCAATTATTAATAATAAATAACTGATAATTACAGAATAATTGTACAATCTCAGCAAATTCAGACTATTTTCAGACTAGCCACTGAACAGCATGATGCTTTGTTTGGATTATTGATGGATTTTTATGTCATTGCCTTTTCTTTAAAATTGCAGGTTGATAGTCTCCAGTCTCTGATTCTGTGCTCAGGGGTTGTTGTAGCTTCAGGACGAGAACCGTTCAAACCAGGCAGCTATGATCCTCAAACACAGACTCTGCCTGCAAAGCTGCCTGGAGTCTCCAGTCACGTTCAGCCAAAGCACAGAGAGAGGCTGGGACGAAGGAATCGTAAGTCTGTTTTTTTAACGAAAAATCTCCACAAAAGATCAAAGCAAAAGAACAGATAAGCAAATGAACCTTATTATTGAATTTAACCATTTCATTTTATACCTCTCCATGTGCTCAAAGGTGTCCAAGGATTAGTTGACATATTTTTGTCACACAATTTGGACTTGTTCTTATATTCTATCCTGCAAATAAGTGTAAAACAGATTTACATTACTCTAGAGTTATAGGTCTTCCAGATTAATGTTTATTTCAATTTCATTTCAGTCATTCACTAAACTTTACTGATCACTTCTTCCAAATATTGTGTACAGACATTGTCCATAGTCCTTAAGGTAATGCACCAAATTGGTGGAAAATAGTTTTAGAAAGTTATGAAAAGTTAGTCTTTGTAATTGGTTATTATATAAAGTAACTCACATTTTACTACTGTATTTTACTCAAATTAATTTCCATTAACTTGTTACCTTTGTTATTAATTCATAAAAGCAAATCTTGATGTAACTTATAACAGTAATTCACTACCTTTTTAGAAGTAACATTTGTTAGTCCTGCATGTAGATTTGCCGTTAATAACAACATAAAAAACTGTAGGGTGAACCTGGGAGGAATGTGAAAAAAAGAAGAGTTTTAGCGTTCTTTCAGATTATTTCTGACCTTCCTAAAAAATACTGATATTCTGGGAAAGCTGTGTGACACAATGGTTCATGCTTGTACATCTGTAATTTTGAACAAGAAAAGAAAAGTTGTCCACTAAAAGCATATCCTGTCTTATACAGTATTTTTTTTAACGTGTTTGATTTCTCCCTGTAATTTTGACTGCTGTTGCAGTCATACACAATGGAACTACATACAAAAATATTGTCATGTTTATGAAATATCATGTAGAGGAATATTTAATACTGTAATATTCTGTTTACAGTGAGATAGTAAAGCACAGGTACACAAACAGCACTTCAACCTGAGTTATGTTTAAGATGAATCTAGGCTTGTTGTTCCATGAAGAATCTATGGAAGAGAAAGTTATATACATATAACATATAACAATGGATTATATAACAATACATTTTGTGTATAGTTTTGACATAAATTGCAGTGTTTCTAGGACACCAGTTTAGATGCCTTCAGAAATGTAAAGAAGACCAGACGGAATGCTAGATTATGCTACAGTCACCCAATACTAATGATTTCAATCTCTTAAGATGAAAGGGATAAGCTGAAGAAATTTGCTGAGGTGTTCAATGATGTCAGTAATTCCCCGACTGGCCCAAATGTCTTTCCTGCATTAGCTGCTTTGTAGGTCATTCTGCATACAGTCTAGCAAATGCATGAAGCATTAACAATGGTAATATTTCTGCTTATTCATTATTACTAGACATGGTGTTAAGTGAATATATTAGAATGATTAAAACTGCTTTTTTGCTTCAACTGTTTTTCTAATTTCTGTGTTTTCTTTCTTTCAATGCTTTCCCTGCCAATGGAATATGGGCAACTGCTTCACAACAAACCCCCCATCTTTTCCTTTTCTTCACTCTTGCTGCTTCTCTCTCCTCCATTTTTTTATTTATTTTGGAACAATTAACCTTAAAAGGGAAAAAGAAATCAGTCTCCAGCACTCGGTCTAGAAATTTCTCTCTGTCTTCAGAAAAGTACTTTGTAAACCAGATCAATGGCTCCATAGCTGGAAGCTTGTATGACATGCCCATTCCCAGTAATACCATGGAATCAGCGGAGACCTGCACCTGTGTCGAGGGGGACATTCCTGTGATGCCTCATGATGAGGACATAGAAAAGTCTTTTCGTGTCAATCAAGACGGCAGCATGACAGTAGAGATGAAAGTGCGATTAACAATAAAACAGGAGGAAACGATACAATGGACCACCACGCTCAGCAGGTCTAGTGTCTCCAACCAAATCAATGTGGCTTGCATCTCGCACCCAGAGCCAGGTGGTAGTTCTTCCAATCCCAACCTGGTTGCTGCTACAGAGCTAACATGTGCAGCTGAATATACGTCTAAAGAGGAAAATGATCTCTCTCAGAAAGGAACGAATCAATCGTCTCAAGAAGGAAGAGATGAAAAGGTTCCTGCTTTCAGAGAAACCCAAGAATATGACTTTTGGCAAGATCTGGCACTAAATAAGCATGACACCGAAAGCAAAGATAAAGTCTGCTTTAGAAGACCACCGACCCCTGGGCCAAGGCGCACTAAAAAAAAGCAGACCTCACTGGAAAGTCTCAAAACTGTGTTAGAAAAGGAAATAGAGGAAAATGTAGTTGGTACTTATGCCTACATTGAGGAAACTGAAAATGGTGACGTAAAAAAAGAATACTGCATGGTTAGCCAGTGCAGCAGCAGACCCATACCCAAACCCAGGAAAACAGGGTCTGTAGAGATCAATAACAATGATGTACACTCCTCTGTCAAATCTTCGGGAGTAGCCAACATACTAAAGTTACATGACAATGGAGAAGAAATTACCGAAACGGTATTACACATAGTTGAACATCAAAGTTGCCATGACAATTTTTTTGCAAATCTAAAATGTGGCCTTGAAGGAAAATTTACCTGTGGTAGACCAGCTTCTTCAGACATAACCCTGTGTTCCTTAGGCAATGAATATGAAGTGCATTACAAGAGACCATCCACCGCTTCAGAATCACTCAATGGCAGAAAAAATGGTAACACATCTTTTTCGTCAGATCTCATGATCAACTCTTACACAAGCAGAAACAACTTGTCTTCTGTCAGAAATGATGAAACTGGGTTTTCTGTTAATTTACTTTCAAAAGCATTACCCCCCAAAACAGAATGCTCTGAATTCAGCTCAGGAGGTTATACAAAGGATCAAGTTTCACCTTCAATCCAAGGGAAAAAAAACAAGCAGGCCAAGCCAAAAGTCAAAAAGATAAACGTGCCAACAAACGTGAGCTCATATAGCAAAGGAAGAGAAAAAAAAGACATGACCTCTCAGAAAGACACCAGGAAAGCTATCTCCGACATTTTAACCAGTGGTGAAAAACAGATAAAACATACAGAGGAAAGCCCAAGCAATTTCCAACAGGTAAACAAAATTAAAAAAAGCAACAAGAAAAAGAAAGGCATGGAAGAGGAAAATATTAACAGCTTTTCTGTACTGAGTCTGTCTGAAAATGCATATGCATTAAACATTGAGAACACCAAAGGGTTAATGGCTGAAAAAGAACTAAACTATTCTGAAGTCAAATCTATCAAAGACAACCAGATGGTATGCCTGAATGGAAGTGAGGAACACACATGTTTTAAGAAAATTGTCTTGCCACCTATTGATTCATCAGGGCAAGACAAAATGAGACAGAAAAAACAGAAAAAGACCGAACAAAACTCATCTGAAAAGGAGACAAGAGAACTTAGTGAGAATGCCTCACTCCTTGAGCTTTATTCTTCACCTTCTTTAGTTAATGAGAAAGTAGAAAACTGGCTGGAAAATTTACAGTCAGGATCCAGATCATGTCAGGGGAATGTATCACACAATGAAGCAGACACAGACAATAAAGTAATCTTTCAAATAGGCAGTGATCCATCAGAGGAATCAGAAGTAACTGGTGAAACAAAGGAGAACCATACCGAATACCTTCATGCTGGTAAAATTAACACCATCAAAAGGCAAATCGAAAGTGTTTCTAAAATGGAGAAGCTGGAGGAAGCATCTGATGAAGACTCTAATAAAAAGCAGAGCTTACATGATTCAATTCCAAATACGGAAACTAATCCAATAGCATTGACACAGCAGCGTAAAACACAGAAAACAACAGAAGCTGCAATTCAAACGGAGTTTGGGGAAATCTGTGGTAATTCACCTTCACAACCTGACTTGAAACCTGTATTAGAGCAGCTGTGCTGTTCAGTAAAATCAATCCAAAAACAGCAGACGTCCAACAGCAAACGTTTCTCTAGTTTAGAGAAGTCTTCTAGTCTGCCAGACCTTTCTTCAAATGTTGCTTCTACTCTTGGAGCTTCTTCCAAAGTCATTTTGGCATTTTTGTCTGTGTTGGCTTTAAGGGAAGGTATCACAGACATGGACAATACTGTATTATTGACAAAAAATAGAAGCTCCACTGAAGCTTTAAAACTTATGGAGTCTTTGAAGAAAATGGCTAGCATTGAAACTGAGGGAGAACTGATGATTGGTCTCTCAGATTCTCAACAGACTACATCTTCCCATTTATTACTCCCCTGTAGCGATCATCAGGAAATTACTGGAAAGGGGAACAACCATGATTTTCTAGCAGCATTTTCAGAAACAAATACACTGCTCGAGGCCTACACAGATGAAAACCATAAAAATATGGATCATACTTTTGACATTCAAGATTCAATTGCAGAACCTGGTATTCCTGAAGAATTACAAACTGTGGAATTGGCTCCTGTGGATAAGCAGAGCAAAGAGGTTAATATAAAAGAAGAGCAAAACCACAAGTCAGAGGAAATACATTGCTATGATGAATCAATTCATCAAGATGAGACTTCTTTGAATGGAGAACTCTCTTCAAATGAGCCGTCATGTTTGCTCACGGAAGAAATTCCTCATAGAGAGGAATTTACAGCTTTCAAAGAAGCTAGCTATGTAGAAGAGCAGCTCTGTTCAGCAAATGATGAGCTTCAAATGTCACAGTCAGGTGGTATTAAGGAGGCAAAACACATTTCTTTTGAGCAAAAAGCCGATGAAGAATTTATGGGTGAAAACCTTGATGGATGCTTAACAAATGACAATGGGTATGCAAAAGAGCACAGCTCCTCAGTCTCCATACCTAAAGATATTCTCAATGATGAACGTAAAAAACCTGGGATAGCTGAATCTGTCAAATCCGTGGATGATATGGTTGAGTCTTCCAGTAAGGATTCATTATGTTCCTCATTAGCATTTAGTTATGATTCTAAAATTGCCATGAAAAAGGAGACTGGTGGAGTCAATATCAAGTCAATAAAAGAAATGTTTATGGCCAAAAGCACTCAAGATTTGCAATTCGGAAAAAAGAGGCTACCAAGCCCATCCACATCAGACCTGTCTGACTACAGGCCAGAGACTTCAGACAGTTCAGGCAGTGGATATAGATCACAGGCATCATGCGAACTAACCACAGAAAGTGGAGAAGATATTAGTGGGAGACAGTCTATTTCTAAGGGCTATGTAAGAAAAACAATTGAAAGACTTTATGGGACCAATGAAGCCAAGGTGCTTTCTGTGACGAGACCACCAGCTGCGCCAAAACAAAAGCGTAAAGTAAGTCCAGGAGAGAACAGCACAGGCTGCATCTCATCTCCAGTAGACACAAAGCCTAAAGCAACTTCAGATCTATTATACTTCAATGCCAAAAGCTCTTTGGACTTAAATAATAAATCTAAGCAAAGTTCCCCACATACTGCACTGTCTGACCCCAATGATGGAGTTTTGATTGACAAAGGGAGATGGCTTCTTAAAGAAAATCATTTAATACGAAAATCTCCACCAGAAAAATTGGGGATGTATGGAAATATTGAAACCACATCTGCTGAGACAGGGCTGGACAATACAAGTGAAGATGCTCCTTACTCATACTTTGGAAGCCATCACCCTCCTCTGGCTGTTATATCTTCTTCTGAGCTTGAAGAACTTGCAAAACCAGGGGAACCCAAGTGTACGTACTTTAACATGCCACACGCCAGCGACTCTGAACCTTTCCCCGATGACATGAGCATAAAAAGCAAAGGCAGCCTCCTCTGTAGAGGTGCAGTGGATGGCTCAAACAAAAAGAAAGACCTGCACAGTCTTGATCCATCTGGTGAACCCGCAAAAATGTGGGCAGAGAAAAATGGGAGCCTGCCTTCTTTTGCCTCAGTAGAATTTAGGTTACCCGACAACAAAGTACATCCAGAACAGGGACCTTCAGTGGCTCATCCTGTAATTTCACAGCCTGCTAGGGCAGGCAGTACAAATGGCAGATCTCCTGAAGAGCAAGACTCTTTGGAAAAGCTGCATATCATGTGTGGCCAACACTGCCCGATACTAACAGTCAAAGTAGAACCTCTACATGAGGAAAACAGAGGATATGTTTATCAAAAGCCATCTGATCTTGAGAACGAATGGATAATGCGTTCACTAAAGATAGGACCTAGCATTTGTCCCCATGTATTCCCAGATACCATAATGAAAGACACACAAATGGATGAAGAACGCATGGACAAGATGATATACGAAATCACAAAAATATTTGAAGATGCCATTATTAGACACGATATTGCAAAAGTCAAACAAGAGCTGTCCTCACGTGTGATTTCAAAGCAGGTAAAGGATGCAAAAGAGGGGAGCACTGCATTCAAAATCATCTTTAAGAGTAATGAAAGACAGAAAAAATATCTGGCACAGGAGTATGGAAAAAGAAGCAGATTTACTTATGTTCATTATGACAACAACAGCATAATCAAAGACCTTCCAGAATGCTGTTATTCAGCAAAGGATTGCTACAGGGTGTGGTTAGCAAACAAAAGAAATGGCAGCATAGAATCTGCGCATTGTGTAAGATTACATAACATCTTTAAATCAGAACTGTTGCAAGATGATGAAAATACAGAGAATGGAAAAACGTCGGCTGTCTCAGAGGTCTCTGATATTCTTATTGAAACACCAGCAAATAAAACACAGACTGCTGAGCAAGAAGACAATGAAGGAAATGAACGAAAGAAGGAAAAATAACTAAAAAAACAATCAAAAAATGTTTTTTGCAAAAAGCACAGAGCTTGTCTGAACCATTGTTTGTTGTTAGGGTTAAAAGCCATATACTGTATGCCAAGAATGTTACACTTTCAACTAAAGAATATGTATGTACTGTGTATAGTGTACAAATAAATAAGTTACTCATACAAATTACTGCAGAAGTAAAAATGACTATATAGATTAATTGGTGCCTGATCTACTTTAGGAATTACATAAGTTTAAGATCCCTAATTTTTACTTCTCAGCAAGATCAAAATGGTACTTAAAAGCTGGAGGTTGACAGTGGAGTGCTGGTGTTCCATAAAACATATGTTCCATAAAACTTATTATGTGTTTGTAGTAAATAATATGTACCAAGAATGTATCATTTTTCTTCATAATTTTGGCTAAGGTCAAAATGTTTGCTGCACATTCAACTAAAACATTCATCCATTTATCTAGCAACTCACAGAACAGTGACTACCAAGAGCCATGACAAATAGCTCTGTATCAACATCATTTTGACTAAATCATTGTTTGAACCATATAAAGTATAGTTTATGGAACATAATCACTAAATTTAATGTTTTCTTACATCATTGTTAGATCATTTTGTGTCAAGTGTAAACTCTATAAGTCTATATAAACTCTATTGTACTCTATAAGTAAAATATCCTAGTTGTAAAGTAAAAATCCCTGTTGATGTCATATAATTAATTAAATACTGGTATTTTATAACACTAGACCCTATGATTTTAATATCCTTAATTTCTTCTACTAACTTCTGAATGGTATTCAAATAGCATTCCATATGATAGAACTTTGCTATCTAAGAAGCAACATGCTTACTACAATTTAACACAAATCACTCTTGAACCTTCCTTGCCTCATTGTGCTGCTGGAATCTAACTTAACATTTTCAAGCACACATTTCCATATGAACAGGTTTATAACAGTTCAATACAGTACAATTATTGTTTCATTTATTAAAAAATGTTCAAAAATTAATTTGAATTGTTCTGTAGCAAAGACTATGCAAATCTTGCATATCCATCTAAACTTCTGAAAGTCCTTGGAAAATATCAAGCAGGATCTGTGATCTTGCTTTTAAAAAAACAAAAAATACAGTTTCTTAGCGATCCAAAACTTGCAAGAGAAAACAAACCATAAACCTGGCACTGTAACAAAACTTTGGGGTTGGTTTACAACTTTGATTTTTATTTACAAAATTTGATATTTATTTATCAAATGTAAATGACACATTTACATAATTTAGCAATACAATGTAAGTTTCTGTAGAATTATCTCTAAAGAGAGGTTATTGGCAGCTAATATATATTGTGTTTTGTGTGTTTTGTCTAACTTGTTTTTTTCATTTAAATTTTATTTTGTTTCAGTTTGTTCCTTTGTGTCACACAGTTACAAACAATTTGTTCAATAAAGGCTGAAATATACAAACGCGTGTGCTTCATGTTTTAAACACATTAGTCAGCATTGAAATACAAACATTCATCGATATTTAAAATGATGAAAAGGATAACACCCTCAATCATTGTTTAGCACATTCATAATCTTTTACTGGATTCAATATTCAACATGTCCACAAGTAATCAGTCAGACACTTGGAGGAAACTTCCATTGATCAATTGATTTATAATGTATAAGAGACTGGCAGAACATTAATGGAATATCAATAACCTGTTAGAAACCAATCCTTACTTATATCTGATCATACTTACTAGCAAATCTCAGATTGTTCTGATATAAATGAATGTACAGTCTGAATGTCTCATCTTAAACACTTAATCAGTACTGATTTGATTTTGGCTTTATACCAGGAGGAAAATGGAGAGTGTCAGTTGTCACAAGCTCCCTGCCATCGGCTGGTACAAGTTCCCAAGTTTATATCATACTGTACGGGCTCCAGGGGAACTCTGGACCTCTTTTTCTGCTTGGGAGAGAGGGGGACCTCTTCCAGAGTGGCCATGAAGACATTTTTGATGTGCGTACTAAACTTGGACTTTGTTAGTTCACATCTAACAGGGACATTTTTTACTGCAGGTCAATATTATTGCAGGATACTTGTTCTTACATAAGTGTTCAAAGCCAGAGAGTTGTTCCATTTTTAAAATTAAGGGCATGTCATAAGCATTTGCAGGTGAGACAAAGCAGTTTCAAAAGCTGTAAGCAGAGAAGCACGAGTCACAGTTCCAGAAACTATACATGACTGCCAACAGTGTTTCCACAAATGATTAGAGAGAGACACCGGCTCCAGGAGATTTGAGAACAAACTTCTCTCTCACTAAATTTCTAACACAAATTCTTATTTTTAGTCAGTGAAAATGGGAGTTGTTTGACAAATTAATTCCATAATGCTATGTTTTTATAACACTTTATGCTTTGAATTTGGATGTTTTGCCGCATATTTCCTGTATGTTGTTTCAATTAAAGATTAAAGGCTAAAGCGGAACATCTCAATTGTGATCTTATTGTACAGGTGGCATAGTTTACTCACTAGTGTAATAACACTTTCATTTTTATTTTTTGTCCCCACAATGTGTGTCTTTCTGGCTAAATTGAAGATAAATGTTGGTAATATCGGTGAGCTCTTCAAAATCCGTATTGGACACAACAGCTCTGGACAGTCCCCTGGATGGCACTGTGAAGAGGTAAGAAGTCATTGCACCGAGAAACACTATCATTGTTTATTAAAGGGGATATATCCTGCGATTTATATACTGTAGTGCTTTTCATTCTTAAGAATCGCTAAGCTCTTTATTCATTGCAGGGACCACAATTCTGCACAGCAGCCATGATGAAGTATTACAGCTATCAAATCAGAACAAAGTGATTAACATGATAAAATAACTCATTTTGTGTTTGTTGTTTTGTTTGAAATTCACTAGGAATAAATAAGAATTAAGTGAATTAGGAGTTAAGTGTACTGAAAGGACTATAGAGTGTTTTAGTTAACATGTGGCTTAGCCGACTTGGCTGAGGGCCGACCTCCTGGCCACAGGACGAGGAGGCTAGGACTTCCATACAGAGTGAGGAGTGACACAGGGGCAGCTGCAGAAGGGGAGATGGGGTGGAGGTGGGCTGCAAAAAGACATATGTGAAGGAGAGAAGGGGATCATGTGCAGTATTTATAGTGCTGTAGGAGAGGAAATGACGTCAGGAGTGATCTGAATTAGTGACAGCTCAGTCTGATTGAACTTGGTTGTTGTCATCCCTCCCTAACATTTGTTATAACCTCCATTTGTTGCAATTTTGGCTTGCTGCGTCCTTGATAACAAATAAAAGATTTGAGACGAAAAAATGAAGTTCATTACTCTGTCCTTATACGACAAAGCTCAGTGGCACTGAGCATGTAGCTGAGAAATGATGCCACCCTCCTGAAACCCTGACAGTGTAGGATTCTCCTGCAGCAGAAAAGCTGCTGTTTTGAGTTTTGCCTTTCTAAGGAGTGATACTGTGAGCCTGAGATGGTACAAAAGTGATTGTGATCACATCCCAACAGGGGCAAAGCCAACCTGCACCTGTCACACGTACTGTACATCCTATGTGATGTCATTTTTTTTCCTTTCAAGAGGATAGGGCTCATAAAGAATTTTGAAATAAACACAAACGCAATACATTTTTAAAACATCAAGGACATAGATTTATATTTTTTCAAATATTACACACTGAATGCAAGCAGTATGTTATATGGTATATCAGGACAAAAAGAGTGTCACAGCTTGAATTGGAGATGATTGAGACTCAGTGGAGACAAGAGACAGTAAAGCTTGGCAGCCTGTGCTGCTGTGGTAATTACTGAAGTATTTGTGTGTTCAAAGGGGAGATATTGAAATCATTTGCAGTGAAATGACATCAATAGCAAATGATTTAGACTTAAAAATCATTAAAAGGAGTGGTGCTTCCTCCCCACTTTGGAATCACCAAAGATGATCTGTGTCTGAGCTCACAGATACGAGGCCTGCACCTAGTCAGGGAGAATAAGAACAGGCTGGTATGCTCTTCTGATCTGTTCTCATATCCAGACGTGTTGTGACACATTGCAACCTCCATAGTGTCTTACTGGAGAGCGTATGCTGTTTGGAAGTCTCAGAAATCCCTCTTTTAAAGAGAGGGGGCCTGTCCTGTCAATCCAAAGAATCGATTGTGAGCCCCACCTTACTTGGTGACCCAGGTTTAAATTCACACCCTTGGGGTCCCCATAATTTATACCACCAGTGTACAGACTTCTAATGATAATGCAGTTCCCCTGCAGTGCTGAGAGAGACTTTTGTGCTGTATATTACTTTATTTCACCTTGGCCTTTGGGTAACGGTGGGTCCTTTTTTAGGTGCGACTGCAGAATCTGTTCACTGAAGAGATGTTCTATCTTCCTGTCAATCGCTGGCTCTCTCAGGAGGAGGAGAAGGGTGGGGAGATATGCAGAGAAGTGCCAGTGTTACATCATGGTTACCCTGTTTTCCCTGGTAAACATGCACAATTATCATTAACACAAGACCGGACGAAATGACGGCAGCATCATAATCTTAGAAAAACTCTTTTCTCAATGCACCAATTGCATTAAGAACTATAATAATACCATAAAACAATTAGTAATCCGTGATTTAGGGTGATCTATTAAACCTTGGACTGTGGGACTATGGACCAGGGCTAGACATCCCTGCCACACAAAAGAACCAAAAAGAGGGAAACATTTGCCTCAAACCTGATTCTGACTCTAGTCAATGGCCTACTGTAGTATAACAAACTACATACAGTACCTTTCTCCCTATCTCCACATACAATTACCAGAACAAAAGAATATTCCTTAAAAAAATAGATTATTTTCAGTGATTCTTCCTTTCAGACATCAATGAACAGATTTGTGTTGTATAAAATGAAGAGTTTTTTCTCTTTTGCCATTTTTATGTTCTCAGTTTGCTTACATAAATAGACGAGTGAGTGCTGTTTAAACAACATCTTTGTTTTTTTTCCAAGTTACTCTGTACGGGGTCAGTGTTGTGACAGGAGACCTGTGGAATGCAGGAACAGGGGCCAATGTATACATCAATGTTTATGGGGAAAATGGTGATACAGGGTCAAGACAGCTTTTAAACTCAAAGAAGCCCACAACGTTTTGTAAAGGACAGGTACAGTATAGAGAAGAACAACCGAACAATGTGTTTCATTTGTTTTTTTATCTATTTTCTTTCTAAGAAATGAAAATACACTAAACAGCTAAAGTGATTCTCATGACGTTTGCCATTTCTAATTTTTCTTTTTTAACATCTATTACCTGTAACACATTTATGCAAATTCACATTCAATTATTCCATTTAATGCTTACTATTTTGTATGTGTGTAATGCTTTTAATTGTACCATGCTGAACTGTAGCATCTCAGAACAGAATGTTTGACACATTGCTGAACTGAAAATATTCACAAGAGGTATTTCTAGCATTTTTTTTCTCAGTTTTATACTCATGTGTTTTAATGCATTGATTTAGGTTGACACTTTCACCCTTGAGGCTGTTCATCTTGGGCACTTGGAAAAGGTTGTTATCGGACATGATGGACTCGGGGAAGGTAAGGACAAAATTAAGAAAAGATTTAGAGAGATGTACAAGAAAGTGTGCCTCACAAGAAAGTCTTGCAGCCTATGGACCTGCCTATAAGTGTTTTTTGTCTGATCTTGTCAGATCTCTTAAGTCACTGTCTTTTGATCTTGATAGGGCATCTCATCAGACTACTGTTATGTTCTAAATGACAATACATACAGTAGAGTACAGCATTATAGAAAATATTCTGTATCGAAAATGATTCCTGCAACAATCTTTGAAAAGTTAACACTAGCCTTGCATTTGGAAGAAAAAGAAATTGGCACTCACTGATGAACGAGTTTTCTAATGCAATGACTTTCCCATAACAGGTGTGTGAAATATCAGAACTAATCTACACGTTTCTGTGACTGATAGCATATATTTTAGTTTTGTTGAGCAGCAAATGAAATGTAATTATTGACAAGGTAATTATGGAATTTGACAGAGCTTTGTGCTTTTGCTTTCCTAGGTAGTGGATGGTTTCTAGAGAAAGTTGTCTTAACTGATTCTTTGAAGGATGTGGAGTATACATTTCTGTGCAACAGGTTTGAATAATTTCAAAATATCAATTATATAATGTATTTTAAAAAGAAGTTTCATGCATAAAATTGACTGTTTCATTACATATGAGAACAAAAAGCAAAAAAACAAATATATTGGAATTATTCATGATGCACTATGGAAGGCCTACAGTAGGATTGCCTCTTGTTTATTTTTATAACATTAAAAAAAACATTATTTTTTGTTACATACTGTCCAGATCTGACAAATACCTCAGCTTTGACACCATTATAAGTATATTAAACTGTGCACAACAATGTAAAACATAATGCTTAAAACAATATAGAGAAATAAAATGTTGTATATAAAGATACCATGACCACTGTTACTGAACTGCCTCAGGAGAAAGTTTTAACTCTCGAATCCTTAATGTTGTCTTCTGTCATTCCCACCTTGCTTCTAAGAACACAAGAAAGGTTACAAATGAGAGAAGGCCATTTGGTAGGCGTTAATTAATGGATCAAAGAATTATAATGATAATAATTTCTTACGCTTATGTAGCGCTTTTCTGGACACTCCACTCAAAGCACTTTACAGGTAATGGGGACTCCCCTCCTCCACCACCAGTGTGCAGCCCCACCTGGATGATGCGACGGCAGCCATAGTGCACCAGAACGCTCACCACACATCAGCTATCAGTGGAGAGGAGAACACAGTACTGAAGCCAATTCATAGATGGGAATTATTAGGAGGCCATGATTGGTAAAGGCCAATGGGAAATCTGGCCAGGACGCCGGGGTTACACCCCTACTCTTTTCGAGAAACACTCTGCGATTTGTAATGACAACAGAGTCAGGACCTCGGTTTTACGTCTCACCCGGAGCACCTTTTTACAGTACAGTATCCCCGTCACTATACTGGGGCATTAGGACCCACATAGACCGCAGGGTGAGTGCCCCCTGCTGGCCCCACTAACATCTCTTCTAGCAGCAACCTTTAGTTTTACCCAGAAGGTCTCTCATCCAGGTACTGACCAGGCTCACACCTGCCTAGCTTCAGTGGGCTGCCAGTTGTGAGTTGTAGGGTGATATGACTGCTGGCTTAGACCTCATCCCACCATTTCTTGAAAGAATCCAGGGTGATGGTTTTCCATTTTCTCTGCGTGCAGCTGCTCTTCGCTTTCAGTTGAATAGCAACTTGCACAAGACAAGGAAAGGATTATAAAAGGTGCCAAGGGCAGCTCTCCCTACTCCTAGAGGAATTTGATCTCAGTCAATCTGAGTACGCACAGCGCCACTCCCTGACAGCGGACAATACACCAAATGACTGGACTCCAACACAAGGGATCTATACACACTACACAAACAGAACAGGGTTCGGCAGCCTTTCTGAAGGAGCGTACCAAGAATTATCCATGCACTTGTTTTTACAGATTTCGCGCCGTTGATACTTTTCGAATGTCCGTAATTGCCCTACCTACATTTTGGTTAATAAAAATAATATTAAAATATAAAAATATCTAAAATGAACAAACGGAAAAATATGTCTTACCATTTAGTGTGATCCTTGCTGTAGAATTCAGTAAGGATCGAGTCGCTGGTTTTAAAGCTGTCAGTTTAAATAGGAGAAGAAAACATGGGACAAACGGTTGAAAATCGTGAAATCTGATGGTAAATCTTGATGCCAGTTTTCACGTTTACACCCCAAACTGAGCAGCAGGGATTGTGCAATGTTCTGAAAGTTCTTTAAATCAGAAATAGCGGCAAGTTGAAGTGAAGTCAACGAACCGAGTTAAAATGACATGTTTTGCAAGAAATGCCTTCTATATCTCGAAAAGACCTTTAACGCTTTGCTGTACATCCTAAAGACGGAGGCTGAGTTCATTCATATGCGTGGTGATGTTGACTAGGAAGATTCGTTTTGCGACCTGTTTTTCATCGTGCAACCCGGGCCGCTACGCAGAGCACAAACATGCTCTTTCTGTTGAACAAATACATATCCAAAAGGGCAAAAATGTGTGAAAATGTAACTTCGCTTTCTTAGCATCCACCGCATTTGACTTTGCATTTAACTATGAAAAATATTATCAGCGGCACGGATTGCGAGCTTTCCTGTTAAAATAATAGGTTAGCCAGCTAAAAACAACTCAGTAAATAAACCAATTTAGTTGATTTTTTTCCCTAAACCAAACAGCTTTCATTTGAGTAGCGTATTGAAGAGAATTACATAAAATCAAGCATCATATTTTTATCATTTCTTAACTTAGTTTCTTTTATTGCATGTACCGATATAAAAAAATCCATGTTCTGGCCAATACTGAACTGCCTGATAGTTGCTCAACCGCTGTTCTAGATTTTGGAGGCAGTGCTGTGTAATTGGCTCAGGTTATGTACTGTACTTTGTTACGGATGCACATTGTTATATTGTGTCGGGTGTTGTTTATGGAGGAGTTAGCACTGTGTTTTAAGCCTCATTCAAGTAAAGCATTTGAATGATGTCTGCGAATCGTTTAGCTACAAGCAGTCTAACGAGCTAGAGTGGCCCATTAACTTCCATTCGTCCGTGACATTTCTTATGCTTTTACGGATACCAAACTTATAAAACTAGACTAGATATAAATCTTGATTTTTACTTCACTTATATTCCAGATGGCTGGACCAAGGTGAGATGGATGGTAAAATAGTGACGGAGCTTTACGTATCAGATGGCCTCAACTATTCCACAAGTGAGTTTAAATATTCCAGAATAACCTACTGTTCGTGTTAGATTTGTGCAATCATAGCTTTTTCATGCATATTCTGTGCACCTCTCTTCAGGGCAAGAACTGGAACACAAAAGAATGGAAATTGTAAGTAATAATTTTTCCCTTTAAAAGCATTTGCTAAGGAATGTTATTAAATATGGAGCAATTGTTGGTGTTAGTTGATTTTCCCTTCTTCTCTTTTTAATTAGTGGGCTGTGGAGAGATGGAAATTCCAGAAAGGAAACATTGTGCAGCTCTTCTGTAAGTTGACAGGAAAGTGTGTTCGACTACATCCAGATGGGACAGTTGATGCTCTTGGAGATAAGAGGGATAAACAAGGTAACGACAGTCTGACATACTGCTGGCACTTGGAATTAATAGTATTGCTGCTACTGCTACCACTACTACTACTATTGTGATGATAATAATGATTGCAGTTTTTATACGTGGTGTATATATTAATTACTCCAATATTTAGTTTGCCTTGTCTTAACCTTCAATAACTAGTGTTACCATATTAATCAGTGCCTGACTTTGCATTATTGTCTTGTCTATTAGACAATGTTTGTCAAGTTTTATGTACTGATTATTTAATTAATTTAAGAAACACATATACTGTACATACTTCAAAAAACACAGATATAGCAGTATAAACATGATATAAATAATATAATGTGTTTTATAGTTATATGAATTGTTCAGAAAAAGCTGTCTCACCTGTTAACACGTAAGAAGATGTCACTAGCTTAACTGTGAAACCATGGGGTCACATCTAACTGTTCCATTCAAATGTGCTCAACAAGATTCACTTTTCATGTCAGTGTGTGGAAATGTTCTTTCACAAGTTACAGTGCTTTGAGCTTCTTGAAAGATGCTCATAAATAAAATAGCATTATTAATATTATTGTAAGAAACTCTCATACAATATTCCATTTATAAAATCTAAAATCTTTAAAAAATATATTTTTAATAAGACTTAAAAACTAAAGCATTACATAATGAATACAACACACACATACTGTACATATACATTACACAAGGGTCAGTATATAAAATTAAATCTTCATAAATGATTGTTCATTAAGTAAAATGGTAAAACAGTTTTACCAGATTTCAGGTATACCTGCAGTATGTTGTAGGGCTTATACTCTCCTCAGTACTATTAATATAATCTGCATCACAAATCTAATTTATGTGTTGGGGGGTTGATTGCTTCACTTTAAGGATAGATAAAGTAGATTCACTTCTCTATGTGAACCATTTTAGAATCCCTTGGGATGAAAGGTGTTATGCAAACTTAATTATTTTTTCACTGTCTCTCTAAGACCTTACACTTGAATAACTGGAGCTATCACCTCGATAGCTTCATATTAGGGTTAACTTTTAATTAGCCGATAGTCTTGTGCCTCTAACCTGACATCATTATTGTTTGCACAAATGTCTCTTATTTCATGAAGGTTTTTTTGACATGAGACTGAAGAGAGGAAATATCAGAGTGTTTCGCAGTCTTCCCCACCCGCAGCTCACTCTCGCTATTGCCAAAGGCAGAGTCACAGCACTGGTAACCAGAAAATAATTTCCCTTTAAAAACTCTAGCAGATTGCACCACGCCATTCTGAAATTGGACAAAATCGACTGGAAATCATTAATGACACATTCATTACAATAGTGTACTGTATGTTTTGATTGTGGATTTTAGCTAACATCCTCAATAATTACAAATAATAAAAATAATTACAAAAAATAATAAACAAGATAATTGAAGCAAATTAATCATTCATAAATCAATTCTGGATTTGGAGGGGAACTAAAAATGTTTTAATTCGATTGTTTCAGCTCAACATCCTACATGACTAATAGGCAGTCCATTTTCTGGGCCTTCAATAGTGCATCATAAAGAATTCCAGTGTGTTTGGTTCTTTGCTTTTTGTTCAATTCTGTGCTAAAACAATATGTTTATTAATTACATTAATAATTACATTATTAAAATAATTGATATCTTATTTATCTACATTTTTCTCTACTTTTTCTGTCTTGTCTGTAGAAGACAATGGTAAAATAAGTAACAACAGTGAAATCAGTCAAACCTTTTACATAGAAATGAATCCTCCATATCTTTCAAAGAATCAACCAGCTATTGCGTACAAAACAGAAAGGGAAGACAGGACAATATTTTCTGTTAAATTCAATTTTAACCAATTAACATTTCATCTGAAGCAAGAAACCAAAGAGTAGAGTGTCAGCCACAGAGATGTGTAGATTATTCTCACATATTGTATTTAACAAAATTTAGGTAAAATGTACTGTATTCGACACGATTCATTAATTTAATATTGATTCACTCATTAGTGATTCATTAATTACAATAATTTATGGTTCATGGCCTGAAGAACTACAATTTTAAAAATGAAAAAAGGATTGAACCAAAATAATCTATCTTATTATTTGTTTATTTATCATTAAAATATCCCCAAATAAACTTCTTTAAGTGTATACATGTGCAGTGGGCAAAGATAGATATTGTTCTATTTTCATTTTTAGCAGACTGTGATTACAGTATTAACCTGACAATGCAGGCTCATCGGGATGAATTGCTTTTCTTACTTTTTTGTCTCATACTACACAGTAGTTTCAATGACCACATAACTTCAATCTGAATGTTCTGCTAATCTTTTTGGAAATATTCACATTAGATGTGTTGTCTGTTTACACATTTTCTTGATTCTAGGAAAATGGTGGAAGTCTCTGCGAGCTACAAGTCCAGATTCACCCCAACCGCTGTGTCAGTTTAGAGTCTGTTCAAATTCCAGGATACTTAGTGACTTTTGACACAGAAGGGCACCCAGCTGATGGAGCCACAGGATACTCTGGCCTTTGCAAAGAGTTTGTGGTTCATGTGAAGGTAGGCCTGACCCCTGTACAAACCAAACCATATGGTTAGAGAGCTTTGGGACACGATTCCTTGTTCCTATGCTCCTGAAAAAGAACACATTTCTTCACTTCCAAACAGTATGACTACGCGCCTTGTACTGAATAACTATTGATTAGCATGTTCACCCTGATTTCCCAATTTGCATCCTCATGATAAACCTCAAGTAGTTCTGCAATTACACAGAATGTGATTTTGTGACCCAAATATTGCAGTGAAGGCCTAATATTGAGTATCATAATTGTACATTATTATTATTATTGCTAAAAAGTCCTTGCATTCCTTGTGTCAGGGTATGCTTCGTGATGGGGCCGTGATCATGCTCAACAGCAGTGTGAGTCAGGCTCTGTGCATCACCAGAGACGGTCGGTGTGTAGGCACCGGGAGGCAAGCTGAGGAGTCTTACTTTCGAGTGCACAAGGTCTGCCCTGGCGTCTGCATGTTCCAGAGCCTCCACTGTCCAGACATGTACCTGCAGGTCAAGGGTGGCCAATGTAATGGAAGAGTAAGTGCGACTATTCCATTGCAGATGGGCGGAGAAGCCGGCTGCTGACTCATTGTTCTGCACTTTTCATTGCACAGTTCTGTTTATTTGTTTCATGCAGGGCACGGGAGACTGCTACAGCCACTTCAAAGTAGAGAAGAATTATCAAACCGGCTCCTTGAGCCTGGAATCTGTGAAATGCAGCGGGATGTTCTTAGGCCTCCTCCCGGACGGGTCAGCCAAGCCACTGGTTCACACTGGAGTCTCCAATGTCATGTTCTATCCACAGGTTATACAATGTAAGGCACCAGTTGTTACAGTGTATTAATAAAGAGGGTCCAATATAATATTTTGAGGTTGGAGTGGGGAGCTATGCCAGTGTGTGTTGGCTGCAAAGGTTCAAGTCCATACTGAAAAGCAGATAGAAGAAACCCAGCGATTTGGCAGTTGAGTCTTCTTCAGCCTTCACCTGGAGCAGGTTCAACAGTCGAAGTTGCATTCATTGGAAAAGGTGCTCCTCCCTGTCTAAGTTGCATTATTCTTTGTTTCACAAACAGTAAAAAGCAAAGGCTGTGTATTGATTCTGACCCTCTCTGTCACAAATGCAGATGATGCAATGGCAGCCATAGTGTGCCAGTATACTCACCACACACTAGCTAGCAGTTAGCTAGCTATAGCTATACACCAGTTAATAGATGGGGATTATTAGGAGGCCATGATTGGTAAACACCAATGGGAAATTTGCCCAGGACACCGGGGTGACTGGTGATATGGTAGTCTTTTTGAGAAACACCCCGGAATTTTTAATGACCACAGAGAGTCAGGACCGTGGTTTTACATCTCATCAGAAAGTGTCCCCGTCACTATACTGGGGCATTAAGACCCACATAGACCACAGGGTGAGTGCCCTTTATTGGGCCCTCTAACAACTCTTCAAGCAGCAACCTTTTTTTTCCCTATTGGGTCTCCCATCCAGGTACTGACCAGGCTCACACCTGCTTTGATCCTGTGGGTTGCCAGTTGTGAGTTACAGGGTAAAATGGCTGCTCATTGCATATGTACGTGACAATCATATGTGTGTATGCTACTCCTCTCTTGACTGCTCCTTCTCAAGTTACTATCACTTAATGCCTTGTGTTTCTGGGTCTAAATGAGTCTCAAAACCCAGGCTAAAAAAAACATGTTTGGATGGATATAAAAATACATTTAGTGTAGATAACATTTTACGAGTGCAAAACCTGTAACAGCTTGAGCAGAAGCTGGCTCTTATCTTCACAACTTATTTAATAAGCCTTCATTTATTCCCTTTTTTCTTTCCTTTGAGCTCCAATGTTTTGTAGCATGCTGTTTGTTTTGCTTGGTTGCTTCCTTGAAATAGGTTGTGGAAATATGGACATCCAGCACAGACCAATGTGCACACAATATTTACCCTCTCTTTTATGTACTGATAGAAAATAAATTGACCAGCAGATGTGCCATTGTTCAGAAGGAATTCCTGTGCATTCGGCCTAAGTTGGGTTTCAAGTGTTGAATTTTAAACTAGTTTTCTGTTGTTATTTGAGATGGTAGAGAAAAACCCACTGGTACGTCTGCAACACCGATCAGGCATGTCACGCCAGTTCCACCTATACCCAGAAAATCTCCTGCCCCATTCAAAAGTAAGTCGTTTACCCATCGGTTTCAGGAATACAATGTTTCTGATTACCACGTCTTTCCACCAGATGGCAGTGTAAGCTGAGAAATGGGCATTGAATTCAAAGGAGAGGCCCTGCCTTTCTTCTCGGGAATTCCTACAAGCATTGTTACAGCTTCCATAATAAATCTCACGTAGATCGTGATTAAAAAAATAAAAAATATATTTTAATATCCTTAAATCCAGGGTCATGCATTATGAGTACTTGTTTTTGTAAAACATAAAATGCCATCTTAACAATTCAGTTAAGTTAAAAGCAGCACTTTTGTTGTTGAGAACAGCTCTGGTGCATATGCATTCTAATGGGATAGAACCCTTAAAAATGTATTCAGTGATTGCTACTGAATATACCTCATGGGAAAAATGAACATTTTCCAGTTAAATCAATTATGAAATTACACATCTGCAACTCAACAGCTCTGTTATTGGTAGTGTTTGTCCTCTGGAGCTAATTAATGGTTACATTAATCAGTTTTTGAAGATTTCTAACCAGAAGCTATATATGTCATATATGTTTAAAACTAGGGCAAAAAGTAAGACATTTGCAGATACTATAACAGATAAATATGTATATAGAAACATGAATTGATAATTGTCTGTAATTATACATCATAGATTTGAAATGCAATAACCAAACTGACTTTTTTATTTTACTAGTGCAAAGGATATGACACCTAGGATAATATAATGTAAAACATCTTCTTTTCCAAACATTTCAACATCCTTCTTCTCAGAAAACCCAGATTATTATTTTTTTCTGGGAAGACTCTGGAGAATGGGAGTCTTTAACCGTTACCAGATCTGCTCACATTCAGTCCTGAAGAATCCCTTCTTTTTGTGAACAGTTAGAAAATTCAAAAGGTTGTAATAAATAACAATAGACTAATTACAGTATATATAAACACAGATATAGTTTAAGAAAATGAAATGAAAGGGAAGTATGGGGAACAAACTTATTTTGTCTTGTAACTGAATGAAAAAAATTGACAATGACGGTGTTTTTCAAACAGAGGTGAAAACGAAGCGTTTGGAGCCCCTTGTGTCCTCCGATGATGAGTGGACAGTATCAGTCGTGACTGGATATCCAGGGACGCAGGCCCAGGTGTCTCTGTGGATATATGGAAGTGAGGGAAACGCAGGGCCCATATTACTGGAGAAATCCAACAGAGACACATTGTTCTCTCCCAAACAAGAAGACGAATTTCAGGTAAAAAAAAAAAAAGAACAGTGTCATTTTTTATATGTGATCCAATACAGGTTAGTTCTCTATACTGACAGGAAGAAAGAAAAAAATATACCTTTTGGCTGTTGAAACCTCTCCAGATATGACTAATTTCTGCAAATGTTAATTTGCTAACTAATGGATAGTTTTGCGTTATGGTAGTTTGTTATCATCTGTACAAAACACACAAAAGCCCACTAGATTCTGGAAAAAAATGGGAATCTGTGCTTCGTGGATGCAGCGAACAGTTATTAAATTGAGAAATTAAATTGTCTTTTTTCTGGTCCCCTCTGGCAGCAAAGAGCAATATCAGGCGAATGAGACGTGTATTTGATAAGGTTGACAATGCAGATAAAATACGTCTCTTTAAATTCTGGATTATTGTGTTAGTGGGTTATTTTTCAAATGCTATAAAGATACAATACATGTCTCAAATGACGACCTTTCAAATTAAATTCCCTCATAATAAAATAATATGCTCCTACTGTATATTATATTACATCTTAAAACCCCTAATAAAATATTAGAATAATTCCATCTGGGTCTTGGTTTTAAGCTTTATGGGATAAATTACCTCAGACATATATTTTACTGTACAATATAGATAAAAGAAAAAAAAACATTAAAATGTATTTTAAGAAATCATTTTATAAAGCAGTTTTATCTTTTTAACCATATACTTCTATGAAATATAAAATAATTGAGCACAGGTAAGAGCAAAGAAGAATATGTATCCTATAATCCCATCAATAATTGTTTGGCAGCTCGCCATGACTAACATTGGCGAAATTTACAAAATAAGAATTGGACACGATGGAACAAGCGATCATCCTGATTGGAACCTACAAAGTGTAAGTTCTGAACTGTGTTTATGTGTTTTTAAACTTTGTTCAAAAGACCGTTCTGAAGTCATTGTAAGCGAAATATTGATCCCTACGTGTGATTTCCACAACATCATTTTTTCTTTTGCCAAAAATAGCTTCAGGCTATCAAGAGGTGCTGCATTTGCTAAGATTACTTATCTTTATTTTGACGTTAACATTTCTGAAATTTTTTGAACATGTTTTGCTTTTTCTCTAAATTGTATCAACTTCAAGTCCGAAGTATAATTTATAGAACACTGTATGAGCCTTTGTGTGATTATCAGTCCGTCCAGTGCCAGTGCAGCGAACTTTTTACCAGAAGAGACATTATTCCCTTGAAACCTAGACACTGTATAACTATCCTGTGGCGGAAGACGCTGTTTTGATTTGGAGTAGTTTTCCGCTCCGTATGGTAAAGTTATTGCACATCCCTAAATCTGAGAAAATCTGATAGAAGGCTTTCGAGTAGGTAGAGGCGCCAGCCGGGGTGGGCTACGAAGGAACAGGTAAAGTTCATTCCCTGCTGAAAGGAAAAGAAAAGAAACACTATGTTTCAGCTGTGGAGGAACAACTGTTCCACTGCAGGACCAAGCGTGATAGAATCTGAAAAGCGGCAGAGAGGAGCTACATTAATGCTACTGTCTCGTAAGCTTTATTTAATTACTTCCATCGCTGTGCTACATATACCCACTTTCTCTTTACAAGTGGAAAAAAAAAACTTTGCTGTTGTCTTTTTATAACGTTGTCTGGTTTTGGGTAACACATTATATATATACTATTAAAGAACACCGCAAAAAAAAAAACGGGGTTTACATGACAAAAAGATTTTACTGCTAAACTGGGAATTTTAGATTTTTTTAACTGTGGATTCTTGTTTCCCAGGTATCGCTGAGAAAAAATAAAGATGGCCCAACACTACAATTCAGTGTAAATCGTTGGTTGTCAAGAAATCATGGAAATGGAGACATTTTGTGTGAAGTTGCAGCAATGAAAGAAGATGGACAACCTATTTTTCCAGGTATAGATTTTAAACCTTTCACATGTGCCCTTCTAGCTTTTTGTTTTGTGTAAAAAATGGCATTGCAAATGTATTTTGCGGTGAGAAAGTAAAGTAATAAAAATATGAATGTGTCCCGTTCATTGATCTAGTGAGATTTGTGCAGAGAACTTGACATAGTATTGCGAGAAAACACATATAATCGAAGGCAATCGCTCTATGTATTTCTAGGGAAAATTCTTAGGGTTTTTTCCATTTAACTGAGAATTGGTTTCTCTTGTGAGGATCACACATAAGTGCTTAAGTTACATTTGTTGTGTATATAGCATATAATCCATCCATTTTCTATCCAATTCTTCCAATTCAAAGCCTATGCCAGCAAACAACAGGCACAAGGCAGGGTACAGCCTGGACAGAACACCAGTCCACACAAACACACACACACACACACAAAATCACACAAGGGCCAGTTTTGGCATAAGCCAATTAACCTACCAGCAGGTTACCAGATCTTAGGCTATCAGAGGAAACCAGAGCACCAAATACAGGGAGACCATTCACACTCCATTCAGATAGCACCCCTGATCCAGACTTGAACCCAAGACAGCAATGCTAAGCACTGTGCTACTGTATGACATATAATCACCCGAAGGAACAAATAATAGGTTTATTCCATGCTGAAAAAAAGAAGAAAGAGAACACAATGTTTCGGCCGTGGAGCCTTCTTCAGGTGTCACAGGCTCTCACAAGGCTCCACGGCCGAAGTGTTGTGTTCTCTTTCTTCTTTTTTTCAGCATGGAATAAACCTATTATTTGTTCCTTTGCAGCCTACGCATGCTGACGCAGCTACCCACCTGAACATATAATCATCCATATTATTCTATAATATTTTAGTGCAAGAATGTAAGCATATATTTTATTTCTTATTTATGTACAATTTTTCTTTTATAACATTTGTGCATTGTATATGTATTACGGGTTTCAAAATTGTCCCACAGTTGGTGATTTATTGAGGGAGGATTGTATTTATGAATTTATATATCACTAGGAATCTATTGTATGCTATGCTACATTTTTGTATATATTGTATTTGCACTACCGCAAGGCAAACCGCCAGTGTGTGAGTTTGATGGATTCAGGTAATACATCATTTTCATAGAATTTATTAATACGGTCTTCAGAAAAATCATTAAACAATGAAAATACAGACATTCTGTCTACAAAACGAAGCATAGCGTACTCTGTACACTAGATGTCGCAAGTCTACAGAAATATACAGGTAGTTAATCTTTCTTCTATCCACAAGAGGAATCAGAAGAGACATGACTTAAATATTAAATGTACCTATATATTTTAGATTAGTAATAGATCATCAGATTCAACAAACGGGATGTGAATACTTATTTCTGCAATCCGGAAGAGGTCTATAATTGTCTGAGCGTTTTTCTGAGCTCACTTAAATGAACCTAACTTTTTAAACACTTTTAATGTGAAGTCCCATATTGTTGTGTGACAAATTAGTTATACACTTTTTTAAAGTGAATATTGAAACATTAAAAGTTGAAAGCTCAAACTAAATTGTAAGGTTCCAACAGTCTGGTAGTGCATGTCAAGCAAATATTCAACCAATACTGCCTTCCCCTCAGCTGTCAAGCAGGGTGTTGGTAACACTATTTTTGGGGGCTTAAAAAGAAGTCATGTTTTAGAGTGACCCAGTTAAAGTCCTGACCTGAATATGATAAAAAAATCTGTGGTAAAACCTGAAAAAATTAATCAGTGATCCTCAACCTTGATAGAACTTGAGGAGGTTTAAAAAGAAGAAGAATCAGCAAAAAACTGCACCATCTCATAGTGCAGTGTTTGTCGACTTATTAAGTTGTAATTGCTGCCAATGGTGCTGAAAACAAGTATGGAATCAAGGGGGGGTGGATACGTGTGCAATCGAAAAATGTTAGTTACGGTTTTCCCCAAAAAATTAACTTCCTTTACATACAGTATTGTCCCTTTGTGAACTGTCACAAGAGATGTTAGGCTCAGCAAGCCCACAAAATGAAAAAGATGACCGTTTAGTTATGATGCAGCCAGAAGGAGCAACAAAAAGACTAATAATCAGCAAAAATGGCTTTTAAAATAATTGTTTTGTGTAAATATTGCATTTTTGGGGGTCAATGGTTAAATTTAAATAGATGGCAAGATCAGCTTCTCTCCAGACCACAAGAGGGCGCTGTAGAACCACACAGGCGGTATTCCTGTTCACGTTTCCCAGGCTTTATATTCAGCCCCCATGCTGGGTGTAGTTTCGCTTCTGATGCAGGTGAGTGAGACGTGCTGCGAAGGCAAAACAAGAAATGCAGAAAAAGAAACGTATTTGTAAAGTTTATTTTTCTTTTCCGGCCTGCTTGTGAACAATATGCATCATTTAACAGGAGAGTACATCGTTTCTTGGGTGTGGTTTTTCCTTTTGTGTGGGATGTGCATGTTCTCCGCATGTCCATATGAGATTTTGCCATGTGCTCTGGTTCCTTCCCCCCTTATTGTACTATACACAGTGCACCCTGTACCCTGTCAGAGCTGACTATGTCTACATTGTCTATAGCGTTGTCTTGTCAGTGCCTTGTCTGTATTCGCACCGTAGACCTGGAGACTGATATCCCACTCCTCTGTATACTTGCATATGGCTGGAATGACTTAATAAACTTGAGCTTGCACCCAGTTGTGAAACTAGTCAGCCCATGCAATTGCTGTATCTAAAACTTAAGAACAGAATAGAGTTATAGGTTTGAATAGATGGGTGTATGCTAGGGAAATGATGCCATTAGATGTATGTTATAATATATCTGTATAAATATATGTAACAGGTTATGTGTTTTTTATTCTTCCAACAGTTGTAAAATATCAAGTGACTATCTACACTGGGCATTTGAATCATGCTGAAACTCAGTCTCCTGTTCTCATCTGCCTTTATGGTGAGAGAGGTGATTCGGGGTTGCGTCTTCTCCATAAAGCTCAGCTGGCCAACACGTTTCGGAGAGGACAGGTAACATTTCAATTAAATACAATGCCTCCGTTTGGCTTTCCAGAAGACTTCTTTTATTCCTTTTATTTAATCTTTCTCTGGCAATCTCTAGTGTCATTTACTCTTTGTCTTGATTATTGATTCCTTTCTGCTCTCCCAATCAAATAGCCAGGGTGTCTTACTCCTGGTGGCACGGTGTTGCAGTGGTTAGTCTTGCTGCCTTGCTGTGCTGGGGTCCTGGGTTCAGTTCCAGACCTGGGGTGCTTTCGGTGTGGTGATTGGTACAGAATGTTCTCTCCTAATGTGAGTTTTTTCTGGGTGCCCTTGTTTTCTCCGACAGTACGAAGACATACTGATAGGTTAATTGGCTTCTGGGAAGCGTGGGCCTGGTGTGAGTGTGTGTGTTTGTTTCAGTGTGTGCCCTGCCTTGTGCCTGTTGCTTGCTGGGATATGCTCTGGCTTCTGTTTCCTTTGTCATTGAAAACACTTGAACTTTAACCCCATGAACATTTTTGAAGAAAGGAGGTTATTTGAAGTCTCCGTGAAGTTTCTGTATGAAATGTAATGTGGTACCTAGTAAATACTAGAAAATGCAACACCCGCAATAGCTTCTACTTTCCTAAATAGATTTGTAGCTTATTTAATTAAAATGTCAATGGACAAAATACAGAATCTTTTCACCCAATGACAGATGAGGTCTGCAGTTTAGCATTCTTGCTTTTCCTCCTCTAGGTTGATGCGTTTGAATTGGAAGCAGTGTCCCTTGGCAAGCTTCAAAAGGTACTATTGTGCTGTGAAGCGAAAAATAAATCAGACTACTGGTACTGTGAAAAAGTCATCATCGGGGAACCGGGAGGAGGTTCTGAATACATCTTCAATTGTGAAAGGTAACATTTGCAGGGGTTACTGCTTGTGAATAATAGCATGTTCAGCATGGTAGTACAAAACCACAAGGTATGAAAGACATTAATAATGTTGTGGTGTATTTGATGCTTTCGCTAATGTACAATATGTCTTTTTGAGGAGGTTTGGCATGAACATTTTCCGATATTAGAACATTCTGGAAAGTTCTGCCTCTGTCATGCAAAGTAATGACTATTGTTTTGTGTTGTAGAGGAACTTTCAGTGAATTGTTATTATACAATTTATGTAACATCTTATGTAATGCAGTATGTAATCTAAGTCCCATACTTTAGATTTCAATTGGGAAGGAGTTGTAATCCATATGGCTGGGAAAAAACTGGGTTCCAGGCTCATCTGGAGGATGGCTCAGGCTCATAAGCCTCTTAGGGGAAGCTAAAACCAAAATCAGCATTCTCCTGGGGGCAAGCAGAAGAATCGCAAGTGGTTAGAGGGGTTTATATGACATACATTTTATTAGTTATTTTGTGCTGCCAGTTTTTGTTTAATGGTTTATCAAAGTTAATTTGATTTTCTCAAAGAGTTTCTTTACTTTCATTTCCTGATTCTATTCCTGATCATGTATGAATAAAAGCCAGCATAATAGTAGTCATGTTGCAGTATTTCTAATTAAATCTGTTTGACCGGATCCATTTAAGAACAATCCCTCATTTACAATGAGTTACAACAGCAGGGCTTAGGAAAACCATAACTATGGAAATTGTTGAAATTTGTATTCAACATTTATTTTTAATTTATTCACTATTAAACTAATTCCACGTGGGCTGTGACATGGCTATAGGTGAGTTTTTGGTAATTATTGTAATTTTTATTTGAAGGGTAATTAAAAAAAATTGTTTTCTTTTTCCATTTTTACAAATCCACTGTGCATTTAGATTTTGCTTTTAACTTGACCTGAGTTTATCAGCTAATTTCTTTCTTCTTGATATTTGAAAATATTTCATTCAAATAGTGTTTCAACATTTCTGTCTAAAGATGCACTCTGTCTGTTTAAAACCCATTAATGCAGAGAAGGTTTTGTGCATTAACATAACGTTTTGTCTCTCTTATAATGAAAGGTGGATTCCTTTTTCATCCGAAGGTGTTGTCAAGACTGGGATAGAGCTGCAGGTTCAAGGTTACAATGACTTCAGATTTCATTTCTTGACCTCCTTGCTTGACTTTGAACACATGACCAAATAATTATTTATTCTATTTAATACATACATTAATCCATGCGTGCGTGCCTTTGTTTTGAATTGAAGGTAAACTGGTGGTTTTGTCTGTGTACGCAGAAAAACTAAAGAAGAAAATTTAACATACAATAAATTAGGAAATTAATTAGGGTTCGGATTAATGAAGCTCTTACATGTAATGTAGAATGATTGTATGTTAGAATATCATCGTAGTGAGGATTGTGTGAGATAAAGGAAGAGTCATGTAAAATGGAATTATTAGAGGTCCAGAAAAACAGCTATGCTACGTTATCCTAGAAGTTGGTGGCAACATAATATATGAAAGACATTAATGCCGGTAGCTGTTCTATGTCCTGTTTTGAGACGCATGGTTTTAAGAATTGTATAAATTGCTGATGGGATCAGCTGTTTTCACAGGATAATCCAGTGTGGTCCTTAGAGGAATCCAAATGATGAAATAGCTAAGAGTGGTGATAGGATGTCCTTTTTGTTAACCAGTTATTTCAGTAATTCTAAGTAAGGAAGAAAGGAACTCCAGTGTATTTTGCTTTTAGCTTGAAGAAGAGCCCCTTGCTCTTGCAAAACCTTTGAGCATTAGAATTCATCATTCCCCAAACTAATAGAAAATGCCAGTCCACCTGCTAATATTTATCCTAATAATGACAACGCATTTATCCATTGCCAGGGAGCTGCTAATTTGTGGTAAGCTCGGTGGCAGCCAGGATTCAATCCTAGATGCTCCCCACAGAGGGCAGATTGAAAATTCCACACAGAAAGCACTGCAGTCCAGAACTGGGTCCCCTCAAAATGCAAAGCACAGCACTAATTGCCAGAGCACTGTGTCACTGCCGATTTTATTTGCTTATTTTAAAGAGGAAAAACAATCTCTTAATAGTTTTATCTTGAGACGTGATGAAGAGAATATGCTTATATACAGACATACAGTATTTTCCGGATCTACCATTTCTCCTTTATGCAGGAAAAAAACAGTTTTACAGCTATCTTGTACAGAAATGTTAGCCATTCTGATTTAAACTAACAGTTTAGTTAAGATGTCTCTGTTATAGTACAAACATTTTTTTACATTTGACTAAAATGTGTAGGTTTACATCTGTGAGATATGTGGTTCAAATATAGCTGCAGGTGGATGAAAACTTCTTTCTTTTTTTCTTTGTGTTGTCCAAAAAACTAAGTAAGGAGTCCTTCTTCAATCACAGTACACATAAAAATGTTCGTATTTTATTGAAACAATGTTCACGTCATTTCAATTTTCAGCCCAGAGAAAATGACTTGTACAGTACCTGTATTTCTTGCAATACAGTAACTCTAAAATAAAACTGTATTATCTTTACAGAGATTCGCATGAGTGTTCAACACAATGAGAAGGAAATGCCACATGGTAATTATACTGAGCAGTCTGAGTATGTGCAAATTAATTTTGAAAAAATGAGTAAGGATAGACACTGTTAATTAAGCAATGTGGTTTTATTTTTATCTTAGCCTTTCATTCCTGAGTTGCCACACGAATAACATCGAAACCATCTTAGAGGTTAATTTAAAGAAACTGATATAAAATGTAAAATATACAGTCCTTTGTAAAAGTATTCATCACCTTCCAATGATGTCCCAATGATGCTGAATTATGCAAATAATGTGTAAATATAATCTGAAAAGGTTTTTAATCAAAACTTGAATACTCATTCTCTACACATTTATGGGGGAAGAAATTACATATTAGCAAGAACTGTAAAGAAAAATCAAAATGTAAAATATGCCGATTGCATGAGTCGATATTTGTTTGAAGCACCTTTGGCAGGAATTATAGCTGCTAGTATTTGTGGGTGAGTCTCTACCAACTTTGCACACTGGGATGGGGTTGGCCATTCATCATTGCTGAAACTGTATACGTTCTGTCAAGCTACTGTACTTATGGATCATCAATATACAGCTATTTTCAAGTCAAATTTCCAAACTTTAAAACTGCACCACTCCAGAATGTTCAGTTTCTTATTCTGCCACCACAGTGTAGCTTTGGTCTTGCATTTGGGGTTATTGTCCTGTTAAAAAGTGAATTTTAGTCTGTTTTTGGTCTTTAGTAGACTGAATCAGGTGAACCTTGACGTAATGTGTGATGTAGTGTGTTTGGTTTGTGCCAAATATGCTACTTTCCAGTTAGACCAAAGAGTTCCAGTTTGCTCAGCTCTTTTCTGCCCCAAAAAACCCTTTTGCCAGTTTTTTGCAATATCACCAATGTGCTTTGTTGTAAACTTGGAGAAGGATTTGAGATGGGTTTGCTACTTTCCCATACAGGGCAGCTTTGTGGAGTGACTGGGATATTGTTGACTCATGTACTGTACCTTTACTCTCGGCCATTGAACGTAATGGCTCTTTCAAAGTCACTGTTGGCCTCACAGTGATATTCCTGAACACTTTTCTTTTTTGCTTGGTTTGAGTGGTATGATAGACCTTCTGGTTCTTAATGATCGACTTGCTCAAAGGGATTTTAAATGTCTTTGAATTTTTTTTATACAATTGTCCTCATTCTTGCCTTTACACGGCTTTATTCAGGAGTTGATTTTTGGAAGGGTAATGCTCTTCCTGGTTGACTATTTGCTTGAAGTTTCACTACTTGAGTGAACAATCTTAAAGAGACAGGGGTCTGTATTAGGAGAGCATGTGAACCACTGCTGTTTCACACAGAAATAGAACTAATTGTATGACTTCTCAAAGTAATTGTGTGCATCTGAACCAATTCAGATTGTAAGGAAGGGTCTTAATGTTAATACAATCAGCAATTTTTTATTTTTCTTTGCAGTTTTTGTTAATTTGGTTTCTCCAAAGAAGTATTCAATTGCATTCGAAATTACTTTTTAATTAAAAATACTTACTTGTCAAAAATGTGTATATATTATTTTTAATTTAATAAAATGGGTCCTCATTGGAAGAGGATACTATAACTTCTAGGCATTCCTATAACAGTACATTTCCAACATGTTGTCTCAGGTGTGCGTTTGTCATTTGCTTGCCTTTTTAAAATGATATGTAGTAAGTTATTGTTTGATTAATTTATGCGTGTAGTTTAAAAAAAATGAAAAAGGTCACTAATGAAAGTAAATGTGTCCTTACGCAGATGGAGGCTGGAAAGTAACAGTTGTGACTGGAGACTTTGATTCTGCCAGCACTGAAGCCACTGTTTACCTCCATGCTTATGGGGAAAAGGGAGAATCAGGTCCTATCATTCTGGGCTCCGGAAAGCATCAGCTTTTTAATCAAAACAGCGCTGACACATTTCAGGTATAATTTGTACATCCTACTTAGCTAAATCCCTTTTGCGATTTATCAACAAACAGAATAGAAGAGCCAAAGACTTAGAGTGGTGAGCTGTGGCAGCACAGAGTTTAGCTTAATCCCATGTTGTAAAGTAAAAGAAACGTTTCAGCATTTTATCATTCCTTCTCTTGTACAACTTTTAACTCATTCCGTGACTGAGGTTTGATGTTACACTTGCTAATGGCAGGAATGAAGCAGAATGTTGTTGTTTTTTTAAATTGCGCTAAAAGCATATCAACTCGGTTTTTTTTACAGATCTGGAAGTTTATTGCAATTCATTTTTTTTCTGCTCATCAACGTAGATGTAAATAATTCTGCTTGCTGCAATTAAGTAGCTTTGCAGTCTTGCATTTTTCTCCACATTTTTTGTGGATCACATTGTATTGCAAAGTGCTTGGAGATGTTTTCTTCCAAAGGTGTTGTATAATATACAGTATAACTTAATTTTGTTATGGAAAATACACTGCTTGTCAGGAAAACAATTTCTACAGAGCTCGGAATAACAAGTATGCATCCAAAAGTAGTATAGACACTTTGTAAAACCTTTTCACATTGCAGATATGAGTGCTGACTATTTCTGAATGCTTTTAAATATAATGGCAGCTTATGCTGATGCCTTTTGATTTGTGCTGCCAAATGTGCTGCTTGTTTACTTTGTATCTGTGGCGCTAGTGAGTCATTTTATCAGGAACAGAATCACCTTGTCATGTTGTTTTGTTTGAACATGATTCTTCGCACTAAAACACGATTATTGAAAGTGAAGCTGTAGGAGAAGACGTAGCACAATAAAATCAAACCGAATTTACTTCTCCTAAGAATGGATCAAAATCTGTTTTGTGCATTTATATGTCTTTGTAACATGGGGAAATTTTCTGCTTGCAATACACTACAGGAATATGAAGGGACTGAAGCTTTCCTTGTAAAAAAACATTTTACAACTCTACCCTGACGCCTGTCCATTCTGCATTCATAACGCACAACTTCCAAAAACATTGTTAAACTGACAGTAACCCCTAGAGATGGTGTATTGTATATTTCCCCTAAGCCTGTGGAAATTAATTAAAGGGGAAATTTACCAAATTAAAGATTATTCAGGCTCCATAGCTATTGCTACTATAACTGACAAAAATGCAGCAGATGTTTTGATTACCCATAGAATTCGGAACATTTTTGAATCTGTGATTATAAATCACAGATTCAAAACACTATACCCACAAAACATAAAATTGACCATCAAAATGAGTAAACATATGGGACAATACAAATCGTCATCACCTGTCATATTTTAGTATCCTCATTTTTTTTGTAGGCATCGTGAAACAGAACATACCACACATCATTTTAAATGTTTTATACTAAACTGATTGTATATTGATGCAGAGTGCAACATTTTGCCAGGATAATGAATTTCATGTGTATGTGCTGATTTTGTAAAAACATTGTGCTTGGTGTGTGTGTGTGTGTAGGTAGATTTCGGATGCATCGGGGGGTTGTACAAACTGAGGATAGGCCACGACAACAGCGGGGAAGATCCTAAATGGTACTTGGAAGAAGTGATTTTGCATGAACTGGCCACAGGGAAAGAGTTTGCACTTCGTGTGGACCAGTGGCTGGCTGGGGAAAATGAAGATGGACGTGTTTGGAAGGAGGTGCCTGTTCCCCTTATCGGAGGGGACTCTCTTTCAGGTGAACAGCCCTGATGCCCTAGGGAGTCTGGAAACAGGAGACAGAATGAGGGAGTGCTATTGGAAAATGTCAACTCTGGAAATCGAATAGAATATTTTTGCTAGTGATATTGGTCCTCTTTATTCTTCATCCTTAGGTCAAATGTGCTCATGGTCTAAATGCTTTCTGTTGAGTTGTTGCTTTATTTCCAGTGTTTAAGTACACAAGATAATTCTTAACTCTTGTCCCTGCTCAAAAGTAGTCGCATATCTTGTTGAGCTGGCTTGACTCAAAATGGGCGCAGTAAACTACGGAAAACTTTGCAGTACTGCTCTCTGATTTAGTCAAAGATTTGTACTTTTAAATACATTTTATCTCGTCTGTCCCGGTACAAAAATGACGGTAAAAGGAACATAACAGGCTCATTCTCGCTTAACAGGACTGACTCAAAGATGTAAAACTAAACTAAATCAGATAAACTTGGCAATATCTCAAAGCTTTATACTATTAAATACTTTTGTATTTCCGTGTACCAAATACAGGGTAAGAAAATGAATATTCATCAGACGAAAAAGTTATGTCAACACTTCGTACCTAGAATCTAAAGCCAACTAATAAAATGTTGCTCTTACATAAAATGTGAGTTTTAAAACTAAAAAACAAAAGTTAAATTTTACTAACAGGCGAATATTTTTTTTTCTCCATGACAACTTCTCTCCACTTTGATGGGTTAGAAAGTGAATCGTCGCCATTCCGCAAGGAACCGGGGGGGCGATTTCCTTTAGTGAAGTCCCCTCCGATGCGGACTCAGAGGCGGGCGCGTAAAGGGCACTCTTGTGAAACAAATTTAGAAATGGGACACCCTAGGCCCTTGCAATGTGACGTGAAGGGCATAAGTGTGCATATTGGGACGCGGCCTAATCTTTAATAAAAGTCACAGTTCTTAGTACGAATTACTAAGGTTGTTTTATAATGTACTCATGTAATGTTCTTTTACTACACAAGCAGACATGACTTTATTTACTACATTTCTAAATGCAGCATGTGTGTGTTTAAATGCATTGCCATATTTATGACACATCAAAGAGATGTTTATGATGGTTATAGGAATGCCAGTCGGCTTAGAAAAAGGACAATCAGAATTCATCAGTATAACATTTTCTTGTAGAGATTTGTTTGCTGTCACAACCTACTGTACCTGTTATACTAAATTTCCTGTTGACTTATATTTGTCCTCCTTCCTGAGTATTTTTAAGTGCCTAATAGGCTGACATTATCTTAAAGGAGATACTCAAAGCTTTCCTGAACAATTTAAAAAATAGATTTATTTACCTTAGCTCTGGAATCAAAACCATTATTTTCCATAATGGTAAAAGCCTAAAATGATGGGAAAGTCAATTGTTATTTTATTTCAGGCGGGAGCCTTGTTGATACTCAGGGCTTGGAGCTTAGGGAGGGCCTTGGTCTATAAACTTTTACGATGAAGAAAGCCATGATTTAAATAACATGACAATATAATATATTATTAGGCATCTGATGCTCCATTTTATGTGTTTATGGTCAATCAGTTTAATAGCCCTCTTGGTAACCTGCAGCACAGAAAAAAGTTTTACACCAAACCATTATCTCCTTAGTGAAAGCACCTGGCATCAATTAAACTTTCTGCAGTAATTGTAAAAGAAAATAACATGTATTTGATTGCTCTTTATGTATTCCAGTCAGAGGCAAACAGTGTTATAGGAATATGGCATAAAGTATTATGCTCAAATTCTAGATTGTATGGGGGGGAAAAGCCATTTTAAACATCTTTAATATAAGAACAGTTGACACATATCTTGCATATGAAACATATGTGTTCCCATAAGCTACGAAAACCAGTATTTTTTATCGCTGGGTAGAATTAAAAAAAAACTTTTTTTGCCTAGATGTCTATTTAATGTTGACTCGACAATTATTTTTTGCTGGAATGAGCATACTGTAAGTTAGTGCAAATGTGGTTGGTAGACTACAATGTCTGTGAGTAAGTGTCCTATTCTGTGGTCTGCAGTGGTTGTCTATCAGGTTCAGGTTCATACTGGGTCCAAGCCTGGAGCTGAGACGGATGCTTCTGTGTATATTAACATCTTCGGGACCAGAGGCGACACTGGAAAAAGAAAACTGCATCAATCACTGAATCATAAACTGAAATTTCAACAAGGTCAAGTAAGGCACAGTCCGAATACTCTTATGCCAAGACAAAACTCTGATTAATCACAAGTTCTGAATGTTCTTCTTTTTAATCTGTTTCATGAATGGTTCAGAGCTATGTTTTTTACTGTTGTTGCTATGATACAGTTTTCTCACTTAACATATTTTTGTATAATTTTTTGTCTATGCAGTAAAGAATTTCAAAGCACATTTTCTGGGACCACTCATACAATGTGCTATATTTTGTTTTTCACACTTATTACTATAACTCATACTGTATAACTCAAATTAATTTTATGAGCAAACATCTTGACTAAATATAGATGTAAAACTGTTCAGTATAAAAAATAATGCTGTATTTTATTTGTTACTGTTATATATTTATCTGCTACTTTCATTAATATACATTTATATTTTAAATTGTTCAATACAGCTTTACGTGTGGGACTGACAGAGCAAGCTAATTACTTTAGCATTTATAAAGCCTTTTATTGGAAGGAATATTGTCATGCGGGTGTGTGTTTGTCCTGTCTTCTGATAAGGTTGACATTTTCAACATTGAAGCTGTTTCACTGGAGAAGCTGAGAAAGGTTGTGATAGGGCACAATGGCACAGGTCCAGGTAATATTCTTAATTAATATTCCAGTATACTTATTGAGTTAATTAAGCTGTTCCATTAAAAGCTTTTCTTGTATAATATCTTCTGACATAAGCTTTTGTATAAGCATGGCTATCTCCAAGACACAGCTTTGAGCTTGTGCTACTAGTTTTATATATCATTTTAGTGATTAGTAAATTGTTTTGGTTATATCACTATTAGTTGTAAGGAAATTGAGCCATAACACAAAATAATGTGAGATTATCAATATGATTATACTTTGGACCACTGTTGTTCATGTTTGTTATAACTAATTCAATTTTCTGTGTGAATGTAACATTTTTTCCCGTTAGTCTGCAAGTATACTGTACCAGCACATCATGGTATGTGGTACGAATGTCATGGATTTCTCTTTGAACTTTGTGTTTGATTTGCCTTTTATTACTTCTCTACCGCATAATAATCCCTGGTGTCAGGAAACGTATTTTCATTATTTTAAATGATGGCAAGGTTAATCTTGAACAGTTGAGATTGTGTACATTTGATTCAGGTATTGAAAATTCTGAAGAACTAAATAAATCAACATCTTCTGGATCAGTAGCATTAATAATAATGCATTTACAGTATGTAACGCATTCCACATAATCCTAAATCAGGTTTAACTATAAAAAAGAATCCACCATGAAATTCAGGAACTTGCAAAACTGCCCCTGTTCCATGAGATCTTTAATGGCCAAGAAGTCAAGAACTCACTTTATTATCTCACTCGAAGGATGGCCCCCTTCAGTGCTGTGTGCCCTGTCCCATACTGAGGCACTGGACTGGAGCTTCCGGTACCAGTCGAGAGGGAAAAGTACCACATACACACCCACCATTACCACTTAATAATAATTGCAACATGACTTTCCTTAGAGTCTCTCGTCTTGGTAATAACATAGTCCGTCCATGCCCCACTTCTGATAACTGACAAGGTTCATATAGAAGGTGATAATGCTGCTGCCACAATACAATAATTTGGGAAAACTCCTTTGGAATTTATATCAAGGAACATTCAGAGCAATAAAAGAAACACCTCTATATACAATGCCCTCCAGACATATTGGCACCCTTGGTAAAAATGAGCCAAAAAGACTGTGGAAAAAAATGTCTTTGTTGTTTATCAGCTTGATATTACACTGAAACTATGAGAGAAATCTAACCTTTCAGTGAGGTAAAATTATTCAAAGAAAACAAAATCCTTGTTTTTGACAAATGTGTTTATTTTTTATAAGGATTTTTTTTCTTTTTTCATATTTTCAGTGTAAAATCAAGCTGATAACCAACAAATAAATCTTTTCATAGCCTTTTTTGCTTATCTTTACCAAGGGTGCGAATAATTCTGGAGGGCACTGTTGTAAGTTCATGATGTGATGGTTGTATCTCCTTAAAGGGAAACTGCAATACTGTTTTTCTATTCAGGATTATAAAGAATCAGCATTGATGAGTGCATTTCAAACCGCAGTAAAAGCAAAATGCACAAATACATTAACTTGTAACAGCTCCCATTTACATCACAAAATGAACAAAATGTCCAGCTACATGCAGCACCATATTCTGCGATTCAGATGGAGGCAAAAACATTTCCTGTGATGTGAAGCCTTCCCTATTAGATTGTAAACAAGCAGGCTTGTGAATTCATCTCTTTTAACCCAATGGAAATATTGATCTCGTCTTCAAGATGGTTTTGACGATAATTGGAACTTATCTGTTATTTCTGTATGCGCGTCATGTTGGAATGTTTCTGTGGTGAGATATCTATTGCACACCCTGTACTTATTCACTTGAACTTTGCACTACAGTAGTCTTTGCACTACTAGCTAACAGGAAGGGCTGCATCATGTCATAATTTGTGTGAACTCTTGCTCTCACCCTTGGCAAGAACAAGGGTTACTACATTTGTAAAAGTTTTCTATACCGCCAATGAATTTATTTTATTACAGATATTTAGTAACTGGATTGAGAAACTGGGAAGACAATTCCCCTTTAAAATATGGTTTGATGGAATGGAATTCTTGGCAACCGGAAAACAAACAAACAGGATAGACTAAATGAGATCTCATTTGGATGATGTTGTAAGATAGAAAATTGATACAGCTGTACTATTTACAATGAGTGGAATTTATTAAGAATGCCTTAAACATAGCTTTAAGAACCGTGCATTTAACCTTTTCAATAAATTGCCTGATTGAGATTATAATAATTGCTTTTATTATTAAAAAGAAATCAATTTGATTTTGATACATTCATTCAGCATCTCTCAATCCTGGTCTTGAAGGGCTGGTGTATCCACAGGTTTTCACTCCAGCTCTTAACCTGAATCGGTTCATTTTTGAGTTCCTTGGATAAGTTTAGCAGCTTCTTCCAGCTATTCAGGTGATGGAGTTTTAAATAAATCTATAAAACATGCTGACGAACCAGCCCTCCAGGAGGAGTTTGTTAAAGTAAACTCACTTTTGCTGATATAAGCACACATGAATAAATAAATGGTCTCTTTCTCCATATAACTTGTGTGTTCCGGCCATGCAGCTTGTCACTGCTTTCAAGTCAAGCATAAAATTGAACCTGTCATTCTTGCTGTGCAGTGTTACCGAGCTGTGTTTCTTGACATGAACCGCACAGAATCGGATGAGAAGTGTATTTATTTATTGAACTGAGTGAGAATACAACTCAAAACAGCTGTAAGCTATTCGAATGTAACAGAAAGTAATGCAATGAGAATTCCATGAATGCATGTCTGAACACTAGTAGAACTGTAGCAGGATTTTTAGAATACTTCAGAATCTGTAAAAAGCTCTGTATTCAACAGCTGAACTGCCAATGGTCTGACGCATATCTCATTTCATCCTCAACTCCCAAGGACTCACAGCCATTGTATTCCTTGCAAATGCTTACAAGTTTGTTCAAGAAACATGTCTCTGTCCAGGATTATATAAAGATTCTGTGCCTTCAGCTTATCAGTGTAGGACATTCCTTTAAACCCTGAAATGTCTCATTGCTCCTTTATGGGCTGATCCCTGAGCAGCAGTATCTTTTTGTAACATGGTGAGCAAAACTGTACAAATTATTTTAAATGAGGTATTACATGTACATTGAGCATTTTTAACCTAACTTCCCTTGATACAAATTGTGTGATTTTAACTATCTGTCCAGTAATATGTTGGTTGCTTTTTATTGCTTACCCATATTGTATAGAATATGTATATGATGTGTGATCATAAACATCTTTTTTCTTTTTCCATAAGTAGTCTCCGCATTTCCCGTTTTGTATTTAGAATTTGTTTTTACTGCCTGCACCCTGGAGTTTGTCACTCCTCCTGTTTTGGCATCATTTTTTTCACCTGGCAAGCTTACCAAACATACCAGAATTTTTATCATTGATATACTGTATGTTAGGAAAAGTAGTGGTCCTAGTACAGATCCTTGTGGCACTCCTCGAATGATAGCACCCCCAGCTTTAGTATTCGCTCTATTTGATCCTTTTCTGGACTGTTTCCCATTAACCATTGTTCAGTCCAAACATGCATTTCCCAAAATAACTACCATCTTTAATCTGAGAGTCAATCTTTCATGAAGAAATTATCAGAAGTGTGTAAAATGACCTACTGTACCTTTTCAAAATCCGTGCTGACTATCCCCTACAATGCTACTGACAAATGTGTTACTCTAGGTTCTAATTTCTGATTGTTGTTTCCATAAATTTACATGAAACATGTAAATGTCTATACTTAGATCTGTCTTGACACCATGTTTGTGGATGGAGACTACATTAGTAATTCCCCAGTCCACAAACATTACCACTGTCTTTAACCAAAAAAAGAAAAGGTTGCAGAAGTAAATGTGAATAAGATATTTTGTTTCCTTAACTACAATTGACAAGACACAGGTTTCCATCTCTAAGCCTGATGTGACTTTATAAGCACACCTGCTACAGCAGGGTCTTTTTGTTTTCAAGTCACACTTCTAACATAAGGAAATAAAAACTCTTCAATCAGGAGAGACACCTACGAGCCTACGGCACTACAATTCAAAGTACTCTTTTATAAAAATGTATGTAATTACAGCATTGTTTTCTGAATCACATCCAAATGTTAGTGGAAGGATTTTTTTTTACAGAGGAATATTTTTAATACAATTTGAGATTCTGCACGTTTCAAACAATCAGTAGAATAAAATGGTCTCAGAAGATAAATTATACAGTAAATACATTATATATCCTGTGTGTGATAATGCTATGAAAAATACAATTTCACAACACATTTTTCAATGTTTTTATAAATACTCTAAAATTTAAAACATCAACATTGCAAGACAATTTGCAAACTGTTTAGGTGCTTAAATGGTAAATCCACTGAGATGCACGAATGAGATGTTTGATTTATTGAATGTATCAGTTTTCCAGCAGTAATTTATGTTCCAAATGAAAGTGCAAAACTATAGAAAATCATTGAACACTGACATTAGTTGAAAACAGAATACATTGCAATTAGTACTTTTGCCTACCAGAAAATCCTAAAGCATCATTTTTTATGTTTTCTTCTAAGGAGATGGATGGTTTTTAGAAAAAGTAATCATCAAAGCTGAAGAAGAGGACAAGCACGAAAGTGTATTTCTTTGCAACAGGTATTCTTTAGCACTGGGCTCTCAACAGAAACAGTCTTTTCTGTCTATATTTTGCATACAGAAAGATTTAAATACATTGACTTCAGGAGCACAGGAGCACAACCATTTTATATATTTAAATTGTTTAAAAATTGGTTTATATATGGATTGGTTCATTGATTCATGTCAATATTTTTCTTTTTGTCCATCTGTATGTCAGGAGCCCGATGCTGACTATGATTACTAATTACATTCTATGAATAGTGTAGAATACATTAACTCAATTACTGTCTGTTTCTCTATTTTCTTTATTTGCATCTGAGGTAAAAGGCAAGCTTGATCTTTTATAGTTGTGTGTGGATTTTGTTTTGTAAAACAGACTGTGATGTTGAGACTTTTACAGTATATCTGCAGTATCGAAATTTTATGACAAAATTATTGATGACAGTAACAGAAACGTCTTTTATAAAAGCTGAAAATCTAAGGGATTTCTAAACTCCTTCCCAATGTTTAAAACTGTTTAAGATGTTCTCATGGTTTACATTTCAGTTGGCTGGATGTGTACCAGGATGATGGGAAGACTGAAAGGGAGCTCTTTGTTGAAGGCAAGCTGAGAAATACGGTGTATTTTTTTTTTCTGCAGGGCTGCATGGCACATTTGTTTTCTCTCCAAATAAAGCTCTAAATAACTTCCTAATATTGGATCAACTGAACAAATAGAATTTAAGTTTCATACTTTAAAAGATTTATGGTATAGTATCTATAAAATATTGTGGCAATTATGTAGTAAGTGTCAGCAGGTGGTCAAGCGATAAAGCACTCAGGGATAGAATGAAGTGTACTTTATCATGACAAGCTTGTTCAAAGATTTTAGCTCCCTAGCCCCATGACTGACACAGCTGAGAAACAAAACTGTTCTCTTGCACTCTCACATCCCTAACTCACACACAAGGGATACCACACACAAGACACAAAAGAAAAGGGCAGTCCTTACAGGTCTGGGACACAGGTAAGGAAAAAGGTACATCACAGACCATAGTCAAAGTAGCACTGGCAAGAGCAAAGATTTATAGGCACTCTTCAGTCTAAAGTGTGTTAAATCAGAGGTACTAGCATGGTATTTCTTTGTTTCCAAGCAGCGGTAGTATCCAGTTCTACTGTATAGTTTTGACTAGGTTCTTTATCAATAAGGGCAAAGGAAAAGGACAAAGCAGGATAATACTTGTATTTATGATATTTTGTTCCTGTCTTTTTCTTCCAAACACAAAACAAGAATCACTTAAACAAAATCTGATAACAGACAGATACCTACATCCCACTGGAGTTGACTAGTTAAGGTCGCTTCCAGTTTTTCTCTGACGAACTAGCCGAAGTATTCCTATTCCTTTGTATGTTGTATGGCACCATGGGAGAAATAGCCCTCTCTTCATGATATATTGCAGGGGTGACATTATTCACGCTACAAAATAGTCATATTCTTGCATACAGGGTATACTGATAACACCTCTGTCACAGAATCCATGTGTATTTCATGGGTAAACAATAGAATAAATAGACGTTCTGCTTTTTAATACAGTAATACAAAATAAGCCAGAAGTCATTCAAGAATTTACATTTAAATGCATTTAAAACTGAAAAACAGGATGCACTTTGGAACCAGCTAACCAGCCATGTTGTTGAAGCCACTACCTTGGCTTATTTCAAGAAGGTGCTGAACAAGATCCTTGTGTCAGATATTTGCAAACCAATGCTGTTGATGGATTGAATGGCCTTTCTTCATTTGTAGCCTTTCTTCTTATCACCACCACCTCCAATAATAATGATAATTAATGTCTTCTTATATGTCATACTTCATTTTTTGTCACTGTCAGAAACAATTCTTTTAAAGCTTTTTAATTTTTCAGATGTATTTGATCTTGGATGGTGGTTTTAGCTGTATTTGAAATTGAATACATTAACAATAAAACATGTTGTTACTTATTATCTCTTAGGATATGAGGAAATCAAGAAAGAATCGCAGAAAGGCAAGTAGATATTATTGTTCAGTATTACGTTTTGAACATACAATATATACCTGTAGTTTGTTTGCTTTTTTTCTTGCCAATTTTTTTGTTCTCGAGTAGCTGTAAAAACCAGTCACAGTTTTAAACAAAGCACCGTATGAGAAAGATATAAGAATGGAATCAGATTGTCTTAGTAAAATAAATCAATCTTCCTCTTCATTTCACATTTCTCTGATTATTATTATTATTATTATTTGTGTCTATTATTATTTGTGTCTATTATTTTTTATTAAAATCTAGATGATAATGGTTGTTGTTGTTGTTAAAGGAGTGTGGAAAGTCTTTGTGAAAACCTCTGACGATTCTCCAGTGCCTAAAGAGATGAAAGTTTCAATTGTGATCTATGGTTCAGAGGGCAAAAGTGATGACATTGTTCTTCTCCCAAACAACCCTGGAACCGTAGTTTTTCTTCCTGGAGCAAGAGATGAGTTTTTGGTAAGATTCTGCAAAGGAAATGTAAGTGCTTTTCTAAAACCACCTGCGTAGCCTACAGCTGAACAAGCTAGAGTAAGTTCAAGCCTGATAAGTAAATGTAAAATGTAGCTTGAAGAAATTGAAGAATATTTGAAGTCTGGAAAATTCAGGCAGAAAAACATTCAATGCTGTTATGGCTGCGCTGTTTCGTGAATTTGAACAATTCTTTGCATTCCTGCTTCATTTGAAGTGTCTTAGATGTTCAATGCAACTGATTCAGATGTAGTTCAGTGCTTATTTAAGTTTTGTTTCTGTGTGGATATCCTCAGTGTATCTCTGACATCATATCACATTTACATTACAATTCTACTTGTCATTTTGAAATTGTTGTTTTTGAAAGAAATACTTTAATTCTGAAAATCATTTATTGATGAAACTTGCTTCATAGTCATTGTAAATGATACCTGGTCCAAGTTCAAAAGACGTTTGTATTATGCATATTAGTGTTCCCTAAAAACAATTGTTCGTGTTCATGCATATATGTATAAATCGACCTCGGACAGCATATGATCTTTTTAGGATATAAATTTAGCCAAGAAAGTACTTAAGTTGTCTATATATTAATTGTGTTAAAGCACAATTGCACATCATTAGTAGTGAAAACTGAGGTCACAACCTGGGTGAAAATGTAAAAATACACATTTAATGACTATAACAGCTCATTGGAACACATAGTAAAAGTAAAAACAGACATAAACAAGAACATCTAAATAAGGAACAAGCAGAATGTTGAAATCTGAAGCAGTCAGACAAAGTCTTTTGCTTTTTGAATGTTACAAAACTCCCACAAAATGGACTGACTACAACAGTTGGTGCTCCTGCGGTAAATGATGAGCTGACAGATGTTTCCATTTTTTTTCAAGGACTAAAGGGAATCTCTGCACTATTTCACTGAATCCACTGTCTGTCAGGCTCCTCATTGTTTCATGAAGCATTGTCAAATATTTAATTGATTACACTTCAAGAAAACAGGTTTTTAGTTTAAATCATTTGACTGTCTTTCAGGAATTTTAATAATGTCACAGGCCATTCGGCAATGCACTTTAAATACCAAAAGTTCAAATTAGAATAGTGTCTCATTGTGCACATGTATAGCCATTGAATGTTATGCCACAAAAGCTACAATATTAAAATGTAAACTAGGAAATATTCACAAATATGCAGTAGTGTAGTGTATAATATAATTTAAAGAACTTACACATTCTACCCATTAAAATTACATGATGTTTTAGTCCAGCTCCCCTCCTTTGTTTGTTATGTTAAAGAAGACATCTTATTAAATGTTTTAAGAGCTGACAAACTCAAGAAAATGAGGAAATATCCAGTAAAGTCAGTACAATGCCCTTATGTAGCTTTTCTGATCCGCTTTTCTTGACACAATGGGTGAAACTGACACATGCAGGTGACTTTTTCCAAAATCGCCTTCTCACCTTCTATTTGTGTATTTTTTACTCTTAGCAAAGAAGAGCAACTAGCAACATGAGACATTATATGTATCGACCAGTCTTTTGAGGAAAGAGTTCAATTTTAACTGGGTGTCTGAGCAGAAAATTCTGAATCTTATGTGGCTTTCTCATGTTCTTGCCACTACTTAACACCTTTTCTACACCGTTCTCCTGCTTTACAAGGGAGTTTTGTTCCTGGAATTGTCCTGTGATTGAGGAAACCACATGTAATGAATACTTAAGTATACTGGAAAATAGGAGTAGGTTCACGTGGCCAGCATGAGACTTATAAATGTAAAAATAGTCCCCACTTTTTCTTAAATACATACACAGTAATTTTCCATTAACAAATTAATTATAATTAGTAACACTTACAATTATAATAGTATTTAACATTCATATTACATTAATAATATTAATATTAATTGTGATAAATTACCTTTAAATTAGTCAAATTGAAATGGGATTTTAGAAGGTGGTATGCTGTCACAGTGGTTAGCATTGCTGCCTCGCAGTGCTGGGCCCTGAGTTCAGTTTTTGACCTAGAGAGCTATCTATGTGGAGTTTGTATAGCATGTTCTCCCCACGTTTGTGTGGGTTTCTTCCAGGTGCTCTGCTTTTCTCCCACAATACGAAGACATACTAGTATGTCAATTGATCTCTGAGAAAATTGGCCCTGCTGCGTGTGTGTCTGTGTCTGTGTGATGGACTGGCTGGCGTCCCATCCAGGGTGTATCCTGCCTTGTGCCTTGTGCCCACAGCTTGCAGGGTCAAGATCTGGCTCCCCCTTGACCCTGAATTGGATGAAGCGGTTAGAAAATGGGTGGATGGGATAACACTAGTCCTAAATTATGGTTTTTTCCCAATTGTACATTAATCTATGAATCTCCCCACTGAAGCATATGATGGACTTCTTGCAAGACAATGCAACACATCTATTGGCTTTTCTAAAGTCTTTACAGATGATGAACGCTTGGCAACACTACTGACTTTCTTGCTCATGCTGAGGAGCCATTGTTCAGATCCTGTTTGGATTAATTTTAGAGCAAAGATAAAATTGCTTTGGAAACAACATTTTAAAAACCTGCTGTCCTTACCTCTAGCAATGCAATTGTGCTAGCATAATGCCAGGGACAGTGGATAGTGTAAATATGAATAGTAAATATTCAGTATCTATGCAAAGTTATTGAATTTTCAAAGGACGAGTGACACTTCATTATAAAAGCCAATAAATAGACATAATTTCAACAGAGGGATTTTAAAAGGTGTTTGATCCTGAGTAAAAATTGCCTTCTGTTTTCTAAAATAATTATTAAAGTTTCTATGTGCAGATCTATAAAGGAGCATCATAAATTATGTAAACAGATTTTTTTGCTACTTATGTTTTCAGTTTTGGAAAATTAGGTGGATATTTTTTAGTTAGAAAATGTGGAGTAAAAGTTTCCCATGTATATTAATATTTCTCCTCTACCCTGTTATGATTTCTGAGAAAAGTGTTTTATGAGATGGAAATATATTCACTTACAGCAATCACAAGTACATACATTAACTACAAAATGTTGATTCATTCCTGGGTTAGAAGAGATTTTTAAAATAATATTGTAAGATAAAAGATGACTGCATTGTTTATTTCAAATAACCAAATTACTTTCCAAAAATGCTGCTTTTATGTTTGTGACTTTTAGAGACAAATCTAATTTAACTGACATAAAGACATTTAATCCTCAGGAAATCAAATGATTTGTGGTAATTACCCATGAACATTAATTCCTTGTCTAATTACTGGGAACTAATAGTTCATATTATTGGATATTTTGTTATGGTTTAACTAAATCACATAATTGAAACATTTTCTTTTGGTCCTAATAATGTCAAACATGCACATACACTATAGCATGCATTTCAGAGCAAAACTAATAATAAAAATAATTAATAACAGCAATAGATCAAAAGTGTTTAGTCTGTACCATAAAATATGCTTGATCACAGTTTAAGGTACAGTATACTGTATATTAAAGCCTGCTGTGTTTAATCATTTGTTAAATATAACAGTTTAAAATCACATTAGACCACGTATAACAGGAGTAAAAGTAAGCACTGTTTACATTAGTATGAAAAAGTTTGATATAGCTGTTGTTTGCTTATGTGACAAATTTATTAATTTGGTGACCAGTACCTTTCAAGTACTGTAGTATTGTTTGATATTTCAGAGTCTGCATTTTACTTTAGTAACCTGCTAAAGTATATTTGTGTCCCATTAGGTGTTATTTACACAGAGACAATGGGGCATCTATTTGCATTCAAACCCAATGGCAGAGACAGAATGCTTTTATTGAGAATTATGCAGTTTAGTTGAAGATCTGCTTTGTGATGCTGAATTCAGGTTGATGCTGGAGATGTCGGGAAAGTGTACAAGATTCGGGTCAGCTGTGACGGCCTGCTGGGTTTTCAGAACTGGCATTTAAAGTCTATTCAGATAGAAGAGCAGCACACAGGAACAGAGCTGCACTTTGACTGTAACTGCTGGCTTTCTCCGAGCTCAGAACACACAGAGCCAGTGAAAGAATTCCCTGTGGTCATAGAAGGTCGGCCATCCCTCCGGGGTAAGAGAGGCAAACAGAACACATTAAATAACGTCTAACTTTTTCTGTGTATCAACAGTGTTAAATTGAAAACTACTGTAACAAAGCTGTAAGGTTTGCTTCAGTATTTGTGTCTGTATAAATAATATTAATGCATAAAACTGCATAGTGTTAGTATTCATATCATGCATATATAAATATCGCCTTAAGTTTGCTATTTGTAGACATATGTTGATTATATACTTCTCTTTGATGCCAACACGTGCATTTTTTACAGTGAAATGAGATTATTGGATGGTTTGAACATGGTGCAGGTAGGTAAATAGTTCCTTATTTGAGCCACAATGGTCCAGAGCTTATCCTGGTTTCCATGGCATTTGGAGAACAGAAAGCATATTAAAGCAAACTGACTTTGCAAAGCATTTCAGCATCAGAATAAGACTTTGGGAGATTTTAAGACCACAGAATGGTACCTTAAAGTCTCCTGTTTCTGCGTAATTTCAGTGAATGAATATGTTGTATCAGTTCACATGGGGAACAACTGGGGAGCCGAAACATATTCAAATGTCTATTTAACTCTTTATGGAGAGCACGGTGACTCAGGAGCAAGGAAACTTCGCCATTCCTTAGTCGAAGGACCACCATTTCAACAAAACAAGGTAAATTTATTGTAATAAGCCTGGATGCCTATAGTTATGCTGCAAGAGGAGACCTCAGTGACTCTGAAAGAGTGGTGATTGTTAGAGAGCGCATTTGGCAGGAACTTCAGTGACCAAGACAAATCAACTTGTTGATATTTCACAAGTAACAGGGTCTGAGGTGATGTGTCAAGTTGGATCTCCAAGGGAAAGACATCCTCTGCAAAAGGCAATAATAGGAAAAAGCAGAGAGTCCAAGATCACGATATCTGCATCACTACAAAGTGCAAGGAAAGAAACAACTGCAGATCAATTGACTGCAAATTTCCATCTGGGACATGAGCAGCCATTTTAATCAGAAATGGTCTGCTGAAGTCTCCACAGAGCAAGGATACCTTAGTTGCTTTGCTGTGCACAAGAAGCGCGTCACACCTGGAACTGCACATTTGTGAGTCCCATGATGCAAAGTGGACTTTCTTTCAATTTTAAATTCACACTTTATTATCCCCTGGGGGAAATTTGTTTTACGGCAGAATCCAAGGCAACAACACAACAAAAACAAGCAAAGATCACCAACAAGACATTCAGTACAAAAATGTTTCAGGAGTTAAGTTACTTTACTTTGCAGACAGAAATGGTTTAAATTTGTTGTGGTAGGGGTTAGCCTCAGACTCCACAACTCTCTTATTTATCTTTAAAATCCATATCTTTGCAGTGGACATTTACTGTAGGATGATCTGATTTGCTCCAGTTGTTTTGCAGCTTATGTTTACAATATTTTCTAACCTTTTATAATTTGCGGTTATGATGTCGCCAAACCAACAAGTAACACAGTATGTGAATATTGTCAGGATCAATAGAGGGTTTGTAGAATTTGCCCAGGCAATGGACTTCCAAGTAGCTGAGAAATATGATATTGTCACTCTCTGTGGTCACAGTACACTACAGCTAATACAGTACACTACCACTAATATTTTACGGTACATTTCCTGGTAGTCACTATTTATTAGTAGTGACTGATCATCTTCAATTTGCAGCATTTCTGAATTGGCCATCCAGTAGTTTAATGAGCACTACACTGAAATCATCCATATGTCATTGTCTTCACTGTCACTGGGGATCTGAACACAGTCAAGCTACTGTAATTATAGGATATTCTGAAATGCTCCTTGAACCAGTGTTTTCCACCTCCTTCCACCAGGCATGGGTTGATTGAGTTTCTTGCAGAAGAATGGTGTCACTTTTCTCCTGTAGGATTGCCAGACACTGGTACACTCTATGCCATTGTGCGTACAGGCCATTCTGGTCACATTTGGTGTCCCAGTTCTCTGTTAAGTGACTTTACATTTGTGTGTGCATTTTTTATTCTCTGCTTGTAGGAAGTAGATATAATCTGGAATCAAATATATTCTAACTCTTGTGATGAATTATTTTTCTTTGCTTCTAAAGTGATATGATATTAATTAAATAATATAATTTAAAATGTTTTGTAGTTATTTGTTACCACATATATAAGGCCTGAATGTAATGACTTTTGGCAGGTGGATGCTTTTTTACTGGAATCTGTCACTCTGGGGCGCTTGACAAGGGCTGTCCTTGGTCATGATGGAGAGGGATATGGTGCAGGACTGTACCCCAAGATGGTCACTGTGCAAGAATCTAAAACATCGAGAACGGAGTGGGTTTTCCCCTGCTTCAGATGGTTAGATGATCACATTGGAGACCAGAGCACTGTTTGCAGTCTGAAGTCAATTGGTGGGTCCCTTATTCTGTCCCTGACTGTTCTTTTTAGATATTTTTCAGAGTTCCGTGGTAAGGTTAGCAATGACAAAGATGTGGCAGACGTATGGAAAATATACTGGGTCAAAATAAGTGATTTGAGTGACCATATTTTTGTCTTTTGACCTCTCCATCCTGTGTAAGACTAAGACTATTTGAGAGGAAAACAATGATCCAACATTGATAGCATTTACATAAAATCACCTCCCCCCAATGCACAAGACAGATCAGGCATGAATTATTATCTCTCTGTGAATTTGGTCCCTCACAGAATAAAGCCTTCATATAGGCAAAGTCATGATTTTGTTTTTTAAAATTCTGTTACCTACTGTACATACATATATGATCTATATTATACTCTAATAATGCAATGTTATATGTATGAGCTCAGATGGGGAAAGACCAAATAAGTAACTTTGAATTACTTTTGTTTCATTTGTATTTAAAGAGATCACCAACTAATCAGATTATTCTATTGAAATGCCATTTAAAAATGAATCCATAAATTAACCGCCAATATGGAAAAGTATTCCTAAAATAAAACTATGTGCTCTTTTGCTAAGAATGGCTTCTGAAGTTGGTATTGTTATTTGTTTCAAGGTGCAAGGTCAGTGGTCAGCCAGAAACTGCAGGAACATTCTGGCACCTGGACCTTTGAGATCTGTGGCTCTGAAATCAAACATAATGAAGGCTTCATCTGGCTTACACTAATTGTTTGTGGAGATAAAGGCTACAGAAAAGTAAGACTGCATGTGACTGGACCCACCCTTCAGATCAAGGTTAATACACAGAGACACTATGATATTTGTAAGAGCAAATATCAATTAAACTTTCCTTCAGTGAAATTTAAAATATCGCTATGGAACAAAAATGCTCCACAGAAAAGTAAATAACATTTATAATTTAACTTTTTTTATCGTCAAAATAGGAACAAATTCCAGAAGTTGGTATGATCTACAAAGTGTGTGTGTCCAGTAAACCTGACAAAGTGCAGCAGACATGGAGGCTTAAAACAATTGACATGAAGAATCTTGAATCAATGCTGGAAATGCATTTGAACTTCGATTGCCTGTTTGTTACAAATACACATAACTATGTAGAACTTCCTGCACTGTTTCCAGATCAGGATCCTGATCCTGGTAAGCAATAAGCATGACTAAGATGATAAAATCCCAGCTGTAAGCAGAAAATTTCATTCTTAACCATTAAAACTGATACATTTAGACTACAGCCTTACATGATTCTTTGGACATGCACAAAAGCAAAACACAAATTATCCATATACAGTAAGGCAGTTTGGATTTCGTATTATTCTTATTTCTGTTTGGAACTGACAGTTCAGAACCTCAGATGACATTTATTCGATGCCATTGGCTGTCATTTTGTTTCTTAGGCTGTTTTTACTCTCTTTGTTCCTTTTTTACAATTGTATGTATAAAAGAAAGAGAAATCTCTTTGAGAACAAGCATTACAAATGATGCAGCACACCAAAGAAAATGGCTCCCTAAGTTCTGCTGTGACAGGCTGTCTATTTCAGATTTCAGGATCACTACATCTGTCACACATTAACTGACAGACATGTAAAATACTGTCTAAGCTGGAAAGAAACAGTTTCCAAAGACAATTGAGCCAGTCTTCTTAGTTTCCATCTGTTGCCCTTTTTCCTTAGTTGTGGAGTACAGGATTAATGTGTATACGGGAGATGTCAGGAATGCAGGCTTTACTGGTGAAGTATACATCAGTCTCCATGGTGACAGAGGCAACACTGGAACACGGTGGCTATCAAAATCCCAAAATACACCAAACACCTTTTGTCGTGGACAGGTAAGACCCATTAGGAAAACAAATACAGAAGATATTTTATCTTAAAATTGGGAGATCTTGCTTCTGATTCATAGAAATAGAAATGGCTTAATATGACCCACTCACCTTTCATTTCATATGGAAAGGAATATGAGGGAATTAATTGAGATAGAATGCTTTTATATACGCCAAAGTTTATAGATATGCAAAATACCTTTGAACCTGTTTCAACTGCACTATTTTCTGCTGTGTCCCAACATTAAATTGACCAGTAGTGATTCTTATGTCTGTGTTGTTGTTATGTTATAACAACATCCTATTTATGAGTTACTGGAAACAGGTAATCTAATACCCAGTTTTCTGGGAAACCAAGTGCTCTAAGTTTCCAACTGTATGTGACGATGAAGACTGTGCGCTTCCTTTTGTTGAAAGGAAAAGAAAATCTGGCAAATTGCAATGGTGCAAATAGATCATAAGGAACAGTAATTTTCTCTTGAAATAATCTCAGATGACACCCCACACCTGATATAAAATTATTAGGAAAGATCAATTATATTGCTTAAAAGGTAGAAATATATGGAAATGTGAACAACTGTGTAATAATTCAGATTGCCCTTACAGCAGAAAAAAACTATTTTAATTGTAAAATCTTGTCCATAGAACACCATGTGCAATTAAGGGAAAAATGTAATTAAAGTACTATTTGTTGAATGTTCATAAAAGTAATATAGATCTTCTCTGGCCTTAATTTGGTGCAGAAGGTGAAGCCCTATATACAGCAGGCTTGCATTAATATCTTATTATGCATCTTTTAGGTGGACGTTTTTAAAATCATAGCAGTGAATGTTGGGGAAGTGAAAGAGCTAGTTATCGGACATAAAAGTCAGCGCAAAGGTAAAGAAATGTATTATGACTTTGTATTTTCCCCTTCCAAATCACATATCACAGGATAATTGTAAAGCAGAGGTCTTCAACCCTGATCCCAGAGAGCCCCAATCAAGCAGGTTTTATAGGTAGTCATTAAATCATCAATGTAAAAGACCTAGAACAATTGAAGTCTGATCAAACAGGTCACTTGTTAAATTTAGTCATCTAGAAATCATTTGGAACATAAATCAGAATGATCTTCTGCCTGTGGAAGACCAGACTTGATTAACTGATCATTCACTTCCAAGTGTTGATAATATGGTTGTAGCAATTAATACAAATAATACCAGTTTAATTCTGGTGAATTGGAGTGACCTACTGTATAACACTGACTGGACTGGGGCATTCCAGGACCAGGACTGGAGATCTCCATGGCAAAAGATAACAGTGAATTAAGCATGTGCAGTATAACAAAAACAACATATGAACAGAATAGCAAGATGCTACGTTTATGAAGTATAAGATGTACAAGCCTGTAACTAGATCTACGAAGAAATAAATAAAAACACTAAAACTATCTTTACATCTCAATGACCCCAAGTGTTCAAATGAAATGCATTTTATAAAGTCAGTAAGTCACAAAAGTCATGATCATATATGATAAGTGTAAGACAGAGACTTTCTTGATTTCAAATTATTGTTGATTTACATTTCAAATTAATTTCTAATTACATTTCTAATTAAATACTCCAGTTACTGGATGTGAATATATCCAATGGAATATATTTTGTCTAGTATACAGTATGCATGTGTTCTTCAATTTTTTTTTTTCAGTTTCTATGTAAAAGATCTCTTGTGTTACATTACATAAAATGTGTGAATAGCATGTTTAGCAATTCTCTAAATGTGAATTTAATTTGACTTGACTGGGAAAATGCATTACATACTTTAAGTTCCACATTATTAGGTTAGTTAATTTGACCACAGTGAATTTTGAACAATGAATTAATGCCATCTCTCAGTGTTTGTAATGGAGATTACCTCAAGATTATAAAAACAATTATTTTGCGGAATAAAAGAATGTTCTTCTTAGGTTCTCCAGCAGTGTGTGTTTCTACTGTAACTAAAATATTCATTGTCAGCTTTAATGGACTGCACAGATCGTTGGTTTCTGGAGAAGGTGATAGTGGCGGAAGGAGATATGCCCACTACACAGCACACGTTCATGCACAATGATTGGATTGATGCTCACCCAAAGAAGCCAGATGTCTATGAGGTAGTCATGCCTGTGAAAGGTAATCTATCAGTGTTGAGACATTTTGCCTTGTCTTACATTTAGTTAAACTTCCTGCAGGCCTTGTACAATAAGCTGGGTTTACAAGAAAGACTGAACATGCAAATCAGTTGCTGGACTTAACTGAAACCAGTGCTTCCTGACCACTTTCAATATGAACCCGTTTCTCTAGGCTTGGGTGTATGAGCCAGTAAAAAGTCATGCCTTTAGTTGCTGCCGAGCGGTTTGTTGGCATAATGGTTTCAGTGCGTGACTCACATTCTGGAAGCTGGGGTTCGAATCCTGCTGACGGCATGAGTTCGGTGTGGTGGCCCTGTGGCCAAAGATCTACGCCTGTGGCTGGAAGGTTGCTGGTTTGTGTCCCGCGGTTGGCACAGGAATCCTACTCTGTTTGGCCCCTGAGTAAGGACCTTAACCCCAACTGCTCCAGGGACACTGTATAAATGGCTGACCCTGCGTTCCGACCCCAAGCTTCTCTCCCTGTCTGTGTGTCTTGTGGAGAGCAGGTTGGGGTATGTGAAAAAGACAAATTCCTAATACAAGAAATTGTATATGGCCAATCATGAGACCTCATCTTCTCTCTTAGTTCCAATAATACTGTCTAATGAATGACTGCATTCGCAAAGACACAGACACCTTCACCCCAGAGCCAGTTTTCTCAGAATCCAATTAACCTCCCATTATATTTCTGGGCTGTAGGTGGAAACCCCCAGCAGAAACCCACATGCCCACAGGGAGAACATACAAACTCCACGTACTGTAGATAGCACCCAGTGAATTAAACGCAGGGCTCCAGCGCTGTGAGACAGCTATGCAAATTACAGTGCCATCGTGCCGCCACATGAGAACATAAGAAAGGTTACAAAAGAGAGTAATTCGATCAGTCTAACTCTTCTTGTTGTTAATTCGGTTTCTTGAATGGAGCCATGGTATCAGCTTTAAGAACATGGCAGTGTAGTTTATTCAAAACTCTCTCAGCCCTTTTTTATAGCGCCTTCCTTTCTCACCTTTACATGCAAGCCTTCATATCGAACTAAAGTTGCATCTCCCAAGACATTTTGGTAAGTTGCACAGCATGAAAAATGGGGCAAATGACAAATTGCATCGAATGAAATTAAACTGAATGTTGAAGCTGGTTTCCATTAATAACCGACTAAGAATACATGAAAGGCTAAAAACGAGAGCAGGTGTTGTACACAGGATGCTTGTTATTGATGCTAGTGAACTTGCTCTTTATAATCTTGGTGAATCAAATTCCACTGCATTTTGTCTGCATTTATAACATTTGTGTCCTGTCTTCCAAGTGTTCTTAGCTTTAATTGGTTGTTTAGCCATCTATATGCACACAAAAACTTCCCACATCTTATTTTTTTATAGTATTTGAAACTACAGCTTTACTGTGTCTAGAATTTACTGTCACATCATTTCCAACTTTTATTTTTAGCTTGGTAAGTACAGTATATGTAGGAGCCGAATTGATATATTTCACGTGTGAATATCACAATAAATATTAAAAGGAAGACCCACATTTAACGTAAAACATACCCTTAAAAACATGTCTTCGTAGCCACAATTTGTAAAACTAACTGATGATAAGGACTAACAATGTTAACCTTCAAGCTCATATTTTGCCTTTTATAACAAGGTAAAACCTAAGACTTTTATGTAGTCTATTCATAAGCTTTCATTTCCTAAAATAAATCTGAATCACCTTCTTGTAATCCAAAAGAAACTGTTGAAATCAGGTCCGACCCCATTAAAGAGCCTGAAACTGGAAAAGCAAGACATTGGAACATGTGGGTGAAGTGCTCGCCAGTACCAGAAAGACCAATAGACGTGTCAGTCATTATCTTTGGGGAGAAAGGAAAATCACCCCTGTTAAGAGCTGAAAACTTCCATGATAAGCCATTTCCAGTAAGTGGCCTGTTTTGTGTTCTATGTGAGACAATGTACAAAACAAATTCTTCAAAAAATGTTCAAAATTAAACGTCGCAGTGTGAAATTGTGTTGGCAGTTTCATAATGTACCCTTATTATTTTTATTTGTGTCATGGTATATCTATAAAATTTGTATTTTACAAAATTTAAATTCCAAATATATACTGTTGGTAAGTAATCAAACTACCATTTTTTTAGCAAAGTGAAATCTTTAAGATAGATATATATACACAGTTTATATTTTTACATTTAGAATCAACAATTATTTTGTCATACCTGCCAGTTGCAGCTACAAAGGATTGAATGAGGAAGGGTGGCAAGACTGCTTTGATCCACTTACCATCCTTACACATGTCAAAAGCACCACAAGCCCCATAGCACAGGTTCAGCATCATAAAGAAGCTGTGTCCCTCAACAACAGGTCCAAGAGGCTACAGCTGTTGTGGAGAGCCCAGGCTGCCTAATGTCACAATTAACTTGTGCCTTGACCCAGGCTTGAACCTGGGATTACAGAGCTCAGCCTGCAATAGGTATGAGCACCCTTAGAAGTTGAAACACTCATGGGGTTCCTTAAAGTAAAATTAAAGTTTAAATTCTGTCCCCAAGGTTACAGTCATGTGATCGACTTCATTTTACCATCAAAGCTTGAATTGCTCAAAGACCCTTTCCTTTCACAGGTGCACACTGGGGAAATAGGTGCCATTCTTAAGGTGTCATTCTTCTGCAAGAGTCCAGAGAAGATGAAAGGTCTGAAGCTAGAGAAGGTAGGGAGATAAAGTTAAATCGTCTCCATTATAATTCCTTTCAACAGCCATATTTCTATTTATTAAACACAGACAGACTCACATTCGAACTACAAATCGTTATCTGTATAAACGCATTTTTATCTTTTAAAATAAGGGTGTCCAAGCAAGAAGGTGGGTGTTGAAGTTGTGAATACATAAAAACATTTTGTGTTTTAATTAGAATAGAATTGACCTGCTTCATTAATGAGGAGGTCCAATTGTTCTGTGATGCTTAATGGAGATATTTGCTTTTTCTTCAATCTTTTGGATCCTTGAATTTAATCTGTGATTAAATAGACACAGCACTATTATCTTTAGTGTCTTTAGTTTGTTTTGATTAGATTAGAAATAGGATTTTCTATTCACCATATGTTTTACATAACTGCTGTTCAGTTTCTTTTTTGAATGAGGCATACTGTACATCAGAGGAAACTGAACATTACAAGATAAAGACATGATCAGTCAACCTAGAAGCACGCAGAGATTTATAACCAGACAATCATGGAAAGTACTTTGGTGCCATTCTGTCTAGTACTTTGAATGTAAGCAAAAGGATTTTCAAATTAATCCTGTTTCTCACTGGTAGCCAATACAAAGAGGTCAATGCAATCTGCTAAGAGTTACAGGTGCTCTTGGATCTGAGCTGGTTGTAGCTATCAGTACCCTTTGTTTTATAATCCTGTCTAGATTAAATAAAGGCATGAACTACCTTCTCAGCATTGAATAAAGAGAGAAATAATCTTATTTTGGAAATATTTCTTAAGTGATAAATATATGTATTATATTGTATTATTTTAATGGGTCATTCAAAACCACGTATAATGGCTAATAATAATAATGTCCTAAGTACTTAGAGCTGATTGGTTTGCATTTACAAAGTGTAATATCCAATCCCTAAACCAAAATGTTATCACTGTAAGAAAAATTATTTGACTAGGTATACACTATATTTGCATATGCTATTGCAAATTACTTATTACAAAATTATATGACTGCAGATTTTAAAGGACTTAAATTGCTGGAGGGTGAAATAACAATAAATGTTTTGGTGGACTACCTGCAGATATCACCACTTAAAGACCTTCATTTCCAAGTTTAAAATTGGACTGAATATAATGAGCAGTAAAGATTACATCAGTATAAATATAATTTATCATAACTAATCTGTTGTAACTATTCCAAGGTTTAGAGAAAGGTCTAAAATAACCTTATTTTGAAAATAGTCTTAACCTTTAGTCTTTACCATAGGTCCTAGTTTAAACTCAATAAATTCTAAAAAGGAAGGGAAAATAATCAGAATGTCTAACCCAAAATAAGGATAAATTGTATCTATATTCTTTTGTAAATGGAACAGTAATATCTACTCTGGGTGATTAATTCCACCTTTTAAATAAAGGAATAAAGTGAAGGTCAGATACAAGTGCATAACACAAATGGCATGGGAAAACTAAGCAAGTCCTGTATACAAACAGATGGAATAGAAAATGTTAAAATTTGTACTAGAATAAAATAAAAGTATAACATTAGTATTAGGAAAGAGTGGCAGTGTCACCTATTACATTATTGGCTTTTTTTAGTTGTCATACCGTATATAATACATAATAATACTTACACTTACATAGCCGGATTTACATAAAACAATATATACTGTATTTATAATAATTCTCTACAATTATATAGCGCTTTTCTGGGCACTCCACTCAAAGCACTTTATGAGTAATGGGGACTCCCCTCCACCTCCTCCATGTGTAGCCCCACCTGGATGATGCGACAGCAGCCATAGTGCGCCAGAACGCTCACTGCACACCAGCTATTTCTGGGAAGGAGAACAGAGTGATGAAGCCAATTTATAGATGGAGATTATTAGGAGGCCATGATTAGTAAGGGCCAATGGGAAACTTCAGTCCATGGAGAAGTTTGACCAGGACAACAGGGTAACAGGCCTACTATTTTAATGAAAGGCCCTGGGATTTTTAATAAGTACAGAGAGTCAGAAACTCAGTTTAACATCTCATCCAAAGGACGGCCCCCTTTTTACAGTATAATGTCCCCATCACGATACAGGGTATCAGGACCCTTATTGACTGCAGGGAAAGCGCCTCCTGCTGGTTCCTTTAACACCTCTCCCAGCAGCAACCTTATCTTTCCCAGAAGGTCTCTCCAGACTGGCCAGGCTCACACCTGCTGAGCGTCAGTGGGTTGCCAGTTGTGAGGTGCAGGGTGACATAGCCGCTGGCAAGTTGAGAATTGTGTTATAAGAAACCCTTTTATTTTTTTTTCAGAACATTGCTGCTTAACAGAGTTACATTTTGTCCCGTTCTTACTGACAGGTAATAAAGCAATGTGAAAACGGGCAGCATCCTGGATATTTATTTTTTTCCATAAGTCAATTGTTTTTCCTTTCAAATTGAATTGTTGGGGTACTTTTTCGGCACCTGTAGGACTAAAGTTTTTACGTTACTGCTTTTTTTCTGGAAAAAAAGGAGTGTTATTAATTCTTTTTCATGACACCAATAGCTGCGCATGAAGGACAGTGTTACAAAGCAAGAGCTGGGATTTGACACTACAGACCGGTGGCTGTTTGAGGAGAAGAGACTGGAGACCGTGACGGAGCTGGCAGCTGTCAGACCTGACAGGCCTCCTCTCAGAGGTATGGCACATAAATAAGAAGTGACTTAATGTTCAGCGATGTATGTGCCTGGAATAGTGATCAACAGAAGACGGTATCCATGCAGATTTGTAATAGTGCAGCTAAAGTGCCCGTTGTGTTGGAAAGCTTTGGTTGGGAGTACAGAAATCAATCTAATGGTTTACAGTAGTTCCATTGTTGGCCTCAAATGTGCCTTGCCTCGGGATGTAGAAATCTGCTGTTTCTTTTTCAGCCCCCAATTAGATTGGATCAAACCAAATCGCATTAACAAAAAGGCTGAATGTCTTCTGTCTGCATTGCAATATTTTTGTGTATTTTACAAAGGTCTCCATTGACATGTGGTTTGCCATTTTACGATAAGTAAATGTCTTCTGAAGGACAAAGATGTCGTTTCGCATTCCCTTTGATTCTTTGTGATCATGTATAAATAATGAAGTAAATATACTGTCTCTTAACAGAATCCAGTCTAGCACTGAATGTGCAACTGGTTTTATACCTTCAGAACCAAATCTCCGTGTAACGTGTAACTTTTTGACTCTCTTTTTAAAATGACTTGTTTCATTTCTTCATCTCCACTACAAATTAAATTGATACTAATAAAGCAATGTATTTCATGTACTAGCAGTACGTTTACCTTATATCAACTACATTGTCTTGTAACACAAACCAACCCTTGTTTCTCCTTATTTATAGAAAAGGCGAAACAAAACTGCAGATGGGTGCAGCATATTTCAATTAATGCAATTTCGATACAAATAGCTATGGTAACAGCATGTGTCCAACATTAAACCTTTTCTTAATTACATTCAGACTGGTTGCTCATTTAAATTGTGCTGTCTCAATTGCATGCAGCTTGTACGTTCTACTTGTATACGACTATGAAGGGTTTGACAGATTTTAACAAAATTCAGTTACAAGACACCGAATAGGTCAATTACCTGTAAATGTCTTGAAATGCTATCAGATTAGTTTTTTAACAGAGACCAGAAATGTTTAGGGAATGGCAAAAGCTAAGAAACCTGCTTGTATTACAGAAAGGGACACTGTGAGGGAGGGGTGGGGTAACAGGCATCTTAAAGGAATCAGGTGCATGGGAACACAAGGACTTGATGCAGAAAGGTTGCTTTAATTTCACAGTGCGGAGGGAAATGGACGCAAATTTCGAGCTGTGTTCAGAGTAATAGCAAATTTATTCAGTTCCTATCTAAATAAAACCCTGTCAGACTAAGCTGCTTAGAGAATATAAAAGTCTTCACAAGTGCAAAGCCATACTTGACCATTCTGCTGACTTACAGTAGTTGGTCTTATCGTTCAGCTTTCATATTTTGCCTCCAGGTCGACCCTTCAGGAGGATCTGCTTCCTTGCTGAGGCAGCAGGTTATCCATTCTGTCCTTGAGTATCTGTTCCTTGAATCCAAATCATAGCAATGGGTCTGCTTACATAACCTTAATAACTCACTTTATTTGGCTATGTAGGTTATTAATGTACTGTATGGCTTTTTTAGATTTAGATAATTTTAACAGGAGTTTTTCCTTTCTTTTCCATTCACTGCCCAACCTGGACAAATTGTGGCCGTAGAGGGGTCTGTAAGTGATGCTTACAAATAAGGAACACTTCCAACAGAGGGGAAAAATATTAGAGAAGTGTGCTATTACTGAGAACGTGTCGTACATTATAAACTGGGAATCAAGTATTAAGATAAGGTGTTGTGCTAAGTTTCATTCAATCATTTTTGATCATGTACCTCTCGTATTTGTGTTGTAGATTTGATTTACTCTGTGAAAGTGCATACAGGCGACCTGCCCGCCGCTGCCACTGATGCCCACATCTCCATTGCACTGTTTGGCGAAAACGGAGACACAGGCGTGCGGAGGCTGACTGATAGTGCTTCTCGAATACTTCTAGACAAGGGGAAGGTGGGTAATGACGCCAAACTGCCGGCTGTTTTTTAGCTTACAGTCAGCAGGGTGCTACAGCCCCAGGAGTAGCGCTTCTTCACACATTGTTATTGAAAAAAAAAAGATTTGGCAAGAACTGTGGAATAGTAGAGCGTGTTGCATTTGAAAATACTACAGTATTGTCCAGCTGCGCGCCTTCTTCGTAGACAATAAAAACTTTGGTGCTTTTCCAGCAATATATTACGAAGCAAACTAATTAGACTGTCATCTTTACCTCACTTGGAGATATATCAAACTCACCCTAATATGACTTGTCTACTTGAGCCGAAGTGTAGTGTACTGTTGAGATAGTGAGATATTAACAAGCCCACAGGCAAGATTTGTGCTGCTTCCGTAATTCATTTGTGTCTTTACACAGAGCAGTGATTGAAGAAGCGTGTTCGCAGGTAAACGAACAGTCATCAGTCGTTTCATGTTCTAGACTATCAAAGCAGAGAGAAGTTGCCACGGAGAAAAAATTGTAACGTTTAGTAAAAATGAACGTTTTTACCGTTTTAAAACTCATAAAAGTTAAAAAAAATAGGTTGCTTTAGTTTTATATTGTATGTATTCTGGGTACGAACTTCTGGCATGAAGAGTTTATTTCGTCTGATGAATATTTGTTTACCTGCGATGTATTTTGTACACCGAATATTTACTAGTACACGAATTTAACAGTATAAAGCTTTGAGATATTGCCAAGTTTACCTTATTTAGGTTACTTTGAATGAACGAGTTATGTTGCTCGTACTGTAATTGTTGTACTGGGAATGACGATATGAAATGCATTTAGTAGAACAAAGCGTTGAATAATCAGAGAGTGGTATTGCCAAGTTTTCCTTAGTTTATTTCGCCCGTTCTGTAGTCGAGCCTGCTCAACATGAATGAACACGACGTGTCACTTACCTCTTGTGCGGGCACATACGAGATGAAATTCAATTGCATCAGACTGAGAGTGGAGAATGAAAAAAAATATATTTAAAAAAATATCTGAGGATATGCACTATGCCACTGGAAAAGCAGCTTCAACAACAGGCAGCATTTTCACCGTTTTTTTCTCTTCAAATAAAGGTAACCTGTCATACAAGCATGATCTATCTCATGATTCTTACTCTTACAGGTCAACGTCTTCTGCCTGAGAGCAGTGGAGCTGGGCTTACTCACCAAACTGACTGTAGAGCACAGTAATGAAGGCTATGGTGCCGGGTGCTACCTGGATAGAATCACGGTGCAGGCCTCAGCAGACACAGACGCCGAGTTTGTGTTTCCATGCCAACAGTGGTTAGACAGCGGAACTGGTGACAGATGGACAAAACGAGAAATAAAACTCCTTGGAAAAGTCAGCAGCCACAGCAGAATGACAGCAGATCCTCAGGGTGTGTGTCTAAAATCTTTGTGTGTACATGCTTTGAATAAGCTTAAAATGCGGCAGGAAATAACTAAAAGGCAACTGATCTTGTATCCTCAAGGTTCGAAATGTAGCACACATGGTTAACATTAAATCCTCATAACATTGAAGGACTGAAGGATTACATATTCTTTTTTTTTCTTATATCTGTCTTGTAGCCACTTTATCCAGTGGGTCACTGCTGAGCCAGAGCCTATCTCGGCAAGCAACGGACGTAAGGCAGGATAAACTTTAGAGAGGATGCAAGTCCATCACAGGGGCTCACACAGATGCAAACACGCTCATACCAGGGCCAGCTTTCCTGGAAGACCATTAACTGCCATCAGGTCTTCAGACTGTGAAAGGAAACGAGAGCACCCAGAGGAATCCCACGTCAGCAAGGAGAGAATATACAAACTCCATGCAGATAGCACCCCAGGAATTGAACCCAGGGCCCCAGTGATGCGAGGTAGCAAAGCTGCCATCTAAAGCAACACAATCAGCTGAGAGAGTCCCTCACCTACAGCGCTGAAAAATAGGGTGGGATAGAAATTGTCAGTCTGCTTAGATCTCAGTGATAGGCACTGATAGTGTTCTGCCCAGCATGAAAAGTGCCTGTCCCAGTTAACTAGTGGTATGAGCCAGGCTTAAACCTGAGCCCAAAAGTTTTGAGCTTCACTTGCATTCAGAAGAGTGGCTTTACCAGTTGAGCTACTCTAAAAAAAAAACAGAAATTGTCGTCTGACAAGATTTCTTCTAGTTTGGAGGTTCTAAAGCAGAAAAAATACAAATCAGGCAATTAATCAAAAGGTGATTTGGTAACTCAGAATTTTCTTCTTCCAACTAGAATATGACCAATTCATGTGCATGCAAGGTGGAACAAAACAGCATCGGTTAGGAAGACAGAACATTTGAAGCACAGGAAAGGAACTAACACTCTGTACAATAAGCTGCAACTATACATCTTTGTATCAGAGGGCATTTTCATCTGTATAACTACATCTTTTCTGCCTGAGACTAGCACTTGTTAACACTGTCAGGTCCTGTTATAGTAAAGTCTGTTATGTTATTTATTTTTATTGATTTTTTTTCCTTTTTCTCTCACTGCTCTGTTTTCTTCATTGGTGTAAGCTTCTTGCCAGGGCTGTCATTGTATATGAGAATTTGTTCTTAGCTGAGATATCTGATTAAATAAAGGATTATTAAAAGGTACAGTTTTTTATGACTGTGTAACTGAGACCTAATTCAAATTACTGTTTGCCTTAATCTACATGCTTATATGGAACATAAACATGCACACAGTCCACCTCACCCTAATTATTAGTTGAATTATATCTTTGATCCAGTCTCTCCCAAATGATTTTCCAGGACTGAAAGAGAACTTAATAAAGTGCAAACATAAAAAATACATCACAGCCCAGCTATTAAAAACACATTTTAAATGGATAGTTTAACTGTGCATGAAATGTACTTGTTCTATGTCTTACCATTTTTGAAATTATATTTACTTTATTTTCCACAGGCACATGGGACATCCATGTTCTCACTGGTGCCTCTTCCAGCATTGCAGTGGATTCAGAGGTAATCCTGGAAGTGTGTGGAGAGAGGGGCATGTGCTCTTCCCTCACTCTTCCAGGGAACAAGCTCAGACCGGGACAGATGTATCTGACCGTGACAGAAATTGATCGGAAAAATGGAGCAATCCTTAAAATACGTCTCCAAACCATTGAGGCCAGAGAAGGTGGAGTCTGGTACTGCAAAGAGGTACTGTAGCTACAGCACTTTTTTTAACGATTCTGGTACTCGTGTTCCTTATTCTTAGCAGCCGTTTTAGATTCACTTTTAATTCCTTTGAGTAAAAGTCCAGTTTTGAACCCCGGTTTTGAAATATTGACTTCAATATTGAATAGTGACTTCAGCAACATGGCTTTGTAGCTTGTTCCAGGCTCCAACAACCGTTTATGTAGAAAGTGCTTCCAGTTCTTAATTTTAAATGCACTTCCACTCAAGTTCAAGTTCAAGTTCACGTTTATTTGTCATTCCAGCCATATACAAGTATAAAGTGGAATGAAATATCGTTCCTCCTGGTCCACAGTGCAAATACAGACAGGACACTGACATAGACATTGTAGACAGGATACACATAGTGCAAAGTGCAAATAGTGCAAATTACTAAGGCAAAACATAATACAATATACACAACACACTGGGGGGATTTAAACCCTGTTTCTGGAATTGGGGCAGGTGCACGTAGATTCCAGGGTGTTGAGGAGCCTGAGAGCCTGCAGGAAGAAGCTGTAACAGAGTCTGGTGGAGCTAGCCCACATACTGCGATATCTTTTTCCAGATGGAAAAATAGTTTTCCATGTACAGTAGTTTCCATCTATGCTTTCTGGTTAACATTCCACTGCTGATCTTTAAGAGGCCCACTGGGTTTGCCAGTAACTTTAAGGATTTTGGATATTTAAATAAGGCTCCCGTGTAGTAAAAAGATGATTAATTTATTTTAGCCTTTCATAACACTTCCTTTAATCCCAGGAATGTCTTAGATAACTCTTCTCTGAACTGCCTCTATGCAAGTTATATATTTTTTTGTAATGTGCCTAAAATTGTATATATTAGGTGGTTCCATAGTGTAGTGGTTATTATTTCTGGTTTACGCGCAGAGGGTCTAGGGTTCGGGCACCAGTGGAACCAAGCACTTTTTAACTCAAAAACAGCTTGTTTAAGCCAGCAGCAATATCACCCTGCAACTCACAACTGGCAACCCATTGAAGCTCAGCAGGTGTGAGCCTGGTCAGTACCTGGATATGAGAGCTCCTGTGAAAAACTAAGGTTGCTGCAGGAAGAGGTGTTAGTGGGACCAGCAGGGGGCGCTCACCTTGCAGTCTGTGTGGGTTCTAATGCCCCAGGACAGTGACAGGGACACTATGCTATGAAAAGGCACCGTCCTTCAAATGAGACATAAAACCAAGCTCCTGACTGGCTGTGGTCATTAAAATCCTGGGGTGTTTCTCAAAAAGAGTAGGGGTGTTACCCTGGTGTCATGGACAGATTTCCCATTGGCCTTTACCAATCATTGGCTCCTAATAATCCCCATCTATTAAGTGGCTTCATCACTCAGTTCTCCTCCCCACTAATAGCTGGTGTGTGGTGTGTGTACTTGTGCACCTTGGCTGCTGTCGCATCATCCAGGTGGGGCTTCACATTGGTGGTGGTGGAGGTGAGTCCACATTACCTGTAAAGTGCTTTGATTGGAATGTCCAGAAAAGAGTGTAAGCAATTATTATTATATAAAAGTCTGTAAATTTATCATAAAAGTATTATCAACTGACAGTAAAATAAAACATAGTTTAATTGAGCAGAATAGAACCCCTTCTTAAAAAAAACATTTTGCAAATTTATCATCTTTTTATACTTTCTTTCCATTTGTTAAATATTATAAAACTTTAAAACTGTTGGGTTCAGTATTTCAGCATTCAAAAATTCCACAAAAGTCTATGTAATATTATAATTCTATCTGCATTAAAATCCTTAGATTATAAAGTTCTTTAATCATCTTTTTCTTTTAACACAATTTCAACACGGTTACATTTCCATATCAGCAACAATCCTACCTCATACATTTCACAAATAAATACTATAAATCTTTAAAATACTTATCTAACATATTTCAACCTCATTCCTGACTGTTTTATATATAGTGCAGTGTATTAAATGGACTAACGAGTCTATTAGTATCAGTTGCACAATCTTCACTAGGATGACAAATTCAATCAGGCAAACAAAACTGTCAAATGTAGCAACATACAAGTTCCTGATTCCAATTATCCTTCTAAAAGACTTGATGGAAGAGTGTGATTACTGGGAATAGCTGAAACCAACAATTATTAAAAGTAGGAAGTACTTCCATCGTAATAAATGTCAACTAAATTATGATTATTAGAAACATACTGTCCAAAATTACCAATGAATGTTTAATAAGTTTCTTTTTTATTCAGTTCTGGAGTATTACAATGGAATGAAATACAAAACTTAATTCTAGTGTTAATCTGTGAGCATTACACACATGTATAAAATGTAATCCTGTTTGTTTAAAGAAAATTGATTGTGTTTAGTGTGTTTATAAAGAAAGTAAGAAGCAGGAAAATAAGTTGTTATTGTTAGTCCTTAGTAATAAAAAAAATAACTGGAATAAGCTCTATGCCTTTTAATGTAGCAATAAGAGGTCAGGAAAATGTGCAGGATCAAAAAAACAGATATTTGTCCTAAAACATGATTTCTCTAAGCAGCTGAACTTCTAACCTGTGGCCTGTTTGGTTTCATTCTTTGCTGGCAGCACTCAGCTCTCTGGTGTTCAAGAGAGCCCAGGTGGACTGAAGAGTTTTTTTTCCTGATTGCCAGGAGCTATTTAAAAGAAAACAGGAACAGCTGCACTTCAGAGACTTCAGGAATAAAACAGACAAGACAATAGTGAAATGCACATTCCTCGAGTAATTAGCCACAGTACCTAAATTCTGCATGGTTGTGAGGTAGAAAGTAAAGATTGAACTTTGAAATATTGAAAGTATGAATCAAAACCCTTCCATTTTGTTCCCACTTTATCCAATACAGTGTCATTTGGGGTTGTCAGAGCCTATCCCAGCAAGCAACGGGATAATACATCCTGGACAGGAAATCAGTCCATTGCAGGGCAGACACATGCGTAAATGCTCACACCAGGGTCACTTTTTCAGGAAGACAGTTAACCTTCCAGAATGTCTTTGTGGGAGGAAACCCATATGAACCTGGGGAAGGACATAAAAACTCCATGCAAACGGCACCCCAGGTTTAGAATTGAACTCAGAGCCCCATCTTTGGGAGGCAGTGATGCTTACCACTGTGCCACTATCCCAGCTGTATTAAGAATTATTTATTTTTTTAATTTACAATGTTATAATTTCATAACCATCTACAAACCAGGCAACCCCACACAGGGGAGAATGAGAACTAGGACCACTGTTCTTCCAGTAAACTCTCTAGAAGTCAAAAAGGCAATTCAAAAGACTGGGCAAATACCTGGCAGAAACACCTCAATGTAGACAAGTTCAGATTATTAGATGCAGGTAGCAAAAACATAAACAAAAGGTAAAAAATATTTGTATTCAAAGGAGCTATTTATGAACGAAGATCTCATGACATATTTTAAATAACATGAGGAAACAATAGAAATGGTAAGCAGAAAGGAAGGATGTGCTTTTAAAGGCATATAATTCAGATCTGCATTAAAATGGTCAATCGCACCTGTCAGAAATCCAGTGGTCTTCTTCAGAGTTACCAGTGAAGCACGAGCCAGGGGGCACAAATGGAAACGACATGGAAGTGCATTTAAAATTGAGAACAGCAGGTACTGTTCTTGTTTGTGAAAAGGGGATGTGGAGGTCGGGAACAAATTACCCAACCACGCTGTTGAAGCGGATACGCAATTAAAAAAGGTGGATGAGATCCTTAGTTCCATTAGCTGCTAGCAACCAAAAGGGCTTGAGGAGCCAAAAGGTATTCCTCTTGTTGGTGAGCTTTCTTATGTTCAAGCAGCACGAGTTTGTGCGTTGTCCTACTGGAATGCTGTCATTCAGAATAAGCCAAAAGGAATGCACAGGAGAGGACCTTGTTTACCACAGGATTGTTAATCATTACAATTTGAGTTCTGTAATGATGACGCTCTCCTTTCCAGACTACAACACTTGGATCTCCCTGTCGATTGGTACACAACGATTTCCCTTAGTATTCTTACTATGTTCCACAATCGCTAACATCCATCAGGATAGTCTACACTAAACATTGATTCATCGCTAAAAGAGGACTTTATTCTATTGCTGGCAAGTCCAGCTCACACCACCTCATTCTGTTGCATCAATGGACACTGGAACCCTGTGTGGTCATCTGGCCAGCAGATCTGTTTAGCTGTACCCTGACAGCTGGACTACAGAGGCTAAACTGATGGATTGTTGCCTCCTAGTGTTTCTGATGCAAAAACTAGAACAAAGACAGAGCACGGTCATGTGTTTTGGTATCACCCTGATTGTAGTTCAGGTGGGCAGCTGCATCAGCAGGCGTAGGTTGCAAATGAACAAATAATAGGTTAATTCCATGCTGAAAAGCGAAGAAAGAAAACACAACGTTTTGGCTGTGGAGCCTTCTTCGGGCGTGAGCGAGTCACCCTGATTGTGGTTTGTTATTGCTACAATGATTGGCTTTAACGTCTTGCCAGGTTACAAATTGCTGGTTGTGAATATCCCATAGAGGAAGAGTTTTATAATTTATTTCAGCCTCCAACATACGACTAGAATGAAAGCCGTGACTTTCACTAGGTTTGGCATTCATCAGGTTAGAGCACCTCATCACCTGTGCCCAGTGAGCTCTTTCAACAATTAGTTGATTCTCTGTTTAAATACAGGGCAGTCACAAACAATCCATTTATCAAAATGATGCCAGAATCTTTCAACCAATACTTCATTCTTCTAAAATATACTTGTGAATGTGAAAGAAATCTTTTCAGCTTAGCAACAGAGAAAATATTCTTAAATGCATAATGAAAGCAAAAGAAAATCTATATTTTTCTACAAAAATGAACTTGGATGATTATAGATACTTAAAGTTTTTAAAAATATTTGGGTGTTGTGAAAACCTCAGAATTCTACACATCTTTTCTGATTATTTCCAGTGTATTTTTGCAATTTTCATATTTTCATGTGCTGTCTGTTTCTTTTTTTTTCCTTTACAGATTAAACTTCAGAACAGAAATACAAATGAAAAAATTGAATTCCCTGTGCTTCGATACTTGGGTGACAAGGAAGAAAACCTTGTGCTAGAACTGCCTGTGATAAGGAAAGACGGTGATTTACTAAAAGGTACAGTTTACATTTTAGTGCAGATTTTTACTTTTTAATTTTTGGTGTTGCCTATTATAGGTTACAAACATTATCCATAATGAATTTGAAATTGTTGTTCTTGTTATAATATTTTACAGTGAAAGACTACACTGTGATTGTTACTTCTGGACCTGCCTCTGAGTATGAAACAGAACCAGACGTATTTGTCACTCTTTGGGGGTCACTGGGGGTCACAGGCAAAAGACAACTGCCAAGAAGAAGAGGCAGTTCTCATTTTAACAAAGAAAAGGTATTTGAGGAGAATCACTCAAATATTAAGATACAGACAAAGACAAATAAGAAGATTTGGGCCGTTGGCCAAAATGAGAAACTGAGCCTTCTTCCATCAGTGTTTTGTTTTTTTAGTTCAAGGCAATTCATTACTTTAAGAAAAGAGACATCTCTTTCAAGTCCTGCAAAGAAATACACCACAGAACTACAGCGCCCTCTAAAATATTGGGAGAGTAAAGACAGAATGATTAGTTTTGCTTCACAGGCAAGCAATTTGAGTATCATGTGGTCATCAAATAATCTTGGCTGATTATTATGTATATATCTTATAATTTGAGAACAAAACCATACTAGTTCAACCCTGTGATTTAATATGTCAGGTATTGGGAAACATTCACTTTAAGTAAATTTCAGTGTAAAAAAAAGTGTGCAACCCAAGTCACCAAGGTCCTTGTGTAATTTTTTGAGATGTGTTCAGAACCCACTGTGAATTCTTGCCTATTCAAGGGGTGTTCTAACTTCAGTTTTGGCATCAACCAATAAGTTCAAAACATTTTCTTTTACTTAAGAATGTGAGTTCGTTTCAGAGATGGCCACGCATACCCAGGCCATAACATTACCTCTACCAGGCTTCAGAGAGGAGGCAGGTCTCCACTGCACATCCAAAATTCCTTTTCCTTTTCACACTTGAATCTTTTCCTCACTTTTGTAAAGATTTATCTTGTTCTCATCTGTCCATTAAACATAGTTTCAGAACTGCCTCTTCACTTGCACTTCAGAGGAAATTTTAATCCGTTTTTTTCTGTTCTTGGTGCTGATAAGAGGTTCACAACTTATACTGTCTCATTCTTCGGCAAACTGTGGACTTTTGTACTTTCACCCCAGCAATTAGAAGGTTGTTGGTGATTTCACACCCAGTTGTTTTGGACTTTCCTTGGAAGCTCTGATATTTTTTTCTGTCATCGACTGCAGAGACTTGGCTAACCAAGTCCTTTCCTATTGGTAGTTATACCTGTGGTTGCCTTTCTTCTTCAGTATACAGTATATCAAATTGTTGATTTATGTATGCACAATTTCTTGTGCTGTGGTTCTGATTGAATTTTCTTTTCTTTCAGCTTCAAAATTGCCTGTGTACTTTAACAGAAAATGCTTTGATTTTCTTTTTGACTTTTGATATTGACTGCCAAACACTGAAGTCAAAGCAAGACTGGTTGATAGCTTGTTCGCATCTCTTTTGTAAACCTAATTACCCAACAACACACATTTGAACAACAATAAACACTGACAAACATGACAGCCATTTGACCCAAAACGTTTGTTTCTTCAAAATAAACAGGTTTAAGATGAACAATTTGTTTAATTGACCCAAGATATAGAATTGAATTTATTTATTCATGATAAACATTAATTTATTAGAGCTCAAAATGAAAATCCAGTTTTAACTTCACTTCATTTATAATTCTACTTTCAGAAAAAAATGTGTTTAAAGTGGGTGCTCTTGTATTCACTATATGATTATTAATGCTTTACCGTTTCATGTTTTAGGTTTTCCCATTTTCAAATTCTTGAACTCAAATATGAATGATTTACGAACATGCAAAGTAGTCTGCACTGATTTGTTCTTTACATTCCCAGTAAAGGACCTACTCAAGCTAAGCTAGCTCTTCATAATAAATGCTGTTAGCATGACAACCACACTTACATTGTTTACTGGCAGAAACTGTATTGTACACACATCTTATTGTTTATGATAAACTGGTAATTGCCATTCACATTTTGTTTTCAGGAGAGGAAAGAGGAAAGCTATCATTTAATAATTGAATTAGATAATGGTATGGTACAGTGATCAGAATAGCTGGGACCCTGGGATCAATTCCTAATAATAATAATAAAATTTAAAATTTTATTATTATATAAAATATAAATTTAAAGGTTGGTATTTTATCTGAAGGCACATTTTAGAGACACAATGCTGTTTCTAAAATGTCATATTAAAAGTTCCCTATGAAAAAATACAGTGTAATCATCCTAATCCTGAAATTTTAATAATTAATTATGCAATTCTGGATTGAATATGATTATGAAATACCCATTGAAGATAACAGTGCTCTCATCCCCATGATTTTCACTGATTGTTGCCTTCTGAGTTGAAATGACAGAACATGTGATAACAGAAATACTGTATGTGTTTGCATACAGTACTTCTATCTCACCACCACAAATGTCAGTTATGCCTTAACTTCACTGGTTATCTCTCTGGTAGTACAAATGTCAGTCATGCCTTAACTTCTCTGGTAGTTGATTAATTAGATTGAGTAGAAGATTATTCCTCTGGTCCTTGTGCAATGTTTCATGCAGTCTGTGACACAATGTTTGAATGCATGTGCTCATGCTAATGGCAGACAGAGTTAGTATTGATAGGGATTTCAACACTTTACGATTAAGATTACTTTGTTGGCCATATACAATTTCTTGTATGAAGAATTTGTCTTTTTGCATACCCCATCTTGCTCTCAACTTGCTCTGCCATGAGACACACAAACAGGGAGAGAAGCTTGGGGTCAGGGCGCAGGGTCAGACATTTATACAGCACCCCTGGAGCAGTTGGGGTGAAGGGCCTTGCTCAGGGGCCCATCAGAGTAGGATTCCCCTGCCGGCCACGGGGTATGAACCGGCAACCTTCCAGCCACAGGCACAGATCCTTAGCCACAGAGCCACCGTACCATGCTAACTGTACATAGGGTGTTTACTACTGTAATTTGAATGTAGGATGTGACCCAGCCCCCACATTACTTGGAGATGTCCTTGTGAGAGCAAAATGTTTTCAAATAAAGAAAAATAGCACAGTTAAAACTTTTTGAATAAACCTAACTTCAACATATATCTAATACATTTATTTTTTTGTTTTTGGTGCTGCATGTATACACTGTTTCATTATAATGTTAAATTATACATAGGCAAATATGCTGTAGTGTATAAGTCTATACACTTAAACACTACAATAGCAACATTCCAACAAATTGCTAGGAATCCTATTTTTTTTACTTTTTGATCCCTTATCTTATATACAGTAGACTGAAATTCCTCTCCCTCTGTTTAAATTGCTTGGTTTAACAAGAGCACTGTGGTGCAGGATTTATCTTATAAGACTTGTTGAATATGCTTGAGTAGGGAGCTCCATTAGCATTTGCAGGCTGTACAAGTAAAGGGTTCCATGCTGAAAGGTAAAGAAAAGAAACTACATTTTGGCTGTGGACCCTACACACCTGAAAAAGACTCCACAACCCAAATGTAGTGTTTTTTTTATCTTTCACCATTTAATCAAATTTGTCCTATTCGTTTGTTCATGAATATGACCAGTTATTGATTTCCAGGTGTATGTGTTCCAAGTGGAAGCAGTGGATATTGGACTCTTGGAAGAAGTGGAGGTGGAAAAGGGACGAGGTTCAGACTGGTACCTCAAGCAGATCGTAGTGAAGGAAGGGGTCTACGTGGAGAAAGAGGCTGTCTGTGTGACAAAGACATGGCTGGACAACAGAAAAAGAAATCTAAAATTACCTTTAAATGGTGAGTGTTAAGACTCTTTCTGAAAGCTTTAAAATATATATTATTTTATATATATATATATTCTTCTTAGGTTTCTACCAACAGAGTTGATGTAAAACAACACTTTTTAAAAAATATGTCTAAAACAAATAAGTAAAGGTTTATTCCATGTTGAAGAAGGCTCCACGGCCGAAACATTGTGTTTCTTTTCTTCTCTTTTCAACACAAAATAAACCTTTACTTGTTCCTTTACAGCCTACGCATGCTGACGCAGCTGCCTTCTGGAATTGTCTAAAATGAAGTTTGGTTCTTTTTTTTAGTTTCTGGTGTGAAATGTTGATAAAACTTCAACAAATATTAAAGGTTGATATTTATAAATGCTGACATTGATATTTTTTATCCAGAACAAAAGGATACAATGGGCAATAGAAATAAGGTACACCCCACAAAATTCGTTGATGAATTTGAGAGACAAGGTTACCTGGTTGAGGCTGATTCATTAAAAGTAAATCTTAACCACAATGGAGTAACATTTACAGCAGGACTTTGAAAAAGAGTAAGATGAGGACTGAAGGACTGCTTTTCTCAATGACAATACTAGTCTGACCACCCTGAAGAGATTTTCTTTTCTTATTACTTTTAGTTATGTAATGCCTGAATAACCCTTCCCCGTTATTCTGCAGAAAATGACAAAATGATGTATGCAAAGGAGAATGATAAGTAGAGATAATGACCTGAATTGTATTCATAACTTATTCACGCAGATATGACAAATGCTTACTACACCATAAAATGACTAAAAAACCCATTGAGTACTAAATACTGAAGGTGAAGAGAACAGAAATTACCACATCAGGAGAAGTGATATGAATCAGTGGTATTTACAAAGCTACATACTGTACATACAAAGCTGTCAATTATGTTTTACCAAGTGGTACAGTATATGTTCATACTCTCAGCTCTAACCCACAAATTCCTTTATGTGTATAACTTTGGGTGGGGTCCATAGAAAAGATCCTTAAGTCTTTCATATTTTGACAGTGAAATTTGGGATTCTTTACGGAGTGCTATAGAGTGATGTTTTGAAATGAGTTTCTTCTCTCCAGAGAGCAAAGCAGTGGCATAAATGGCATAAAAAAGGTTTTTTTAAACATCGGGATAACTTTTGTGTTACCATGAATGTTGTTTTTAGGAGTAGAGTTTTGGACAGATACCTAAACACAAAATAAAAGAAAGACATCCATGGTGCTAGAATATTTGTAGCACTAACACAGTGCAGGTTCCACATGCCACAATGTGTCTGTCTTACTCATTCAGCAGGCACGGAGCTCAATCAAATTTAGATCAAACTCTTTCAAGCAGATGCACAGATCTAACTCTGCAAATTAAAAATGAGGTTTTGATTCTAAGATGAGGAATGTGAAATAGCTTGCGATTCCAATTTATACAGTAGGTCTTTGTGTTCCACAATCTGCGAGAATTTGATGAAACCTGTGTCATGTATGGGATCCCCTAAATGCAAGATAATTTCAGTTTTTGTAGCCAACTACAGCACCTAGCAATTTTAAAAGGTGCTATAACCCTTTTTTTCACAAAACACATTCTTTAAATTGCCCAGAACCTGTAATCCTTCCTCGGACCGGACAGGACACCCATCCTACACAGTATCTCATTTTACTTCAGTCTACCTAGTCTTTAATCACGCAGAACCCATGACACAATCTATCCACAAGAGACACTTACTCATAGAGCACTACGAGAACCCCATGGACCCCAGTTACAAAACCAATGTTTCAATGGAAAGTCCAGCAGAATTATTTTCCAGAACCAGCTCTGGTTGGTGTCCTGGAGTGTCTCCTTCTGCCACAGCAGAGCAACTCCATGTACTGTAGTCTTAGGCATAATCTCTGGTCTTAGCTGTCCTGAACAATGTGTTCCCTCATGTTCATCCCAGGTAGGTGGGAGAGGAAGATGATGCCAGAGCGTTCTTCAGCTGCTCTCTTTAGAGTCTCTGGTGTCTGAGTCCATCGCTGTAATCTATGTCTCTCTGTCTGCTCTCTTCCTTTGCTTACTCTCCTTGAGATCTCCTGACTGGGGCATTCTGAAGCTCCCTTAACCAGGGTTCATGACTCATTCCCAGGGGGGTGGAAGTGTCTCGTTGATACCTTGGGTGTGAGCACAGTTACTGTAACTGCTCAGGGCCCACTGAGAAACAGGTTGCAGACAGATGGCCCAGGTGTAATGAAGAATTATGTATTCGCACCCTGTTCCAGACATGCACTTTTAGTCCAAGGCCCATTCAGACCTGTCTCGCCATCCCACATCACCTTCGAACTGTGGTAATTAATAAGTGTCTGCCCAAGGACCTGAAATCAAAGACAAGGGAGTCCAAATATACCATGCTTACAGAGGCACTGACCAATCTATGCAGTTTAAGATCACCATAGCCCCAGACCCTTTGTCCAACACCCATGTTACATGCAGCATTGAAGAGCTACAGTGATTATTTTTCTTATGCTCTCTTCCTCTCTCTCTTATTACACAGCTGTGCACGTTTTAGACACAATCAGATGTTTAAATGTAACAGTATACTCAAAGCTTTATTGATTTGTTATTAGTTCAGCATATTTTAAGAGGAGACTTGTCATTTAGCAATCCACAGTGATCAGAATCTTCAAAATACATGATTACAATAACTCAAGGTGAACTACTGTATACACAAGTAGAGAAGCTCATATTAAAATGTATATGCCATATTACCTTATTTTTCCATGAATATCTTATGTTCTTTTCTACACCTTCATAAGCATGAAAGGCTGCTTTGTTTAACTGTATTGACTGCGAGTTAATACAAAATGGCTAAAAGTTTAGTAGATGATCACTGTAGACATGTAAAGATGGAAAATTGAAATCATTTCCAAAAGATATTTGTTGTGTTTTTACTAACTCTCAGTATATATGCTATTGCTGTCATCATGTGCTAAATAGCTTTATCTGCTGTAAATCAATATCAGCCCTGCAGGGCTTGTATGCTAATTTTATATGCATATTTCTGAGTTTAATAATTCAAATAAGTACAATTTTAGAGACAGTGCATACTGCATGCAATTCCAGTTTTTCCTAAATTTTTACAAGATTTTTATAATATTAAAGGCAATATGAACAACAAAAATGTTGTGTGGGGTATATATACGGCACACATGTAGTATTCTATCCAATAATGCTCAATACCTCATCTATCATGTACTATTAACCTAATATCTTAATTTGTCATATCAGGCTGTAAGTACGTACTGTAAATGATTTTACAGGCCAATAAATATCTCAAGTTTCTGGGCTGAAACTAGGTGAATCTTTAGGGCTTAGGTCAGGAGTCTTCAACACCAGTTCTGAGAAGTCCCTGGTAAGCACGTTTTCTAAGTCACTATTAAATTTAGGTTCTAAAGACCTCGAGATCTCTAGTTGCCTATTAATTGACCAATTAATTTACTAAACTGATCAAACCCGAAGTGTTCAAAGCCTTAACAATCTGATGATTTAAGAGTGACCTGCTAGTATTCGAAGGACTACAAAATATTTGTTTATTTTTTTTCCATCTCAAGCAAACAACATTTTAATATAGGTTTTCTGGCTAGGTTTCAGTGTAAATGTATTTGACAACTGTTAATGTTCCATTCAGAACATTAATTCAGAAGTCTAAACTGTTTTGTACAATACTTTTTTTCAAAACAGACTTTCAAGTGAACACCATTATGCCACTAACTGGTCTTGGTGAGAAGGAAATGAAATCAGGTATGTATTGAAAAGGGTTATATTTACATTTCTTATCATTTATGCTAGTTAAATTTGTTTTGCTTTAAAAACATCCCTGTAATGTGAATGAAACCACTTATTTTCCAGCACATTTTGACAATTTTGGATTGCCTTCATCTGGATAAGTAGTTCTTCCACCTTGATTACGCTCTATTATATCATACAAAATCAGTATTTCTGTTTTCAAAAACATGACATACAGGAGGTTTAGCAATGAATAGAAAAGTAAAGCAATATTCAGGGATTCACAGGAAACATTCAATGCTTAATCTCTTGGAATTATTGCTGAGGAGAAAGGGACATGCCATAACTGAGAATTCCATTCATCTCTTTAGGTATTCAGTCAAGAGCAGCATCATTTTCATTTGTAATTTGAAGACGTAATTCAGTTATGGGTTTCTTTCATTTGTTGCTACTTTTTGAACATCTCAATAACCTTATTCCTTAAGGTATAAAATGAAATGTTTAGGCATACACATGAAATCCACTGTATCTGAAGGATCGTAAAACACGGTATGGAATTTGACTGGCTTTACTCTGTATTGAGCTTGTATCTACCCCACCCCCCCACCCCCCGTGTTTGTGTGGGTGTTCTCACAACTGGCATTCGAGTTGGGTTTCTTTTGGTGTCTCAGAGTCACGTTGACTTCTCAGAATAGTTCCTTTCCCCTTGAACCTATGATAGACTGGTGTTCCATCTAGGGAATGGAATATACATTACATGTGCTCCCAGGCTTGCCTTTTGCCCTGTGCTTTCAGAATAGCATCCATCTTGCTGTAGCTATCCAGGAAAAGTGGATTACTGATAATGTATGGATGAACAATATTACCATTTCAAATATTGAATTTAATATTGCATATCATAGTTATGAACCACTATAATTATGATTAAACGGTTGTTAAAATATTATTGTTCTGAGTTCATGCAATTCCTTATTTTGTTTTCAGAGATGTCATATTCTCTTCAACAGCTTGGGATCTTCTCTGACAATTGTTTTCACTTGATAGAGCATTCTGTGCTCTCTCTCTCTCCCATTTGCTCTCCTTCTGATATATAATGTATTCAATAAATTAACGTACAACTGAGGTGTGAAGCATATTAACAGCAACTGAAACAGAGTTCATAAATAAATTAACGTGCTTCCAAGACCTTTACAAAGACTTACTTACAGCATAAAACATACTGTTTGTTTTATGCTGAGATGTGCTTACAAATTAGACGCTTAACAGTTAGCCTTTGTCCAGAAGCAAATTACATTTTTATACAAACCAAAAATGCATGTCCATATTCTGCTCAATTTCTTGTAAACATTCATTCTGTATTATCTGAAAAGTCATTGTAAACTTTCGTGCAGATGGATTGTGGTGTGTTTATCCAGTAACACCATTGGAAGAAAAGGTTGGAAATCCATCCCTTTTTAGTTGTTTAGTAATGATACTGTATGGGTCAAAGGGAAAGTCAAAACCTCTTTTTTGGAAACCAAAGGAGTCTTATTCCATTGAAGATCCAACAGTTTATGAAGTGAGTATTTTTTTTCAATGTGTTAAATAATGGCTATTACCCACATTACATTAAACACTGTGTAGATCAATGCAAGTGCTTCTACTTTTTTAAATGAACCTAGCTATTTTTACTATGTGAATGCTTTTCAGTTGAAAAAAGCCTGAACAGCTACTGTATAAGTATGAACTGATTTCAGATTTTCTTCCAGTGGTTTATGACATTAGTTAAAATGGACTAGGGCACAAAATTAATAATCATTGTCCCTAGAATAACCAACACGTTTAAAGAAAAAAAAAGTTATTACTGTATGTGAGTGACTACCATTGTCTGCTTATTATGAAAAGTTTCTTAAAATTTAAATTTCTTTCTTTAAATTTAAATATTTTAGTATAATTATAAAAATTCACAGTTTTGCTTAAAGCACATTACCTTGAAACGCATGCTCATGTGCTTATGTTCCAACTTTACTACTAAATGGTAAAGTTTTTCAACATCAATCCTATAAATACTAACTGTCAGAAGTAGCAATACCTTAATTAACATTATAATACTTTCAATGATGGGAAAAACTTTTTTTCCAATTTTTCATGCACAGCAACATTTCCCGCTAGTTTTCTGAAAGTTAATGTTTGAAGTCTGCGTAACTAACGCTTTAGGCATAGTCTGTGATAAAAAGAAGCTCAATAAACATGTCACTGAAGTATAATTTAGAAAGAAATAACTCTGAAAGTCAGCCTCTTTAAAATATATTTTCAGATTGAACTTCAGGAAGACCTGGGTGAGATCTATAAAGTCCGTCTGGGGCTTAACAGTTCAACGAATAAGACAGCCCAGGTGTCTATCTGCCCTTTCAGGATGCAGAATGCAGACACTCTGGACTCATTTATCTGTTGTGTAAATGAAACACTTCCCTTAAGTTCCAGTGGAGACAGATGGCTTGAAGTCCCAGTGGAGTGGCCATTAAGGCCATCCCTGCGTGGTAGGTGTTATTAATATTTTGTGATAGGGATAACGCATCTTAATTCAAAATGTAAGGTTAATTCATCTTCAGTGTAAATGAGCATTACAGATACTTGTAATGTATTCTCTTGAAGGTAATTATTTCAAATTCACTATCCTACCAGTGTCAGTCTCAACTGAGTGCATTTACTGGCACCAAAAAAAATATATATATACAACTAAACTCTTGGGGAAATAATACCCAATTTCAAATCCAAATGGAGAGCTTTCGACCAGAAGGTGGCACTTTTTCCGTTGGTCCAGTCTTTCCCAAAAAATCCTCTGGTGACACGACATTTTTGAAGGAAGTACCATCCTTCACATAAGACTAAACCAAGATCTTGACTACTTGGTCATGAAATATCCCTGCCTCTGTTTGTAAGAGTAGTGGTGTTAAACCTATTTTCCAGAATAAATTCAGTTATGCTTTAATTCAGCTGTTGAAGTAATTACTTACTTCTCCACCTTTACTGATGTGTAGTACAGCTGCAGACACATAATGTCTACAGCACATTGCCCAGAAAATGCAGAGATGCACTGCATCGGATGATTCAGCCAGGAGTTTTACCTCAGTGGTGGATGGTTAATGTAGCCCCTTATATGTTTAGATCTTTGGGATCCTTCAGGATGGAAAGTGCTATATCGATGCAAGGAATTATTGATTCTGCTTGGTTTCAAGCCACCTCATTTAAAATATTACAACAGTATATTCTTAGCAAATATTACCAAAATTAGATCTTTTCTCTCTTTATTTAGATTGGATTATAAGACAAGACTATTTATAGTTACATTTTACACAAAAAAGCAGCTTTAAGATTACTATTAACTCTTGCATTGGCATCTCTGTATTAGCCACTAGTGAGAAATAAGATTAATTTGAAAATCCTTTTGCTTGCGTATTAAGTACTAGACAGAATGGCACCAGAGTACTTTTCAGAATTGTCTGGTTATCAACCTCTGCATGCTTTTAGGTCAAATGATCATGGCCTTTTCTGTGTTCTTTACAGGCTTAGAAGGAAAGGACAAGTGGCTTGTTTTGTTTGGTCTCTACATTTATACAGTAAATACAAATTTGGACATTTGTGTGCCTGCACAAGCTAAAAACAGGTAGAGAATCCAAAATGTACTACATAGGAAGTGGAGCTGCTAATGAATACAGTAGTTGCCTGTATTGTGTGCTTAAAGGTGATATGCAGTATATACTGTATATTTCAGTATACATGTCTTGGTTAGAAAGAATTGGCATTGATGAGTGCATTTCAAACCACAATGGAAGTAAAATGTACACGTGTCAAAACTTTCAATTTACGTAATAAAATAGGCAAAATTTCCAGGTCTGCATGGCACCATATTGCTATCATTATCTGCAATTCAGAACGAGGCAACAAAATTTACAGTGAGGTGAATTGGCCCTATTACTGTACATTGTAAACAGGCAGGCCTGTGAATACATCAGTTTTAATCTAATAGAAGTATTGCTCTTGACTTCACAACTCTGCATGCAGATCACGTTGGAACATTTCTGCACCTTTACTTATTCGCTCATACATAGTATTACATTAGTCATTATGGTAACTAGTGAGCAGGAAGGGCTGGTTTAAGTCACAATTCTCACAAGCTCAAACTCTCGCTCTCCACTGTGGTGAGACCAACGGTTTGGGCACCACGGCAGCCAAGCTTTTCACAATGTTCATGATTTTGTGCTTAATTCAGAATTTGTCAAATTTTGTGATACTGTCAAATCATGTATTTTGTTACCGAGATTTAACAACCGGTCTGAGAAGATGGGGCTACAGTTCCTCTTTTAATCTGTATCTTTTGAGAATGTATTCATTTTGTGGAGTCATGTGAATAAAATCTGGATATTAATGTTTCTCAGGCTATAATCCATCCGTAGTTTTCCTGTGTGCAAGAAGATCTCCCTTGTTCTGATCAATCACATGTGTTGAAACACACCCATTTCTAAAAAGGATCTCAATATCTTCCATCAGGTTTTTATCTTTACAAAATAGCATGAGAGGACACCTAACAAGCAAAAGTATTACCACACAGATTTTGTTAACCTCCTCGCTTCTTTCAGTACCACTGACATCTATATACATTGACTTGAATTTCCATCATGTGTGAATTCAGACATTTGTTCTAAGCACATTTAGTCATTTCAAATTGTGGTTAATGAAAGCAACATTTCATTTCACGCTCCTTATTTTAAATAAGATGCCTCTGATCATTTAAGAACCTTTTGTAAATGAGACCATTAGAATACAATTAGCAAGGTTTCAAGCCTCTTGTCAATGATGAAGACAAACAGGATGTGTTCCCATTTATTAGTGTCTGGGTGTAGATCCTATCTGAGACATCACATAGCTCTGTTATTTCCCCATTTTCTGTAAACGCTGTCACTTAAACATGTAGTAATTTAATCAATCAATAAGAGAATTATATATTTAAATAAGAGAAATGGATGCAGCAGTGTTTGCTAAGTTTGTAGTTGGGTGAAGTGAGACATAGCGTTCCACAGAAGAACTACAAAACTGAACATCATTGGTTGGAATTCCATAAATCATATGACAGCTGGGTATTAAAACCTATGTACTGGAGAATTTCATTTGTCTATTATTCATTTCCTCAACTAATGGTAAATGAGGCCATTTTCAGTTTGCATTTTCAGTCATGGTGCATTCCCTTTCACGTGTTTATTAAGGCCTTTGAAATGCTAAAAATGTGCAACTCAGTGTTTTACATGGTGTTGCAGTTATTGGCTTGGGAGCTCAGTTGCACACTGCTGTCAGATCAAATGCTGTTATTTCAGTGAATAAAACAATATATATTTTCTGTCTTTTGCAGTTGCTGTATATCATACAACACTGTTCTCCAGTGACTTCTACAAGATCAGGCAGCCACCACAGGTTGCTCTCTGTGTGTATGGTGACCATGGAGACACAGGAGAGAGGCCTCTTCTCTGGCCTTTGCACACACAGGACCAGAAAGATGGCACAAAGGTACATCGCAGTGGTGAAAAATGGTACCACTGGTCAAGTCATGTTGCAGAATCCAGCTACTGCACCTTTAATGAAAACATACATTTTATATTTTAGCATTCATGGTCTGCTTATGTTCACATACAGTATGTGATAAGCAGAGTGTTTTCTTCCCCCCACCCGAACGCATGCCTGTCAGCTTTGGTTGGCTTCTCAACATTGTTCGCCTGGGTTTTATCCTCATAAGAAATACAGTGCAGCTCACCATCTCAATATTTATCCCTGAGTGGCTTTTGTGCATCTGTCTTTTACAGTGAGTTATTGTTACGTGAATGCAAGGATCTTTGTTTCATTTTGTGTACCTGCAATACATTGCCAACTAATCTTTCATGTGTTGCTGTATCTAACTATTTCAGAAAACAAATCTTTCAAATTCATAGCTGAAAGAGAGGAAATTATCTAAGTAAATATTTCACAGTTTTCCTGTCCATAGAATCCATAATGTCTTGCCAGGGGAATACCAGGGAACCAGCTCTGAGACATATGCTAAGAACAAGTTTCATGATCATGGCACATACTGTAGCAAGTGGAAAGCCACAGACAGCAAAGAACCATGGACAACAGAAAAGTGAACATTATGATGAATGAATGAAAAAAAAACAAGTCTTAGAGGGTGTAACTAATGGGTACCACAGGGGTCTATACTAGGGCCCCTGCTCTTTGTAATTCATATCAATTATTACATATTAGTACAATTAGTAAACTAGTCAAGATTCCAGATGCTAGAAAATAGGAAGATCTGCATATACTATAGAGGCAGAAAATGTAATTCAAGAAGAAATATTCATGACTTAATTTGTTAATTGTTTTAGACCAAGAAGATTCTAGACAACAGCGGTCATTTCTTTACAAAAAGGATTATGGAAGAAGCTACCCAACCATGTTATTGAGAACAATAGCCAGGCTGGATTAGACCTGTGGATTTCTTCTAATTTACAAGGAGGCTAGATGGGCAGAATGGCCTCCTCTTATTTGTAACTTTTCTTATTTGCATTGTAATTTTAAATTACAATGCAATTGGAGGAATAAGAATGAAAAGTTGCGAAAAGCCACTTATAGTTTAACCATATAAATTCTAATCCAAAAACTGAATTTGTATAAAATACTTTCATTGAAAAGTGGATTACCATTGTATGCTTTTTTTCTTTCTTTGCACATTGCTGTACTGCCTTTGTACAGTATTTCCATTGCGTAATAACACATACAGTACTATTTGCTTTCCAGAATAGTCAATCAGTAGAAAGATAAGTATTTGAAGAGCAATTCTTATGCTCAGTTCATATTTTTGTATTTCAATTCATTTTTTTAAGGCGTTTACTTTTGAAATTGTAGCTGTGGAACTGGGTGACTTGAGCAAGATTGTGCTAACTGTGAGCAGTAAAATGAGTAAGTATTTACATTTGTTAGTTCAAAAATATCTTATAAATCTGATTAGCAGAAACCAAAAAGATAGTGTATACTGTAGGTTGCCTCTCAAAAAAAAAATCAAAATAATACACTTCCTATAAAAGGAAAAGTAGCCTATCACAATTCTTCTGCTTTATTATAATATTATACTTAGATTAATGCAGATATGTGTAGCTGTCACCAATTACTAAGTATCCTCAAAATATTAAGCACATCTTTTATTGTTAAGAAAAAAGTCTAAAAGCATATGAGTGAATGTCTGCTTATTTTCTTGGACATTTTGTAAGCCTCCACTTTATGTATTACTGATTGTGCCCTGAAATGTAATCTAAAGGTAGGACATCTATATTTCATGTATAAGCTTGCTGTGGGTGAAAATGCTGACTGGTTATTGAAAGAAACCTATTTGCTCTTTAAGTAAAGTGAATTTTGAGAGTACTGCTCAAAGACTGCAATCTATCCATTGTACATTGCTAAGATACCGTGCAACTACAATGTGAAGGTGAAATTTTACATTTCAATATGTTATTTTAATAATGCATCATTTTTACATAATGTTTTTATAATGTCCGTTTCCCAAATCCGTAATGTATGAAACATTTGAGAATATGACCATGAACATTTTCACACCACAAAGTATGTGTATTGTAAAGGTTATTCCATGCTGACCTTTACAAATCTTTACTTGTTCCTTTGCAGCCAATGCATGCTGACACAGCTACTTACTTGAACTATGTGTATTGTAATCAGTTTAACACCACACTAAATAAATTATTTCACTAAACTGTATATTAAAAGCATAGGTACAGTAATATAAAATTAAACATCTGATAGCAGTTATCAAATTACAATTTAATTAGAACCATTAAGCTTCCTTTAGTGGCTAATGGCTGCATGTTTTTTCTAGGTGTTTCAGTACATGTAGATGAAATACACCTAAGGGACAAAGCGGACAAAGAAAAACTCTATGTATTTAATGTGAATGAGTAAGTATCTTTAATGATCTTGTGGTGGACCTAATTTAGTTTGTCTCCATAGACAGGCTGCAGTCATAAAGAGACTATTTAATACAATGATGATAAGCTTATTGTATTAAATGCAATGAATTCCAAAGTACAGGACACTACAATTTCAATTCTATTTCATGCTTTATTGCTGTATCAACAAAGTTGCTCTAGTGCAAGACTGCTAATGGCCCAGATAAAAATCAAAACACAACAAGTACAGTGTGATACTTACACATACTGTACAACATATTGAGCTGCCTTAATGGCCTCTAGATAGGTACTGTTTTGGAACTGAACTAAATGTTCCAAAGAGAGAAGTTTAAAAAAAGAGCTGGAGAGATGGAAGGGGTCTGTGGACCCTACCAAGAACAGAACAAATGTGTTCATATCACTTAGGCAGACATCAAGACAAACACCACCAATGCCTGTAATATTTGTGTAAACAGGCACTGGGATCTACCCCGAAACCAGGAAACACCAAGAATAAAATGAAATTACTGAAAACGACAGAATGATTGATGAGAGTAATCACAAATGCAAGATGCAAGGTTTTCTACGTGTAGCAAAGCAAATCCCATCTCACGCAGTGGAAGCTGGTTCACCAACAAACAAACACAGAGGTTCGACAGAGAACTAGTGACACGAAAAACAGGTGGTGGACCAAGGCAGTAGCAATTCAACAGAAATAAAAGAAATAAATGATATCTGTGGTTCCTTTACTGCCACAAAGACTGGCTTTTAGACCCACATACTTATGGGCCAGTCCCCTTGCAACTTAAGCAAGGAGGAAAACTGCTAGGAAAGTGAGGCCATACTGTAACTGCCCTTTGGAAGGGCTACAGAATCACAATAGCCATGTGCCCAATAACATTGCAAGTGCTTCATATTTCCCTATTCTTGTTTCCTTTCTGATAACAATCATTGCAATTCACACTGTCCGAGTATGCTCCCTTTGATCACAAATATTTAAAGACTCAGTGCCTTAATGATACATGTATGACATTTTTGCTAATATTGTGTGAGATTACACAGATTAAGGGCCATGTCTCCAGTGCATGTTTCTGACAAAATTGTCTGACCTGTTTGCTTTTGGAGATATTGCTAATCCTTCTGTGTCGACTAAAATGTCTTGGAAATTGCTTATCTTCACAACAGGTGGAATCTACAGTATTTAAGAGTATTTGGCAAGTTCTAAAACAATTTGGGGATCAATATACGAAGAACAATTATTTCTGGAAGTTGGGACAACACTTAAATTACACAAAAGGATATATATTTTGTTAGTTGTAGGACTGCAGCTTTGATTTATTTCCTTTTAGAAACAAAAGCAAAAATATTGTACTTTTTTATTTTTAGGCTTATACAAGAAAATATTTAAAGGTTATTTTCTGGGCTCACCAAAAGTGGTTTGAGCTTCTTATTTTTGTGTGTTTATATTTTGTTCATGGTGAGAGACATGATAATAAAAAGGTTCCTATGTAAAACGTAAGGCTTATGTTATATTTCACAATGCTATGCTGTTTAAGCAATAATGTTGCACATTGTTTCTAGTAGATACGGTATCTGTTCAATTTTAATGTGATGTCTTCACCTTTATTGAGTTCAGTTCCTATTGGCACTTTTGGCTTTTAGGAAAGATTGGGCCAAATAATACTGTTAAGCACTTAATTTAAAAACAAAATGTTCAGATAAGTTAAAGTAATTGGAAAATCTTAATCTTAATCTTAATGGTTTTCTAAGGCAGGCGCCTAGTGGATCTCTCCTGTGTATGTATCTTCCCAAGTCATCTTCACTTCTCCATGGTCATTTTTGTCTACTTTTTGTTGTTAAACTGCTTTTAAAGAGCTTTCTGTTAAACATGTACAGTAGGTGAAAGGGCAAAGGTAGGAATTTTCATTAAAAAAGAGATCCCAACAAATGTGTCACATAACCATTGTAGCATGGCAATAAATGAAAAACTAGCTCACATGAAATATTAAGAAGGTCCAATAAACGTAAAATACAAGTATGTCTGTTATATATTACAGTACTTTATTTACTGAAGTGCGTTTTTGTGTTTCTCTTCTACCATTTTAGAGAATTTAATGTTGGCCCTGATCAAGAAACAACTGTGAAGGAAATTAAGCTTTCCAGTGTCATGAGCAAGGGACAGAGAAAAGTCACACCTGTTAAGGAAAGAGTAAATAGTCATGGAGATGACAAAGACGACGAGGCTGAATTCTTAGTCATTACCTTCACAGGAGATGTAGCAGGAGCAGGCACAAATGCACACGTTCACATTGTTCTCTTTGGTAACCAAGGTTCCTCAGAGTCAATTCCTCTCTCGGCAACTGAGGAGAAATGGGATCCCTTTGAAAAAGGCCAGGTGAAGTCATTGAAATTCTAGTAATGTTGTCAGGCAACACACAGTATAACTGTCATTTAAAATGGAGGTCTTTCAAGATCAGTGGTGACACGAGAAATGTGAGTTAAAATAGGGTTGGAGCATAAAGCATGGTGGAAAGTCCTCTTTGATTGTAGATTGTATTGTAAGTAAATATCTTTCAAGAATTGTTTTGCTTTTCAAAATGCACTCCAGAGTGACAGTATATAAGGCTGATTTCTTATATTTTTAAGAACTAGATTAAGGAGACCTGCAACTTAGGAAGATAAAATATACCTTGTTGCCTTAAATGAATAATGACTAAAATACCAGTCTCTGTGGTGCTCACAATGAAGATGCCACACAATACATTATAGAGTTCAAGACAAACCCCAGGTTCTGGTAATCTCCTGTTCTATGTGGCTTTATTAGATGGTACCACCTTCCTCATGCTCTTGGACAGGTTGTTGTCTTTCAAGTGGACTCAGTCCAGCTTATGTCCTTAAATCTACTTGTCTCTTGCTGAGAAGGAATACTTCTTTCAGATTGTCTGAATCTCCAGAAGGTAATTTAGTCTTTTTCATAGGTTGACACATTCAAAGTTAAAACAAGATCAGTTGGAACGTTGCACAAAATTGAGATTGGTCATGATGGAAGAGGACTTGGTAAGTGTTCCATTAAATTTGCTTAAACAGTTCTTTATTCATTTTCTTATACAATACCTCATGGCAAACCTTGGCTCTCACATTCCATACTGACACAATGATAGAATTTTGGCTTAATATGTTAATTATTAATTCACTTTAAACAACCTATGTTGCAGTTATATTTAAATGACCTTAATGTACCTCTTGCAGTATTATGTAGACAGTAAAGCTACACTATATAAATCATTAATCAACACTATATTGTGACAACAGAAAAAACCCCAGAGGTAGCTATTCAGTAAATGTAATAAGCCTTTGATGATTGCTATCATTCTTAGCAGTGGATCTGCCCTTTGGCACCAGACAGCAGATGTGGAACAACCCAGAAGCTCCAGCTTTCTGGTTTTTATATAATCAGCTGTCCAATTGTTTTTGTTGAAATTGTCAGGTGACGGGGGGTGGCAGGACATTTCCATTTCCTTTCTGGGATGTAGAACCTCCATATTTTCTCCATCCACCATTCTCTTGAACTAGAACAGCTTAATTCTGATATAATGGTGCACCTGCAGTTGTGTGAGGTACAAAAGACGATGGGCCACTCTTTTAGGATTTTAATTAAATAAAAAGGTTTTTTACATTTTCCCAGGGAAAGTTTATTTCCTAATGAAAAATGTTTGGATTTAATATAATAGAGGGCTAAACACTCTTAACAATTATTTTTTTACCCATTATATGTAGAAGACACATACTGTAATTAGTTATCTGTCTTAGACACTCTATACGCTGATATTTGCATTTGCTTACTCATCTTCCTCACAGGACACCTGGCTCTAATATTCAGGAATTAACAGAGTGTACAAAATTAAATGCTGTACCTTTTCTGTACTGTATATAACTACAATGATATGGTGCCCACATCCTGCATCTTTACCTGGGGTTATCAAAAAGGCTTTTTTTTTTCTTTATTTAGAATATGTTGTCCTAGGTAGAGGTTACAGTATAAGTCTGTCATAGCTTATTATAAAAAAGCAAATGCTAACCAGGGTTTTTATATTGATATTTATAAATATTTATATATTGATCAAATCTATTCTTATACTGGCACTCAATAATACTAACATAAAATAATTTGTAAAAATGTTTTAAAAATGTATATTACAGTGCATTCATATTTTATAAGGAAAGCAAAATATTTTCCCCTCTTGTGCTGGCAAAAAAAATGGTCTTCTCAATAACCTCAGTAATTTTTTCACCTTAACAACATCAAAAAACCCTATACTCATAAGAGATGTGTACCCAATACATACAATTTCAGTTCTCAGAGTACTTAGTATGTGAAGGAATCATATCACAAGTGCAACACAGCAGAAACGGATTCGAGTGTGCTTCGTATTCCCAGTGGTGAGAACTACTGTAAGTACAGGGGAGGGAATGGAGGTGGGACACAGGCCAGCTGGAGAAAGGTTTTGTGAGGAGAAACCTTTGTAGAACATAGACTTTTTCATACATAGAATTCCTTCTTGTCTCATGTTTATTATTTAGTGAATGCATTTAAAATATTTCAGTTTGACTGTATTTCCCTCCCCAGAAGGAAACAATTGCTTTGCTGAACATATCTGAGCTAGGATGATATGACCAGCAGCCCTATAAAGAAGTAATGCACATGTTATACAATGCTGACCCTTGTGTAATATTTACGGTCTAACTGAGATGTCCTCTTCTGCTGACAGAAAGCGGGTGGTTTCTGGAAAAAGTAGAGATCGTACATCCACAATCAAATCTAAAGTTGGTTTTTCCATGTAATAGGTAGGAAAGTTTTTTAAAAATGTATATATATTCTACAATTTATATTTGAAAAGCTGTATTTTACATTATCCTGTCTTAGTTTCTTGATGTGCACCCTAGGATTGTGTTCTGAGTAGATACTGTAATTTTGACTATTTTAAATCATTTTAAAAACATTAAGTTTATACATTGTTTTCTCATAATTACTTTTATAAAACCATATTTGTGGGAAGTCACATATACATAATTGTATGTTTTGCAATTTTAAAACCATACAAAACCACAATGTGTCAACAGAAATCTGTGGCAGACCTTACCCTGAGCAAGGGCAGTGCCAAGGGTCTACTCTCACAAAAACTCAAATTGGCAAGAAAACGTGAAGTCCAGCAGGCTTTGTTGTAAACTTATTTCAGACAAAACTACAGAAAACCAGCTCTCAGAAATCATCCAACCACCACTATCAGTGTGCATGCCTTATAAATAACAAGGAACAGCTCAATTGTATCAAAATATGATCATGTGAAAGTCTAATTGCTTTACAAATAAGTCAATAACCCCTAGTGTGGCTATTTACAAGTAATAAGAGACATATGCCGTCCTCTAGTGGCAGATTTCCTGTAATTGCAGCCTCTTCTTAAACCAACCTGCCACAAGAGTAATCTTGGAATAAATACTAAAGCAGAAATATTTTATGGAAAAATAAGATGAAAGCTATAAACATATGAAACAATATAGCTTTTTTTTTAGCTTAAAATTAGAACATTTTGTAATAACAAAGACCACAGAATGTTCAGCATGTTCTGTTTTGCTAAAAGTAACACCTGGAAGAGGTAATGAATTAAATGGATTGAAGCTTGGATTGAAGATGTTGCTGATCTTCAGACAGGACTTACAGGACTTACAGTAAAGACAGGCAGTTGATAAAGGAATAAAATAATTCAGTATTATACAATACCCTCAGAAAGATGATATTGGTGAAGGGTTTGATTTTCATTAATGTACTAACCCTCAACATGCAGTTTGGATCTAAAGCTAAAATAATACATTATCATATGTTTAAATCCTTGCTGAAAAGTAATAATAACACTTTTCTGAAGATTTCTTTTGGTAGGCAAGAGAGACAATATATCAGGTGAACTGTAGGTAAGACAGAACACATGTGAAGATGGAAAAGTAGATGAAGAATTGCAGGGGTGGTGTTGAAGCCTGCTATCTGTAAATTAATGGCGAATTCAGAAAAGGTTAATCTATGGTTGAATGCTAGTGCAATGTTAAATGTTAAACTTAAACCAAGCGTAAGGATCATTTGGGCTTCTGGTATCTTTCTGGTACAGGAGTCTTCGAATCCCTGTGAAAGGATGCACACAGAAAGGGCAATGCAATCAGGTTAAGGAGAAGTAATTAATTGGCAACACGTAATTTGTTGCCAGTGTAAGCAGAGCACTTTCTGCAACAAAGGCAATAAATTAAATTGCTGGACAAGCATGATGCCCTGTGGGTGATTTTAAAATGGTCAGAGGAGCCAAGTATAGAGTATACAATGCGAGTTGTTGGACAAATTGGCTTTTGTTGCTTCAAAGGGGCCCTCCACATATACTGGAGAAACAGAAAGAACACCTTCAACTAGACTATGCCTTTCACCCTTTTTGTGCTTTTTCTCTCTTTTCCGTAGACACCTAACTAATGATCCACAGATTAAATGTTGTTTTTCTTCTTACTTTTCAGCATAACCACTACTCATTCCTTTGCTCCTCATACACTGATATAGGTCTACATCTCCTACCTCTGCCTCTATGTCTGTGAATATCTTACAAGGAACACTTTTGTGGGCTATTGTGCATTTCAAGAGCAAGTAGTCAAAATTAACTGTGGGAATGAATGTTGAGTAGCTTGCACCATTTCACAATGCTTAAAACAACAGTTTCACTGGTCAAAGTTAGCAACATCATGCCAATGAGCTCTAATAAATGCAAAATAGCTGTCTGTGCCTGTTAACTTTAAAGTTAGCACAGTAAGATGTCTGTTTAGACAGCTCTGTTTTCAGCTTTGTGAAATGGTAAAAGCTAATTAAGGGGGAACTGCAACGCTATTTTTATATTTCTGGCTTAGAAAGAATCGGCGCTGATGAGTGTTTCGAATCACGATGAAAGTAAAATGTACAGTACACAGTAACATTTCATTGTAAAACCTCCAATCTACAGCTGAAAATGACAATATTTCCAGGTATGTGCAGTGCAATATTCTATGATTCAGAACGAGGCAACAAAACATCTGGTGACGTGTGCGGTCGTATTACATTGTAAACAAGCAGGCTTGTGAATACCTCTCTTTTAATCCAATAGAAGTATTGCTCTTGACTTCAAGACAGTTATGCCAACAAATACTACTTGTTAACCCTGCATGCAGATCACGTTGGAACATTTCTGTGGTGAAATGTCAGCTGCACAACCTGTATGCATTCGCTCATACAACACATTAATCATTACAGTGACTAGTGAGCAGGAAGGGAGGCATTGTGTTACAATTCGTGGGAATTCTCACTCTCGTACGTGGCGAGACCAGTGGTTTGCGACAACATGGGGAACATATGGTACTTTCACAAAGTTCACGATTTTGTGCTTCACTCAACATTTGTCCATTTTTTCTATATTATCAATGAATTTATTTTGTTATCGACATTTAATAGCCAGTCTGAGAAATTGGGACTGCAGTTCCCCTTTAACATTTACTCCAATACCTCTATGGACACATACTGTACTGTATATACAGTATGCGTGTATCATAGGTATAATATATCTATAAAACAAGTAAAGAATGTGATAGATTTTGTTGGCATTACATCTACTACTGGTAATACTCTGTTTTACAGGTGGCTTTCAGCAGATGAAGGTGACAGGAAAACCACAGTACAGCTCCACTGTGAAGGTTTTTAACTTTTTAAATATAACAAGAAAAAATAAGTGTGGCTAATAGACAGCATGAAAATGGTATGATGCAGGACACTCTTTTACATTTTTAAACTGAAACCATTAATGATAATTGAAAACACAAAACTCAGAACATGAAGAAACTATTTACTACAGAAATGATAGTTTGCAATACAGGCTTTGAGTTGAATCATTATTTTTTTTTAAATAAAATAATCTCCTCTGTATGTCTAATTTTCTCACAGAAATTTCAATATTTGTTATTAAAATAAAAATCTTATAAAATATCATCATCACAACTAAAAACATATTCCCTTATCTTACAAATTACATTTGAAATTAAGTTGTTCGAACTTATAACACATTTAGCTAAAGAAGGAAAAGCTTGACAGGCTATTTTCCACAGAGATGTTATTGAAAGTTACAATCTAAAGGTGGTAAAAATGTGATATTGTATAAGTTCAGAACTTAAAAGTGCCAAATATTTGTGCAATATTTAATAGAAATGAATATAATCAATCATTGTGTGATTCCATACAATACAGTGAAAACTAGTACAATGATTTTGTCTTATTGGAAGGTGTCTTATTGTAATAGCAACCCATGCTTCATGAATAAAACTATTTGAATAATTCAATTCATATGTGTTAATACACTTTTAAAATATTAATTTAAATGAAAATATGGGCAGTGCACAAGTGGAAAACATGATATTCAGTGGTCTAATTGTTCTAAGCTTTTTTTAAATAAAGGAACCACAAAAGTAGTATAAACTGTAAGTAACAACTGTATCCTTACGTTCCCAATGGAGTTCTCCACACTGCATATTGATTGAAGGCTTTGATAAAGTTCCTTCTAAAATATTAATTCTCAAATTTCAAGTAGTAGGCATTAAAGAAAATACATTTTAATGGATAGACACCAGTAAAGGCAAAGGGTTATGTTTTACAGTGGGGTCATGTACTTAACAAAGTATTAGTTTTACACTAGCCCTAATTATATAATTTTATCAATGATCTAGATTCTGATATAATGGGAAAACTGGTTGGGTTTACAAGAAACAGCAATATCAGAAGATTAGCAAATGCTACAGCAGCTCTTAAGAAAATTCAAGAGAAAGACTGAAAACAAGACTGAGCAAACATCTGGCCAATGACATTAGTTCAGAGTTTTATACAAAAACACAAACTATAGATACAACACGAGAAACACTTGAGGATCTTGAAGAAGCTACCCATGAATATGATGTTTATTCTTTGTTTTCTAGACAAGGTGGGAAATCAATAAAGCTCAAAGAGAATATTAAGATATGAGGATTTGAAATTATTTAAGGAAATTCAGATATAGTATAGGGGTACTACCATAAAACTACACAATGTGATAATAAGATCTAATTTAGTTTCTATATGGTTTGATCAATTCAGATAATGCTACAGAAAAAAGAGATTGCGTAAATTGACAGGTGTAGACTGACGGGTTAAAATATCTTAATCTTTGTAAGGGGACCTGATTCAAGAATTGAAAAAGCACCCTATGACAAGTCAACACAATGGACTTTTTCAAAATCAACAGTGAATTTTTTTTTTCCTTTTAGAAATATGGCCTGAATGCAATCTCTATCTATGTCAGATGCTGAGTGCTTGATTCATGCATTTATAACATCAAGGCTTGATTTCTTCTTTTACACTAGATTCTGCTAGCATATTCCTACTCTCATATCTCTTAATTGGTTGCCTATAAAGTCACGTATTGAACATAAGATCTTGTTACTGACTTATAAAGCTCTGAATAATCTGGCCCCATCATCCATTTCTGAACTCCTTCATGTATACATTTTGTCACGTAAGCGAAATTATCGCACTAGTTCAGACTGACTTTGAAAACAAGATTTAAAACTTATTTTTATTCCAATAAAATGCTGGAAACCATCTGAGTCACTTATTCCAAGCTTCTGCTTAAACAGCAAGTGAAGCAAATGCCAAAGCAACCTTGAATGTGACCTTCAATGTCAGAACACTTCCATAAGTAAAGTCTTATGTGATGATCCTTTTTGATTTCCAGCACAATATGAAGTACTGAACTGTACAGTATGTGTCCACAGGTAAATAAAACTAATATTATCACATTGCCTCTGTCTTGTCTTTTCTGGGTTTATTGACTACAATGACAATCAAAACTTCAGTTAAGTTGACCTTTTTTCCAAATGATGTCTTATAATAGTAAGAATGTCTTCTATATTCTGTTGAAACTGGCTCAGTACCACTTACCGTAAGTATCATGTGGAAGACCTTAAGATTTAAGATTTTAAGATGTATTGCCATAGCTCCGTGAATCTTTAATAACTGTTGTTACTATAGTAATACATTTCTTCTTCTATTTTTATATTTCTTAAAATATATTTTTTGTATGTTTCAGGCAAAAACAAACTTTGCAATGCAGTATACTGTATTTCATTGTGCAACATCAAGTATATCCCTTTTGACAATTCAGACTTCTGAAAAAGTAAACAATTCCTTCTTATACAAGTATGTGGTTCATTTGAACTTTTACATTAACATTACAGTATACAAAATACATGATACAAATGCCACTACTAAAGCTTGAGGGTTTCCCCCAAAACGTCTTTTGTGAAACAAGCACAAAATGAAAAGTGTATCATGAACCAGAGGACACGTGAAATCTATGTGGCTTCTTTTAAGACACAGCTGGATTACCTCCTTGAAACAATTAGTTACTAAATACCAGTCTTAATTACTGTGTTTGCATGTGTGGAACAGGTCAGATGTTCTTGATTTTAACCGTTCTTAATTCACTGCGATATCTACGACAGGGCGTAAGCAAGACAACTTTCTCGAAGGCTCAAAATTAAAACACAATAATATAGTCTCAAGGCACATTTAAACACGTAAACACTTTTAAAAAATAAAATGAAATTCCTCGCCACTGGTCACACTCTATATCTAGTTCAGCATCTGATCGGAACTGAGGGTGATGGTTTCAGTCTTTGCCGACAGCAGAAGACCTCTAATTGCAAACGGACCTATGGATGTACAGTATATTAATTTACAATATATAGGTTAGTGTACAGTTTCTGCTACTCCATAACTACTGAATAGTATTCTGTGAACAGCAGCTCGTGTTAGAATGACTAGATACTGTAAATATTGCTGTTTTATAGGCAAAACATGATAACTTAATTGCCTGGTATTATTTTGACTGCTTCACCTTAAGACAAACCAGCTAGGTTTCGGCAGTGGCAGCCGCGTCAATGACTCCTCTGCATTAGCATCGGTGTAAAACTAGTCTGAGAACTGTTAAATGTGAAGCCAGATACATATTGATTTCCGTATTTTTAAAAAATAATTCCCATTTTTAATTTGATAATGATCTCGATCCTGCCAATTGTAATACAATTACTTCCTTTAATGGATGTTAATTATGATGTTCTGATAGATTTTGGATTATTTGCTAAAAGGGCGTGTCTCGAAAAAAAAGTCAATTAAAACAATGATTTGCTTTGGTCATTATTGTATTTTTTTTAATCTATATGATCGACAGACTCCGGATTTTTTTTTTTATTAAAAAGACGATGTCGAAATGAAAGGGTTGTAGCCTTCGCTGCAGCCTTAGATAATAAGGAAAACTGCGATAAGTGCCCGTGGAAGAGTTGCAAAGCAATGATGTCATAGTCTAAATGTGTGCCATGGGAGAGCATATGGTTCGTACCCGCTGCCGAAAGGAAGTGTTGCTTTGTTATGAACAGGAGGCGCTGCAGCTGGCGGAAGAGGAGGTCGCCCAGCCCAGTTTCTGCTCACTGGTACACAGAATCAGAAAGAGAAAGGAGGAGGAGGAGGAGAGAAAGGAAGGAGAAGGAAAAAGACGGTATCAGTTAGATAAAGGGAGGGCTACTATAATGGCCGCTAAGTCGGATGGGGTGTTGAAAATGAAGAAAAGCGACGTGGCGTTCACCCCTCTGCAAAATTCCGACCATTCGGGATCCGTGCAGGGGCTCGCCCCAGGATCACAGCCGGACTCGGGAGCAGGAGAAGGGGACTTTGTGAATGGGGAGTCTCGCTGCTGCGGCTCCTCTTCGATGTGTCTCCGCCTGGGCAGGGAGCAGCAGAACTACTCGGTGTGGGACTGCCTCTGGATCCTCGCTGCCGTGACCGTCTATTTCGCCGATGTGGGCACAGACGTGTGGCTGTCGGTCGATTATTACCTCCGCCGCGATTACTGGTGGTTCGGGCTTACTTTGTTTTTTGTGGTGCTCGGTTCGTTTTCGGTGCAGGTGTTCAGCTTTAGGTGGTTCGTCCATGATTTCAGCACCGAGGAGAGCGCTGCCGCCGCAAGTGCTGCCAGTTGCACGCACATGGATGGGAAGCTCATGAGCGGCTCTGCCTCGCACGCAGACGTGGATGCCCGCCCTTCCACACCTCAAAGACAGGCTTCCACGGCCAGCAAGAGCAACACCACAACTAACAGCAGCAACAGCAGCACCGCAACCCGGACTAGCAAGAAAAGGTCGGCGTCCTGCTCTTTCTGCATCTGTCTGTTGCAGTCCGTCATCCACATCCTGCAGCTGGGTCAGATTTGGAGGTAAGCCGCTGTAAGGGGGTTACATTAAAGAGGATCCCGAATTTATGCAAGTGCATAGTCCGTTAAAGCGTTCAGTTTCGTGTCGTGCTGGTACACTGTGGTGATATGCTGATAGTACTAACGAGCATTAAACTCTCATCCCACAAAATGTGGAAGTGGAGACAGAGGTGTGCATACAGTATTTCCTAACCAGAACTCAGTCTTAACTGTGGTCCCTAGTCTTAGAAGATATCGGCGTGTTCATGTTTCCAATTTATGGGACGACGTCAGAACAAAACTGCTTTGTGTATCAGTTATTCTCAAATCCTTAAACGGATGATTTCAGGAAGATTACATTTTATGACCACTGAAGCAAACAGACACCTTTACAAATGATGTCAGGTTTGTTTGCTGGTTTTCCGGTAGTCTTTTCTAGATGTACTGCATGTGTGTGTGGTTAGGACATGAGCAGTTTTATTTTCTCGTAGACATTCAAGCTAATGTGAAGAATGTCTTGATGCTTCCTCTTTACATGTGTATGTGTGTGTTAAAATAATACTACGTATCGGATCGCTTGGGGGAAATGCTTTGCAATGGAATGAATAGTTGAACATTGCAACTTGGTATGGGGAGAGTTTAAGATAGGGATTAAAACGGTGTCAAAAGGACAGGCCTCCATCCCTTGCTGTACATTTCCAATACCTTAGGCTGTAGCAATACATTTAAAATAATTCTAACTTATGTAAAGTAGTGAGGATGATTACACATTTGGAGCACATGAACACATGATCTGCTAGGCTGTCCCTGAATTTATTTGTATGAATGTTTATAAGACTCAATTTTTAAAAGTGTTTTTAAGATACACTGTACAGCTCAAGCACATGTACTGCATTTAATTATTACTACAAAATCACAGTGGATCAGAGTTGGAGCTTGTAGTGCCAAACCCCCTATAGCCATTAAAACCATAAATGTTTTTTAAACCCTTAAAATGTGATTAGGTAAATTTGCCAAACATTTTTAAATGTAAGAAAAAAGATAACATCACGAAATGCATATTTTTTTTTATTTTTACTGAACATTTTGATATGAAGTTATGAATACACCAATTGATTTACAAAACACTGTTTATTTCTGAGTTTATATTTCAACACATAGAATAAGGTCTCATGGCACTCTCTTACTGTAGATTCACATCACATTTAGGCTTAACTACTGCTATGAAGGTACAGATTGTTTGATTACAGTAAGTGTACATACAGTATATATATAAAAAGAAAATGAGGTTATTTTGTAGGCTTACAATACCAGCAAGGACTGAAATGGCGAAGTGATTGAAAAAAGTCATGGGTTTGCTGAGATTGACTTACCTGGAACAAAGTTTAGGATTGTTGAATGTAAAGAACTGGAAATAAATGGAACATTTCACATCAGTTTTACAAAGTCGGGCTACCAGTGCTCTTGGCATTTGAATTGGACATCTGCAATGGAGACGTTCCTCGTTGATAATGCATAAAAACATCTTTATCAATCTGTAGTATTGAATGGCTCAAGGTCAACAAACATGCCTATTTGTTAAGTATTAATAAAAATGAAGAAATCATTTCATCTTTATTTGACCAGAGGAAAAGTTGACTTTGGTATAGTACTTGCAATATGTGACACATCATGTCTATGAGCAGCTAAGAATTGTATTACATGATGTTTTTAGTAGAACTTTAAGGTTACTGAAAGGTGTAAATTTCCAGCTGTTGCACATTTCTTCAATGTCACTGTGGTGTGATTAATCTTTACACTGAGATTGCCTTTAGGTGTTAGTCTTAATCGTGAAGTAGATTTTTCATAATGTTGGTGCTTCACTGATGAAGAGCAGTTCTTATATTCTGATTTCTTCTATCCCTGGAGCATCGCAGTATAATGGCCAGCATTGGAGACAATATACAGTGGAAAACAGATAGTGCATTTAGTAGCGAAGATTGTCCTACTAAGAATATAACACCATTTTCTATTTCTTAAAAACTACAGTATGTGGAATTTTTCTTAGGCTTCCTTTATTAATGTCATACAAATTGTTTACTGTTGGGTATATTCCTAAAGTGTGCTGGTACAGTATATAGTGTAAAACCAGAAAATATTGTCTTATGGCAATTATTTGTCAGCTGAAGCCCAAGGCATACATACATATGCTTTCACAGATTTTATCTCCAAGGACTATACTCCTCCCTTAAGTTTACATTGCGATTGCTGTAGGTGATTTGCTTGAAAAGCTACATTTTAGAATAGTATTGACAGCACAAAGCTCAGTTAAGAGATACATAATAAGTCTGTACCATATTATTTTGTGCTGTAGCCTCTGTGATTATCTCACCTTGAAGGAATATCTTGTCAGGTCTCTGAGCCTAACAACAACAGCTTTTTGTGGCAAGTGTTTGTTCAGGTGATCTTGACTAAAAAATGAGTTGCTATGGTAAGTTTTCTTGATAGTTTCCCAGAATCTTTATTTGAGGCTGAGCTCAAAATAGCCAAGTGTAATGTAAGAGGAGCTTGTGCAGAAGAAAACATTTTTTCATCTGAGGTAATTATTGTTTCCATATTTTTACTAATATGTACTCATGTCCTAGTGATCTATTACTCAATATATCAGTACAATGTGAAATGTGCACACAGTAAGTAAATCTAAGACAACACATTTTTATTCATTTTAACAATGTTCTATGAGGAAAGCTCCAAATTGTTTTTTTTAAATGCTTATTCAACTAGAAAAAATGATTAATGCATATTTAAAACTGAGACGTATAAACATACTATTTTCTATTTTAAACTGTAACAGAAGCAAATTGGGTTTATATTTGAAAGTGCATAGACAGCAGGATCTACGGTATGAAACCCAGTCTGCTCCAAAACTATTGGTCTTCTTAAATTCTATGGAGGATAGACTAGCATTCTTTGATTTACAAGAAGAACTGGACATTATCTTAATTTTCAGATTTGTATTTCCCAAGACAGAACACACTCAATTATTTACGGTGTAAATAAAGTCAACACGTTTTTGTCTTTATGGCAATACATATAGCAATAAACAAATCTTGTGATGTGAGACAATTATCCCAGCACATTTAAATTGATTTCTTGTTTTCAGTAGCTGCTAATCTTTGGGGGAAAGGACACTGAAGGTAACCAGTGTTGAGTTTTTCCACAGTTAAGGATGGTACCTTTGAAGAGGCTGGTATTGTTTGCTGAGCTGCACTTTCGCCTACTGGATTGTGATTTGGCCTTGTGGAGATCAGTCGGTTTAAGCTTCATACTGCTGGACTCAGTAATGTGGAGTAAGGTCATAAGGTGTATACTGGTTTCCCTACCTACTGTAGATGGTGTAGAGAGAGGTTATTCATTTTCTTTTTTACTTACATGAAAGTTTCAAATAATTAAGTCAATTTAAAATTGTTTTTTTTTTCTTAGTTTATGACAAAGACAGGAAAACATGTATTTAGATGTGGTGAAATACCTGAAGGGATTTTGATATTGATTTTACCAGGAGGTACTGTATGTACATTTTTGAGGTATTGTGTTGTTGCACCCTTAAACAGCATTGAATTCACATGTAATGAACAGCAAATGGCATAGCACATTTTGTGTCAGGATGATACAGATTAGGTATTCTTCAGTTTTCACTTTTTTAACTCAATATTGTTGTGCTGTGCGTGGAATGTTTTTTAATTTGTTGAAAACACAGAAACAGAAAAATGGCAAATGCTTAACAGTGTACAAATGCACATTTTTCAAGATTATTTTTTTTTGTGTGTATGTCATATCTTTGGATGCTAATAATAAGATAACAGGACTCTGCTTCCCAAAAGACTAGGCTAGATTATTTCTCCAATGTGCTGAAAAATACTAGTTTGTCTGGGGAAATTACACAAAGTCGATGTACTGTATAAAAATAGCCATGTACTAGTGAAGTTAATCAAATCCAGTCGCAAGAGAAAGGTCCAGAGAAACGCATCACAGCAAGTTGAGTAACTTTCAGTGGCTTTCAATTTTATTTATGTAGTCCGGTGAACATGGTTTTATAATGACAATTTTCAAAAACTGAAGGCAATATCAAAGGAAACAGTATAACAGAACAAGATAACACTCCCTCCAACATTGGTGACAACCCAGTGTATTGGTGTTTTATGAGAAAGTTCTCTTTTCTGATTTGAAGGGGAAAGGGGGAAGTTGAGCTACTGTATCGAGTTTGGTTCCTGCAAGAAATAATCCTCAAAGCTTTTATCCATCTTGGTTGATACAGTATGTAGACTATATATTCCACTTGGATGATGTAATGAATGATGGGCACTTGTTTTACAATTTATTCTGCAAAATTGATGGAGGTTTTTTGTATTACATATAATGTATAAATAGGTACTGCATTCTGTACACTGTAGTTTTATACTCTACTGATAAAGCTAATAATTGCTTAAATGTTTGTAAAAATGAATTCCATTCTTTGTGTAAAGCATGGTTAAATGTCTGGAGTGCCTTTTTGATATTTTGCTATTTGCACGCTGACAAGAGGCTTCCAAGTTTACACATCTTGACCTGTTTGTGGGGCCGTAAAGTAGTTTCATTTTTCAGCAGCATTCATTTTTACCGTAACTGTTTTGTAACAGTTCAGACACTTCTGTGCCTGAGCACTGAATTGTATTTACTGTATCATATGTGCAGGAATGTTCTCTTTCAAACACTTAACCTTTTATTTAGTACAAAAAACTTAAGTGTGGTTTGTTTTTGCAGTTGAGCATCTCACACCTACTCGGGTAATGTTAGTGAAATGTATGACCTTTGTTTGTTTTTTTCTAGCAAAGTTTTATGAATTAATTCCTTGCATTTATGTAGCATTGTGAGCCAAAAGGATCCCAAAGTGTCTTATAAACAGTATAGGAGAGGACCTGCTTTGTCCACCACTGTCCATCAGCGTCTACCTGGGTGACATATGGTAGCCATTTAGGTGCAAAAGTGGGAAACTATATACATTTTCG